AACCCTAACCCTAACCCTAACCCTAACCCTAACCCTAACCCTAACCCTAACCCTAACCCTAACCCTAACCCTAACCCTAACCCTAACCCTAACCCCTTAACCCTAACCCTAAGCTGACTTCCTCGACGTCAATGACCTTTCAGCCATTCTGGAAAGCGAAAATCTGCCGCCAGAACTGGCATCAGGTCCACCAGCGCAATGGGCCTGGATGGACCCGCTGCTGCAGGCAACTTTGTTCTGGCACACCGACTCAAATGGTGCCCTAGAACGTTCCATCCACGGTCCCTAGAAGTCATGCGGCGACATTGTGTACCGATCTCCATCGCGATGGCGAACTTCGCATCCTCTGGCAAGGCAGAAATTATGGTGATCACGTTGACAATGAAAAGACCGATCCGAGAACAGCAGTAAAGGAGAAGCATGGTGCGAAATGTTCGACGACGTGTGGGAGTCACAATCAGGAAAGGAAGTATGGAAACAAGGTGTGAAGCAGCGTCTCAAGCTCGTGCCATGTTGCCAACAGGAAGCTGGAAGTACGACAGATCCGGAGTCAGCAACGCAGCTGCTCCCGTATAGAAAGCGGCCGCTGACGTAGCCAGGCCCATCGCACCTCCAGCCTTGATGATGCTCTCGTTGCCGTTCATGTTGCCGATGGCAAGTAGCAGGATAACGATCTGCGAGCAGCGGTGGCAAAATGCGCATCTTTCGGTGAGCGTTCCTCTCTCTTTAGGTCTGTTTGTAGGGCGAGAGGAAGAGCTTACCTCGACGAGTACGAGCGTGACTACAATAGCGACTGATGACTTGAACGAAGCCAGAATGATGATGAAGACAACGATGAACCATGCCCATAGGTAGATAGCCACCGCCTGATTGAACTCTGGACTGAGCTTGCCGTCAACCATAAACGCCGAGATAACGCCGAACCAGGGGATGAGCAGCACGCAGTAGCTGAGCCAGAAGCTGCCAAAGGTCATGAATGCCACGGCGCTGTTCATGTTAAAAGCAGAAGGGGGCAGGAGATACCGCCGTTCAGCGCTCTGATCAGATCCGCAAGATGGCCTCTCGAGAAGGAGGCTGTGTGAAGGCAAAATACCTACCCAAACGTGTTTCCGCAAACAAATTCAAACACACCGCAGATCCATTGTGTGGCGCCTCCATACACAAGAGCCAAGGAGACGATTGCGTTGGGCACGTCGACTCCGCGAGCGTTGATGTTGTACATGCTCAGACTGTCAAGCGACAAACGTCGAACATCCGTCAGCCTCCTCTATTCGCGATTGGATCTCGAGGAAGGGTCAACGGGAAAACTCACGCAAAGGTCGTGGTTGCAAAAGCAAACAAGCCCAGAGGCAAGGGAGCAGCTAGCTTTCGGTGCTGGATAGGAAATCCATATTGCGAATTGTCTGCAACATGGCCCCCGATGGTGGTTGCGCGGCCAAGCTCGATGCCAGAGCCATCATAGGGTCCCTGGCTGACAGGCTGAGCTTCAAGGTTTTTGGTGCGGAAGTCTTCAGAAGACATGGTCGCGTTGGTTATACGTGGGCTGATTTGCTCGGGACGTGGGCTGGAAGGAGGGGTAGGGAGGCGACATCGAAGAAAGAGATCCTCGTCTGACGCCGTCTTAAGCAGAAAATGAACGCTGCACCGCAGAAGCTCAGGGTGGCGCAAACGCCCAGACACATCGTGCTAGGCAGGGTTTACACCCTGTAATGCAGTCGGTGGGGCCCGCAGGCACACGATTGGCTTTCAGGCAGCGGGAAAGGGACGTCTCAACGCACCAAGCCTCGGGGACTTCCCTTGACCACCTTCGAGCGGCTGCCTTGACCTCGACGACCTCTGGCCACAGCCGTGAGGAAAGTGCACCGCTCCGGGAGCACTCTTGTCAACCGTCGGCCATAACGAGGGCCACTCTCGAAAAGCGGCATTGGACTAGAATGCCTTCACCGAGGCAGAAGGCGCCACCGAGCGAGTGCTGTACAGTCCGAATCATCAACCTCGTGCCGAGCGTACAAGGCTGATGTAGATCTACGCTCCGGGAGAATAGCTCCATCCAATGCGGGGCCCCAGTCCCGTCAGTGGACTTCATCATGCCGCTTTTCCGCTCTCAGGGTCCTCCGGTCATCGGAGCGGCACTCGACGGAATTTCAGTCCCACTGCAATTTTTCTGTGACAAAGAACCCTAACGCTAGTCAGCGTTCATCCCGATGACCGGAGGCAAGCTCGCGACCGTTCGGGACTACTAGCGCTCACCGGCCTGACGGGGTATTCCTGCTTCTCAGGCCTCTTTCGGACTTCGGCCAAAGCGTCCGATCGGCCATTGTGCCACTACAAAGCGCAAGCTGGACCGTGCTCCAGCACCTGACAGACTTTGACAATCTTCATCCGGCTCGACCGTGGTACAAAGGCCCATCAGCGCTTCGCCTCGCTTTCCACTGTACGTCTTGCTCACTTCATCTTTCGTCTCCAAGTGCAAGTACTCTCCAAGTACAAGTACGAACCCTTTTGTGTACAAGACTGTTCAAAAGTAACCTCGATCATCATCGCAAAGACGCACACAGGCCTGCTTTTAGCATGACGAAACTCGTCTCGTTCAACCCCGCCGCAGGAGGCGACGACAAAGTCCTCATCGGTGTGCTTTCGCGAGACGAAGCGAGCATCACCGAGCTGCTCCACCCCGCCTCAGGCGAGCCCGTCACGGATCTTTTCGATGTCATCGAGCAGTGGGACGCGTTCGAGCATGTTACCTCATCTCTCTGTGTTTCAGGCAAGCAGAACGGTGCTGCGGCCGCTGCAGGCAAGGTTCACTCGTTGGACAGTATCAAATTTGCGGCTCCCCTTCGCGGGCGTGACGTCCTCGCCGTAGGCAAGAACTACGTCGACCACGCCAAAGAGTTCAACAAGTCCGGATACGACTCGTCGGACAAGAACGACATCCCGGACTTCCCAGTCATTTTCAGCAAACGTGCCAGCTCCATTGTCGCTCACGAAACCGAAGTTTACCCTCATCCCGCTTTCACCAAGACGCTCGACTACGAGGGCGAGCTCGGCGTCATCATCGGCAAGGGCGGCGCTCGGATCACCAAAGAAAACGCCATGGACCACGTCTGGGGCTACACTATCATCAACGACGTCACTGCTCGCGAACGCCAGCGTGACCACAAGCAATTCTTGATCGGAAAGAGTCTCGACACCTTTTGCCCCGTAGGCCCGTACCTCGTTCCCAAGAGACATCTTGATGTGAACGACATGGAGGTCGAGACCAAGGTCAACGGCGAGACGCGTCAGAAAGCCAACACTTCGCAGCTCATTTTCGACATCCCAACGCTCCTCGAGACGATCTCGGCCGGCATCACGCTTCAGCCTGGAGACATGATTGCGACCGGCACTCCTGCTGGTGTTGGCTTTGGCCTGCCTACACCCACCTTTTTGAAGGGAGGCGATGTGGTCGAGGTCTCGATCTCGGGCATTGGCACGTTGCGCAATCGGATCGCAGACCCTGCCGCCAGCTACCCCTCCGTGGCACCCGTGCGCGTGACTCGAAGCGCCTCGGCCAAAGCCTCCTCTGCCGATTCTGCCTTGCTCTCTCTTCCAAGCGGAAAGCAGTATCATGTCGAGGAGTCTGGCACTTCCTCGGGTCCCGCTTTGGTCTTCATTCACGGTCTCGGTGGCAATCTCGGCTTTTTCCACGCCATCCTTCAAGAGTCTGGCGTGGCTCAATCGCACCGGATCATCCTCATCGACTGGGAGGGTCACGGCCGAACCCCAAGCCAATCCGCTTCGCTCTCTGTCGCCTCTATAGCCTCTGATATTCTCGCTGTCTTCGACCACCTCTCCATCCCCGAGGCCACTTTGGTCGCTCACAGCATGGGCGGTCTCATCGCCACGCACTTCGCCTCGGCGCACCCCACTCGGGTTTCGGGCGCAGTCCTCCTCGGTCCGGTCAAAGCCCTTGGCGCCCCGGGCAAGGACGCCATGAAGTCTCGAGCAGCCTCGGTTCGCGCTCAGGGCATGCTCGCGGTTGCAGACACAATCTGCAATGTCGGCCTCTCTGAGCGCACCAAGAGCCAAAGGAGCCTCTCGGTCGCATTCACAAGGGCGAGTCTGCTCAGTACGCCCGCCGAGGGGTACGCTCAAGCGTGTCTCGCACTGGGACGCGCAGAAGACCCGGACTACAGCAAGATCGCATGTCCCGTCTTGTTCGTTGGTGGAAGCGAGGACAAGACTAGTCCCGCTGCCACGATACAGAGTCTTGGAAAGCTCATCAAGGGAGCCAAGGCAGTGACCTTGCAGGATGTCGGCCATTGGCATGCAATCGAGGACGTGAAGGCGGTCGCGGAGTTGCTGAACGGGTTTGCTACTGGCCAGTAGCGCCACCCTCTGCAAGCTAAATGCCATGTTTACCTCCGCACCTCGTCTGCTAATTCTACATGTCATTTGTTCTACGTTTACTTGCTTTGGACGACAAAGCGGACACTCCATCGGATGTTGGTGGGTTCCGGCTCGCTCGGGCCGGTACCTTCATACGCACGCGCCCACTACCGCCATGCATGCCCTGGAGGCGTGCATATACACATGCACCCAACACAGGGTTAAGCGCACGTACCCCTTCACCTCACACACTCGTCTAGTCTCACTCGCATGCTCGCTCAGTCTGTAGATAGAACCACCATTAATTACATTCGCTTTGCTCAGTCTGCCTGTCGCCCGCTTCCCAGCGTCCTAGCAATGTCAGGCATCGTATCGATACAACATCGAAGAGGGTTCGTAATCGCTCCTTCCCCACGTGAGCTGGCCTCACGGCAGCATCGCCTGTCTCCGCGAGCTTGACAGTCCAATGGAGCAAAAGTTTGCGCGTGGGCTGGCAATGAGCGCCACCTTGCTCCATATATTCATCGATGCAATCGTCGTTAGAAAGCTGCACCTGGTCGGGTTTTGATAGCAAATGCTCACAATTGGGGCTCGGGCGGACCAACTCGTCGACGCTGTTCACCTCCGATCAACGAGGCGCATTTGAAATATTCACCTTCTTCTGGCCCGCCAACATCGATGTGATACGCAGTTCCGTCACCAAAGGTCTTGCAGCTGCGGCGAGGGAAAGTCCAGACACTTTCAATGACGACGTTTAGTTAAGGTGATCAAGCGATTCGGATGCAGGAGACGCTAGCTGAGGCATGTCTCGCTGGTGTGCAAGACGAAATCTCAGCTGCCAGTTGTGTGACCTCGAACAGGATTGCCACGCCCAGCTCGGGATCGCAAATTTTGGGGTTTGCTAGCTCGATACGGCTATCTCACCGCCCAAGCCGAGCACGAGTCCCGAAAACTCGCGTGCTAGGATCCCGAAGTTCCCTGGCCGCTTCCCGATAGGACGAGCGGAGGACGCTGCAGAACATCCAATGTCATGTCTCAGCTTCTGCATTTTGTCTCAAGAAATCCAACTCTGCGTCGTATCGTCTACTTCCCTACAGGTACTATCCGCTCTGCCTTGCTACCAAGGTTGTTCTGCTCTCTTTACCTTCGGCCCTTTAGAGTTGGCGACCATGCACATACTCCGCGAAAGTCTCAGCGCTGACGACTGGCACTTCATCGACGAGGTTCTGCTCGAACGTCATCAGGACCGGGCCATGTCTTACGAGGTTGTACCGGGCGGACTCTTGGTAAGGATGTGGACCGTCGACAACGTTAACGACCCAACATATGGCCCTTTTGCCATCAAACCCGAATATCGGATCAAAGTCGAGCACTACGTCGATAAGTTGAACAAAGAGCCGTGTCCTTTGGGGAAAAGCTGCCCAAGCGAAGGCATTCCGGAAGAAAGCCTGGCTCCGGAGGACTGGAATGCCCTCAACAGGGCGGTTCATCAGAACTACGAAACGTCTTACGTCATCGTTAAGGACGGTATCGCAGTCCTTAAGCATGCCAGCGATGGCGCAGAGAAAGAGATCGTTTGCGGGCCGTTGCCCATCAAGACCGAGTACCGGCAAGTGGTGCGGGGCTTTGTGGATGCTCGCAACGCCAAGCAGTGAGTCCTCACTGGCTCTGCATCGTTCGATCAAGACACAACTGCAAATCGCTGCAGCTCGTTCGACTTAGACTTAGTCTGACGAAGACCTTTCACGCCGCAGTGCCAAAGATTGCCGATACAGTGCGCATTGCCATGGTTGCTTCCAGCTCCGATCCACGGCGAGTCAGAGGATTTCCGAAAGCTTGCCTACTCCCTGCGATGGGCTCGAGCCAGGCAACGCGATCTTTGCAAAAGATCTCGATGGTGGGCTTGAGGCGTGTCTCGTGAAGTGCAAAGTTGTCGACAGTGCCGACCCTCATATAGATGAGATTGGGAAAGCCGCTGGAGGCTCTGTACATGAGTGTTCCGCAATTGTAGCAGAATGAATTGGACATCGTGTTTTCGGTGGCAATGGTGGTAGCTTGGGCGTACTGCTTGAGGCACGACTTGCCACGGACGAATTTGATGTGAGAGAAAGCGACGGTGAAGTTGGTGGCGAACATGGAGGCGGTCACGGTGCGACAATCGGTGCAGTGGCACACCAAGGTGGCGTGGAAGCCAGGCCCGACAGTGGGCTGCCAAAGGGGTAAAAGGTGGATGCAAGACAAGAGGCAATGTTCCGGCCGTCAGCTTAGCGTCCAAGGACAAGCGACAAGCCGTGGTACCTACGAATGAAAGCTGGACATTGCCATAGAAACAGGTCGCCGAAGCTCGTTTTTCCTCTCCCACTTCGGAGAAGCCATCGTTGGCTATCAAGAGGGGAAAGACGGGGTTGCACTTGTCTGCCGAAGCGATTGCGAATACGGGCTCGGAGTGGATGTGTCCCTTGGCCGAGATCATGGCTGATGAGTGGGTTTGCGGAAAGCGGACGGTGTAACAAGCTGCTCTCGAAGAAGTGGAAGAGCTAGCGTAGCGGTAGGCCCTGAAGGATGTTGGATAGCTGCTTTCTCTCGATTGCACGCAATTCTTTTGCCCTGCCGCTAGTGAAGGCGCAATATCATAAGTCTGCTCAACCCCTAGACTTTGTCGACCTCAATAACGGTGTTTTGCGGATCAGACTACACGAGGGTATTGCGTGAAGAACCATCAGGTCCCTCTTGTCTTGACTTGCCTCACGAGCACGACTTCAGAGGTGTTGGACAGTGTGGGGTTCCACGTGCCTCCACATTCGGCAGTGTATTCCTAACCTAAAAAGAAGATAGCCGAAGGTCGTTGCTTGGAAGTGCGACGCACCACGGCCGAAGAAGCCTGCGTTTGCGGCTGCCCTGCCCCGCTGCTTTGGAGTAGATTGAAGAATGTGTCGCTGACACGGCCGCAACGGCAAGGAGGTGGGAGCGAGAGATATTCAGGGGCGGCTACCCACATCTTACCGATTCATCATCGACTTGCGCTGGGGGTCGCCTGCAGAAAAGCGAGCTTGACACCATCTCTTCGAGTCAAGTTCGGTCTAGAACCCATGCGGCACGTCCGTACTAATTCAAAAGTCGGAAGGCAAGTGCCATGGCAGGCAAGATGCAAACATGTCGAACCGACGAAATTGAACCGAGATGCAGCGAATCGATCTGAGCAAGCGTCCCTTGCCACCATCTGCAGATTCCGATGGGCATCGAGGGCGCCGTGTGCGTGACGACCGAAGTGGAATCGGTAAAAGTGTGGGAGAAGAGCAGACAGGCCCCTGTTTGCGGCTAGGTACCGCAGGTCGAGGCAGGGCGACAGGGCGTTTTTACGCGTGTGGGCTGCCGAGTTGATGCTTCTGCCAGACGATCCCAAGATCAGTCGCTGCTAGCCTGGCAACGGCGACATCGAGGCCGACCGATGCTGGTCCTTTTCCGACGAGTCTAACAATGCCTTCCAGCGCCCCAGCCAAGACGACTGCATCGGTCTTGCTGTGGTGGCCGTGTCTGTCAGACGAGCGTCGTGCGTAACCGACGCCTAGCAATCGTCCCGCGACTCGCAGTCCGAGGCGGTTGTCGAAGTGCTGCCGACGGGTAATCCCCCCAATGACAGAGCGCAGGCAGCGCGAGGCGGCACAAACTGGGGAAACGCCCGCGACTGGAAGACCGCGTGACCCCACGGTGACCGTCAACTGCGCGGGGCCACACCTAGCGACTCGGTTATTTTGTTCGCGCACACCTCTGTGGCTGGGCTTCGAGACTCGCAAGTGACACACTCCTCAACATCTCGGCACTGGCACTCGCCGCCTCCATGGCATGTAGCAGCTCGAGCCTTGCGCGCTTCCGTGATCCAAGCGAAAACGCTTGCAGGATGAAGAGCGTGCTCGGCCAATTTGGTCGGCGGATACGGGCACGGTCAACCTGGTGGAAGGCATCTTGCTGCTGCTGCTGCTGCGATGAGATCTGTAAGGTCGATCCTGCCTGCGGCAGACAAGCGCGCGTCTCTTCTGGCGGTCGGCCAAATCCAGCGCCGAGTGAGAGGCAGGCGGAGGCACGGCAATTTTGCGAGCGTCGGACGGGCGCATGACCGTCAAATTCGGAAAAGCCGCTCGCCGGTCCAGGCTTCGGGCGGCGGTCCACCCAGACACGGCCTGCGAGGCTCGACTCTCTTCCACTTTGTATCAGCACGGCAGCTTCCCCTCGCCACGCTCTGGAAGGCAGAGACGGGCTCTGGCTTCAAATGAGCAAGCTGCACTGAATTGGAGCGGAGCGGGGCGGCGGCGGCTGGGCCGTCTGGATGGGCTCGGCTGACCTCCGAATTTAGCCTCGACCCTGGGACAAGAAGAGCTGCCAAGCGGCGACGCGGGGGAAAATGTGCCGAGAGGAAAAAAGCGCGCAGGGTCAGAGACGAGCAGCTGTTGGCCCGTTCGCGCGGTGGCGGGCGGGCAGAAGGACGGCGATGGTGCCTCGGATGGTCGGTCAATCGACATGCGCGCGCCGACTGTCGACGCAGACTTGCGGCTCTTGACCGACAGCGACAGCAGTGGCCCTCCACCCCACCAGGACCAAAGCGAGTCGGAGCTGCAGCTCCCGCCACCCCTGCCACGGCTGCCCAACTGCTCAACCGCTGCTTCGCTTTGGGTGCTGCTTTGGCTGCGGCGCCGCCCTCCCACCTTGGCTTGGCCATCGGCACATCACCGCTCGCACTTTGGTGATTGCCCCGCACTGCGAAGACGCCCACAAGAAGTGCGCGGACATATATAGCAACGCCGGAGCCACCATCAAACGGACAATTCCCCCCACGATTCGATCCGCTGTTTACCACTCGATCGACTCCCGCATCCCATTCTCGTTATCCTTCCATCCACCTGATATCGCCACCATGCCGACTCTCAACCTTGACCTGCCTAACGGCATCAAGTCCACCGTCCAGGCCGAGCTGTTCATCAACAACAAGTTCGTGCCCGCTCTCGACGGCAAGACCTTCGCCACCGTCAACCCGTCCAACGGCAAGGAGATCGGCCAGGTCGCCGAGGCCTCCGCCAAGGATGTCGACGTTGCCGTCAAGGCCGCCCGCGAGGCCTTCGACACCGTCTGGGGCGAGAACACGCCCGGTGATGCGCGCGGCAAGCTCCTCATGAAGCTTGCCGACCTCGTCGAGGAGCACGTGGACGAGCTTGCTGCCATCGAGTCGCTCGACAACGGCAAGGCCTTCTCCATCGCCAAGGGCTTCGACGTCGCCGCCGTCGCCGCCAACCTGCGCTACTACGGCGGTTGGGCCGACAAGAACCACGGCAAGGTCATGGAGGTCGACACCAAGCGTCTCAACTACACCCGACACGAGCCCATCGGCGTTTGCGGCCAGATCATCCCTTGGAACTTCCCGCTGCTCATGTTCGCATGGAAGCTCGGTCCCGCGCTTGCTACCGGTAACACCATCGTGCTCAAGACCGCCGAGCAGACGCCGCTCTCGGCGCTCAAGATGTGCGAGCTCATCGTCGAGGCCGGCTTCCCTGCCGGTGTCGTCAACGTCGTCTCGGGCTTCGGTCCCGTCGCCGGAGCTGCCATCTCGCAGCACATGGATATCGACAAGATCGCCTTCACCGGCTCCACCCTGGTCGGCCGCAACATCATGAAGGCCGCGGCCTCGACCAACCTCAAGAAGGTCACGCTCGAGCTCGGCGGCAAGTCGCCCAACATCGTCTTCAAGGACGCCGACCTGGACCAGGCCGTGCGCTGGTCTGCGTTCGGCATCATGTTCAACCACGGCCAGTGCTGCTGCGCCGGCTCGCGCGTCTACGTCGAGGAGTCCATCTACGACCAGTTCATGGAGAAGATGACCGCCTACTGCAAGGGTCTCCAGGTGGGCGACCCCTTCGCCGAGAACACCTTCCAGGGTCCCCAGGTCTCGCAGCTCCAGTACGACCGCATCATGGAGTACATCGAGTCGGGCAAGAAGGACGCCAACCTCCACCTCGGTGGTGTGCGCAAGGGCAACGAAGGCTACTTCATCGAGCCCACCATCTTCACCGACGTGCCCCACGACGCCAAGATCGCCAAGGAGGAGATCTTCGGCCCCGTCGTCGTCGTGTCCAAGTTCAAGGACGAGAAGGACCTCATCCGCATCGCCAACGACTCGATCTACGGCCTCGCCGCCGCCGTCTTCAGCCGCGACGTCAGCCGCGCGCTCGAGACCGCGCACAAGCTCAAGGCTGGCACCGTGTGGGTCAACTGCTACAACATGCTCGTGCCCCAGGTGCCCTTCGGTGGATACAAGGCTTCGGGTATTGGCCGAGAGCTTGGCGAGTACGCGCTTGCCAACTACACCAACATCAAGGCCGTGCACGTCAACCTCAGCATCCCCGCTCCCATCTAAGCGTGGTCGAAGCGCCTGCCCAGGAAAAAAAAAAGGTAAAAAACGTCTCGGTTGTGGTCTTTGTGTATGTCTCGATGAATACAATGAATGCCGTCTCGTGTTGTCGTCGAACGCTTGCATCGTGTGTTGGAAGGCAGTCCTTGAGCATGACGATGCTTGACAGGCACTTGCGGGAAGCCGAAAAAGTGAATCAGTCGCATCGGGTGAACTAGGTCGCCAGCTTCGATCGGTGCCCGATGCCTGCAGTGGCGCGCTGCCGTCATTGGCGCCTCGGCAACTCGGAACGCGATGGACCCTGAGAACGTGCGCGGGCTCCGGTGGCAAAGCGCCGGATCGCCTGCGCAACAGCGCGTGCCAGGCTGGCGTGGAGGCCAAAGGCGTACGCACGTTCGCACCCAAAACTTGAAAGTGACACTCCGAGTCGCAACAACGCTCTGCTCTTTTTTGGGGTTGGCCACACAGGAGCGATGCCCGCGCAGCGAGATACGGTGACTGCGGCCGCCCTCCACACCCCGCACTCGGTCCACAACAAACGCGCCGCTCTGTACCGCATGCACACCTACGTTCATGACCACCATCCTCCCTTCACCCTTCGCCAGGTCGCAAGACCACCCAGCTTCTTTGCGTGGCACTGCAGCTACCTTGCTCGCCGTGAATCCGGAAACTGGCCCGCTCTTGGCTGCTTGCATTGGCCGCTTGGAGCCGTCGTCCGCTTCCCGCCCACCATCAGCACCGCAACCATGTCGCAGTTTGTCTTTGCGGACCGCTTCGTGCTGCCCGAGGGATCGGCTCTTGCTTCCACCAGGCTGCACACCATATTCTACGCCTCGCTCGTAGTGCAGCATGTCGTCTTTCACGCCCTCTCCCAGTCCTGGCTCAAGGGTGACAGCAAGGACATGCTCAAGAAGCGATGCTGGATCCTCACCACCTTGGCCAGCTTCGTCATGTGCATCGCCAGTCTGCCGTATCTCTACGATCTGACCATTGGCGGATTCGACCTGCAAACCCTTCGACCCAGAACCAAGACCGTCGCAGAGCCGCTCGCCGCCTTCTTCGTGGCTTACCTCCTCTCCGACCTCACACTCGGCTCCATCTACTACCGCAAGCTGATCAACCTCTCCTCCGGCTGGATCCACCACATCGCCTACACCTTCCTCTTCTCCCTCTGGGTCCACAAGGGCTGGGCTCACGTCGCAGCAGCCGCGGCCATCTTTGAGCTGCCCACGCTCATCATGGGTATCGCCTCCATCCATCCTCCCCTCCGCTCCAACACAGCCTTCACCGTGACGTTCTTCGCGACGCGCGTTTTCTACCATTTTGCGCTCCTCCTCTGCTCCGTCACCACGCACGGCCGCAGCGCCCCGGGCATCAACGGTAGCTGGGGTCCCGCCATCAGCCTTGTTGCAACCTATCCCATGCACCTCTGGTGGGGCTACAAGTGCATCTGCAGCATCCGTCGCAGGATGCACAAGAGGAAGCTCGAGGCCGCTCAAGTGGCCAAAGAGAAGGCGTCTCTCGCTTCGGCCGCCGGCCAGCTGTTCAACGGTCTGCCCGCTCCAGACACCAGCAGCGCCGTCAACACGCCCGCCGTCACTCCGGGCGCAGGTGCCACCCCAGCCACCGCCAATTTTGGCGCCACCGGTCCGGTCCACGCTGCCTTTGCTCGTGCGGCTGCTGTCACCCGTCCTCCCGTCAATCTCTTTATGCCAAACCGCCGCAAGACGCAGCGCAAAGATGTCCAGTTGGCCTTCGTGCCCCCACTGCTTTCCAAGACGCTCAACCCCAACTACATCAACTCGAACTCCGTCTTCACCGCCCCAGTAGCGCCCGAGGGTGCCGGACCGAACGATACGGAGCCCTTCTTGGCCATCCGCTCCCCCGCCGAATCCAGCGACCGCGCGCGACGCCTCGTGGCTGATGCCGTGCGAAAAGTCTGGATCAACGCTCCCACCAGTTGGCGCCGCCAGTTCGAGGAAGAGGCGGGTGTGCGACCCAGAAGCTTTGCTCCCAGTCGCGTCCCCTCATACACCACGGACGAGTCCTCTGAAGAGTACGAAGAGGCGGATTCCGATTCCATCGCATCGGCAACCTCGACCACCTTGGCATCCGAGTCTCGTGCGCGCCGCTACTTGCAAGCCCAGCGCTCCCGCATTCGTCGCGCGGTGCTGCGAGCGGTACGGACGGCTATCAATGGCCGCGATGCCGATGGCTTCAAGGCGGTCAGCTCGCACGACGGCAATGTGATCACCACCTTTGCTGACGGAGCCGTCGTGGCGGCGGGCGACGTTCGACCGACTGGTCTCGATCGCACGCTGCTCTCGCTTGATTTCAGCTCGCTCATCAAGTATCTCCCTCCAGACTTCTTCGGACAGGAATACGAGATTCGCGAGTTCCCCGTCGAGCAGGTGGCCCAGGGCGGACGCCGACGACGCATCGTCGGCCAGATCCGCCGTCGAATGGAGGTGGCTCGACAGAACTTTGTCGTCTTCGACTGACCGCGCAGCCGGCGACTTTGTGACCGGGACAAGCCGGTCAGCCTTGCCGCCAACTCGCTTGTCAGCTTCATACCACGTGGCCCCCACGTAGATCCGAGAACTGCGCGCGTTCCCCATATTCAAAGACCATATACCCTGCAATTGGCATTATCACTCGGCGATCTCTTGCAGCTGTTGACCCTGAAACCGCTCTTCCGGCGATCCGAGTGAGTCGGACCATTTCTGGTGCGGTTGGTTGGCACGCTGCCATCGGCGGTCAGTGACGACTTTGTTGCTGGACGGTTGACTGCGTCCCGAAGAGCGCTTGTTGAACCTTGTCCACCTTGATCGTCAGGCATCGAGCAAGCGAGCATGGACGAGGGGGAAAGAGCGTGAGTGGGGATCGCGGGGTATCATGGCATCAATTTCGGAGGCAGTTCCGCCGACCGAGCCGAGTTGACGGAAGACGACCTGCATGGAAGCATTGAAGCCCACGGGTCGTACGGTCGGCTATCGACGCTCTGCTTCGATGCGCCTTGCACTCTGCCTAGGCGCTGAGTCATGGGCGTTCCGATCACTGACTCGACCATACCTTGATCTCACTTTACAGTTCGTTTGCGACCCGTCAGACCTTAGGGTTTGCTCGCAGTATTGTGCAAATGACCGAACGGCTTTTGTCTGCAAACGTAAGAGGGGTCTGCGCGGTTGCAACGGCAGCGCGTAAAACCGCCGCATGTCGGCGTGCAGGCGCGCCGATGCATTGCTTCGCCCCACCAACAAGAATGCCGAGTTGCGCGCACTAGTCCGCGTCGATAGCGATCAACGCCGACCACGCCGTGTCATCCTGCGGAGACGCCCATTGTTGGACTTCGAAGAAGCTGGACGGAGGGAAACCAGAGCCATTGTGATATGGCCTCTGCACGTCCACCCAGGCCCGAAATGAATTGCTGTGCCTGCTCGCTTGAGGCAGCACGCTGCTGATGTGTTCGGCGATCTTCTCGAGTCGGCTGTCATGCTGCAAACACCGCGCGTGGGGGAAGGCAGGGTCTGAAAGAGAGGTAAGCACCTCGTCACCCACCGGTTCACGGTAAGATCTCTGCACGCGCGCTGCCAGCTTCGCTGCAAAGCATCGCCAGGCTCGTGCATCTATGTGAGCCACGCTCGGAGAGCTGTATGTGTTGTCAGCGTACGAGCGATGCTATAAGAAGCAAACGTCTTTGACGAGGATGAGGATCTCAAAGCGTAAAGAATCTGCACGCCGCCTCGAGCCCTCCTATCTTTTCACAGCCCTCGCCTGACCACAAGCATGACGCGACTTGGTCTACTTACGTGCCTGTCCTTGGCGTACTGGGCTTCGGGTGCATCTGCTGCTCCAGCTGCCAGCTGCACGTTTACGGACGCTGCGAGCGCCAAGGCTGGCAAAGGGTCTTGCAGCACCATCACGCTTTCCAACATCAAGGTGCCTGCGGGCCAGACGCTGGATCTGACTGGACTCAAGGACGGAACTAGGGTCGTCTTCTCGGGAACCACGACCTTTGGATACACACCGTGGGAGGGTCCGCTGATCTCGATCTCCGGCAACAAGATCGACATCAGCGGAGCTTCTGGCTCGTTGATCGACGGCGGCGGCGGCCAGTGGTGGGACGGAAAGGGAAGCAATGGCGGCAAGACCAAGCCCAAGTTCTTCTTCGCTCATGGGCTTAGCAACAGCAACATTCGGTCGCTGAACGTCAAAAATACACCGGTGCAGGCGTTCAGCATCAACGGATGCACGAATCTGAACGTGGACCACGTGACGATCGACAACTCTGCGGGCGATGTTGGCGAACAGGGTCACAACACGGATGCGTTTGATGTGGGAAGCTCGAACGGTGTGTTCATCACCAACGCCAATGTGCGCAACCAGGACGATTGCCTGGCGGTCAACTCGGGCACGAACATCCTCTTCTCCGGCGGCTACTGCTCGGGCGGCCATGGACTGTCGATCGGCAGCGTCGGTGGACGCAGCGACAACACGGTGGACGGCGTGCGGATTGAAAATTCGCAGGTGGTGAACAGCGAGAACGCGGTGCGCATCAAGACGGTCTCGGGAGCGACTGGGCTTGTGAACAATGTGACGTACGCCAACATCCAAATGTCTGGCATCAGCAAGTATGGGATCGACATCCAGCAGGACTATCTCAACGGCGGCCCTACAGGCACGCCTACGAACGGCGTCAAGGTGACCAACGTCAACATCAACGGCATCACTGGGTCGGTGTCTTCGGGTGCCACGCGGGTCTACCTGCTGTGCGGCTCGGGGTCGTGCTCCAAGTGGAAGTGGAGCGGTGTCTCGTTGACTGGCGGGCAGAAGAGCACCAAGTGCACCAACGTCCCTTCGCCCGCCACGTGCTGAAGAGCAAGACGGCGAGCCGTGGGCACTCCAGGTCATGAAGTATGCGGAAAGCACCTGTAGCGGGCGGAACAAAAGAATCTGAAGGAATGGCAACGTATGGATCTGGTTAGATTGAGATTGCAGTAGATCTCGCGTCGATCTCGCGTCGCGCTGTTGGAAAGGCGACCTTTAATGAAAGCCAGGTGGCGAGGAGCTTGCTGGGATTGGCAGTTGTCGGCCACTAGCGTTCTTCGCGAGGCCCCCGAGCGGTTCGGGAAGCGCCATGGCGGTGCAGGCACGTGTCAAGGCCGGGGCCAAGAGTCGGGGAGGGGCCTAGCCTACAAATGGCTTCCGCGCTGCCTCTCGTCAGAACCAGGCCGCGAACGCCTCCCCGAAAGCAGCCGAGCGGTCGAGGCATGCCGTCGTAACCAAAGTTGGATTGGGCACGACGGGCCTCTCGACAGGCGGGCGATGCTTGCTGCAGAATGCGCCTGCTGATTTGCCTGAATGGGTTCGACAGACGCGCTTTGAGAACGACACTTCTCGCGCCGTACGGTAGAGTGGCCGACTGCATCCGCCCTGTCTGTCGGACATGCCGAGAAAGAACACGGAGCGATTGGCGTGCGGCGCCTGCCTGTCTCAGACGCGATGCAAAGATCGACTATGCACGCTGCAGTCGTGCAGCCTCCAACCCACCTCTCTCGTGAGGTTCTGACAGAGCGCGGAAAATTGCACCGGAATTTCAATCTTGCGCGGCTGGGCTGCTGGATTGCCTCGATCCTACGAGCGAAAGGCCGACTGTAATCTACGTCGACCACAGTTCGAAGACGGTGGGCCCAGGCCGAGGAGCGAGCTGTCGAGGCGATGCAAACAGCGTTAGCCGAGCACAAATCATGTCCGGGTGGATGCCGGTCACGGAGGGGCTTCAATGTGAAAGCAACGGCGAATGGCCACGACTCGAAGGGGGCCCAGACTGATGGCGTCGGGGCGGAGTGTCAGAGTTGCAATCCACAGGGCCCTCTGCTGGGCATGCGTGCCTGCACATGCACACGCTAATTTGCATGCCTCGCTCGGGGCTCCTGGAAGCACCGTGCAGCGGCACTCGACTCGACCGAGCCGACGCGCAAAGCTCACGCGATTCGGCGCGCCCGGCTGTGGCCCTTCGGCCTCTCGTGCCAAGTTTGAAGCTCAGCAGAGATCGATAGCCTCTTTGTACATACATGCTGTGCACGCACGCCGCCGGTGCTCACAGCTGTCGACGCGCCAGTGTCACGTATCGAGCTGGCATTCGGTGGCTCCCGCACACTGATCAGCACGTCCTCGGGTGACCCGATCGAGCGAGCTGTCTCGATCCTCGATGAGCGCCTAGAAGCCGCCAAGCCCTGCGACGTGACATGCGGTGGTGGGCGGGTCACCAGCACCACCCGGGCGAAGATGCGGTGTTGCGGTGTTGCCGTACGAAGCGATGACGTGCGGCTCTGGCAGTTGGGCCCTCCGGCGCATACATCGGCAAACCCAAGCACGCTTCTGGGCGAAAGAGCAGTGAGACATTCTCAGCACCCGTAGCGCGTCTGAGCACGAGTCAAAAAAAAAACAAAGAGAGGGAGAAAGAAAAGAACAAAAAAGTGACAACCTGCTGCCGAGCATGGACGCGATAAACTACAGCGCCTCTGCTCCTGTGCTGCTCGCCTAGTCAAGCCAGACCGGCGTGCGTAATGCGTGCATGCATCAAGGATGTGTGAGCGTTTTCAGCATGCGCGTGCCGCCGACATCATCATCGTTCGCAGCCCACCGCGCCTCGCTTGCCCGCGCCTGCCCGCCCTCCGAAGGCCATCCGTTCCACCAGCTTTGACCGTCCTTTGGCCTTGCATCGGTTCCATTTCCTTTTTTTTTTTCTTTCTCCGCCTTTTGACGCCCGCCCTTCGGCGCTAGCGGAGTGTCTCTCCATCACGTCGGCCGTGCTCGCATCTCCTGCCTGTCGGTCACTTTGAGCTTTGGCCGGCTCTCGCTGCTATATATGTCTGGCGTCGTCTCGTTTGGCGCTGCTGGCGTCCTCGCTCCCCTACCTTCCGCATCGATTCATTCCATCTCTGTAATCGAACCTATCCGCTTCCGCGCGCGTCGACCGCTTCCACGTCGTCCTCGCCATCCGCCATGCCGTCGTTCAGCCTTGTCTCTGGCCCGGCGCAGCTCGTGGTGGCCGCCCTGCTTGTGGGGCGTGCCGCTGCTCAGCAGGCCACCAATTCGGGCGCCTCCACCTCTACTGTCATCTCCGCCATCGTGCTCAACGCCGTCATCTTTGCCATTCTCTTCTCCGTCTTCCTCATCGCGCGTCCCCGCTTCAAGCGCGTCTATGCGCCTCGCACCTACCTCGTCGTCCCCGAGGAGCAGATCGAGCCTCTGCCTAAGTCGCTCCTCGGATGGCTCCCCGTCTGGCTCAAGACTCCCACCACCACCATCCTCGAGAAAAATGGCCTCGACGCCTACATGTTTGTCGAGTACCTCGAGATGATGCTTTGGGTCTTCATTCCCACCTTTGTCCTCTCCTGGATTGTCCTCATGCCCACCTACGGTGCAAACACCACCGGCGAGGGCACCGGATTCAATCGCTTTATCCTCAGCCGCGTCGGCACCTCCAGTCAGCAGCAGAAGCGTCTCGTCGCCCCGCTCCTCGTCCAGTACGTCTTCACCTTCTGGCTTCTCTGGAACATCCGCTCGCGCATGTCCAAGTTTATCAAGCTGCGCCAGCAGTTCCTCGTCTCGCCCCAGCACGCCAACAGCGCCCAGGCCAGGACCGTGCTCATCACTGGCATCCCCAACGAGCTCCTCAGCGAAAAGAAGCTCCGCGCCATCTACTCGCAGCTCCCCGGCGGCGTCGCCAAGATCTGGCTCAACCGCAACCTCAAGGAGTTACCCGACCTCTTTGACGAGCGTGAAAAGTGGTGCAACAAGCTCGAAGGCGCAGAGACCAGCCTCATCAAGACCGCCTACAAGCTCGTCAAGAAGGGCAAGGCCCAGGACGCCAGCGGCTCGCTCCCCGAGACCGACGTCGAGATCAACGCCGAGGTGGCCGACCAGTACGTGCCCAAGAAGAAGCGCCCTACCCATCGCCTCGGCAAGCTGCCGTGCATGGGCGAGAAGGTCGACACCATCCACTGGTGCCGCGAGGAGATCGCCCGCCTCAACAAGGAGATCGAGAAGAAGCGCTCCGAGATTGCGGTCGACTATAAGAACTACCCTGCTCAGAGCAGCGCCTTCATCCTGTTCAACACCCAGATCGCCGCCCACATGGCCGCCAAGTCGCAGGCGCACCACGAGCCTTACCGCATGACCAACCGCTACGTCGAGGCTCACCCCGACGACGTCGTCTGGGCCAACATGAACATGAACCCCTACGAGCGCAAGATCCGCACCGTCATTGGCTGGGCCATCACCATCGGCCTCATCATCTTCTGGGCCGTCCCCGTGGCCTTTGTCGGTATCATTTCCAACATCAAGGGTCTCGCCAACAACGTGCCCTTCCTTGGCTGGCTCAACACCATCCCCAACGTTGTCGTCGGCATTATCCAGGGTGTCTTGCCCACCGTGCTGCTTGCCGTGCTCAACATGCTGCTTCCCATCTTCCTGCGTCTCCTCTCGCGCCTCAGCGGTGTCCCCACTCGCAGTGGCATTGAGCTCGACCTCCAGGGCCGATTCGCCGCCTTCCAGATCGTCCAGAATTTCCTCTTCCTGACCCTCATCTCGGGCAACGCTGGTCAGATCTACAAGTACGTCTCCGATGTAGCGCAGCAGCCCGCCACGTTCCCTGGTCTACTTGCTCAGGCTATTCCAAAGGGTTCGCTGTTCTTCCTCAGCTTCATCGCCCTCCAGGGTCTCTCGGGTGCTGCTTCGCTCTTCGCTCAGCTGCCCGGCCTCGTCGTCTACTACGTCAAGAAGTTCTTGCTCGCTTCGACGCCTCGCAAAGTGTGGCACATCGACCACGACACTAGCGGTGTTGCCTGGGGCACGCTCTTCCCGTCCATGACGCTCATCACGGTCATCGGCACCGGTTACGTCGTGATTGCGCCCATCATCAACGGCTTTGTCGCCTTCACCTTCCTGCTCTTCTTTTTCGGCTACAAGTACCTCTTCCTCTACGTCTACGACACCAAGCCGCCCAGCGAGACTTCGGGTCTCTTCTTTGGCAAGGCCATCCGCCACATCTTCGCCGGTCTGTACGTTGAGATGGTCATGCTCACCGCCATCTTCTTCCTCGCGCAGTCGATCGACGCCGCGGGCAACAAGACGCAGTCGGCGATCCCCGAAGGTGCCTTCATGGTGGTCTTGATCGTCGTTGTCGTCGCATTCCACTACTTCCTCAACGACTCGTTCCGCGAGCTCGAGACCGCTCTGCCCCTCTCGCTGAGCGGTGGCGAGTCGCAGGCGGCCGCCGGCAACGGCCGCACCTCGAACGAGACGGCGCTCAACGAGAAGAGGACACCCAACGGCCAGGGCAAGTTCAGCATGGAGGCGACGCCCGCTTCGCAGGGAACTGGCTACGACAACGGCGTATCCAACGGCGAGAAGAAGCAGGAGGCTCTTTCGGACGAGCACGACTCGGCCTTCTACCACCCATCGCTCACGGGCGAGCAGAAGCCCATCTGGCTGCCGAACGACAAGTTCGGCATTGGTCGCGCTGGAGTCGCCTCGGCCCGCAAGGCCGGTCTCGACGCTACCTACGAGCACACCTCGGTCACTGAGAAGGGCCAGGTGGAGACCGACGCTTACGAGCCCCCTGGTGAGCCCCTCGTCTGAGGAGCCGCAAAGCCTCTTGAACGTGTGTGCGCACCACGCGCCTCTCTCTGCCTTTGCCTTGCGACAATGAGTGGAGCAGAGCGGCGAGCCGGTGCGCCACACGTGTATAACCCCTACTGAGGCAGTTCCGAGTTTTGTGGAGAATACCCGTTCCAGTAATACGCCAACAACCTCTTGCCTCCGAGACAGCGAATGACGACAGTGACAGTGTGATGAGTTACGAAATTGTATTGAACGCTTCGACAAGAGCGAGGAAGAGAAAAGAAGCGATGGGGTCAGAGGCCTAAAGTCGGCGGCGACCTCGGCCAGTTGGCCGGTGGGCGAAAAATTAGCATCGGCGAATTGGGCGGCTGCCCACGCCGATGCAAAACAAAGGTCTGTGGGGGAGCTCCGCAGGACTTGCCAAATTCGCTTGCAGCTTCCGCCTCCACCCTGAGAAAGTGCGAGCCATGGTCGGGCCTGCCGTCGAGCTGAGCTGTGGCGAGTGAGGTTGAAGGCCCTCGCGTTTGCGCTATCGGTGAGAAGCCGATGCATGACTTCGGTTGCCATCCAGCTTGGAAGAGCGAAGTTCGGCCACGTCCGAAGAATATCAACTCTCCTCCTCACCACCAAATCCGACCCTCGATTTCCTTCTGACTAGAGCGACAGCGCTGACCAATTCGACCGGCAATGACTGCGACAGCCTCAACTAGCCAAAGCCATGCCTTCGGAGGCTCCAAGGCCGCCAACACAGTCCCAGACTTTGACGACATTCCCGCGGTAGCTGGCATGCCTCATGGATGCGCATGGAAAGTGTGGGGCGAAGATGACCAGCTTGGCACGCTCAATCTGCTTACGCCCGAGGTCGTAGCGAGTGCGGCACAGGAAAACATCCGCACTGGTGATCGAGTCCAGATTGACTGGGGTCTCGATAGCGTCGATGTTCCCGCCAACAAACGCAAGCACTTTCACCACGAGCTCCTCGACCTCAAGAAGAAGCTCGGCGTCTATGCGACGGACGACGAGCTGCATCTCAACACCCAGACCTCGTCGCAATGGGACGGCTTCAATCATTTTGCCCATCAGGCTACGGGCACCTACTACAACGGCCTCAAGCACGACGATCTCCACTCTGGCGCCGTCGATAAGGGTGCCAAGAACAGCATGCACGCCTGGTGCTTGAGCGGCGGTATCGCCGGCCGAGGCGTTCTCGTGGATTGGGTGCACTGGTGGGAGTCCACAAAGACCGAGCCGATCCCGGCCGCAAACTCCTCCTACCCGATTCCCCTTTCGCAGATCAAGGAGGTGCTGGAATGGCAAAAGACGGAATTACGCGCGGGCGACATCCTCCTCCTCAGGACGGGCGTGGTGAGGTGGTTCGAGCAGGCCTCGGACGAGGACAAGGTCAAGGGCATGATTGAAAACGACAACTTCCCCGGCATCGAAGCGACCGAAGAGGTCAAGCGATGGCTGTGGAACAGCCACTTTGCCGCAGTGGCAAGCGACAACCCTTCGTTCGAATTTGGCCCTCACGGTGACTTGTGGCTTCACGAGTGGCTGCTGCCAATGTGGGGATGCCCCATCGGCGAACTATTCGACCTCGAACGCCTTTCGGCTGCGTGTCAGAAGCATCAGCGTTGGACCTTCTTCCTGACCTCGGCCCCGTACCGAGTCAAGGGCGGCATCGCATCGTCTCCCAACAGCATCTGCATCTTCTAGCTCCGCACTTCCGGCAAGCTTTCGCTGACGCCGTCACAGCGCGCTGAAGCACCGCCTCCTTGTATCCTACGCCATTTGCTGTCTCCGACAATTTCACACGCCCCCCTCAGCCATCTGCAACGAGGACCAGCTTACCACACTCGCTTCGATTGCCAATGTCTAGGTTACATTTCACTACAGCTCTGCCAGGGAAGTGCGGCCACCTAGCAGCTCGACGAGCGCCTTGAACTCGTGCCACCACGCGGTCTTGCCGCGTCGGTTCTTCATGTCCGCATTCCTTGCCATCTCGGTAGCGGAGGTGAAGCAGATGGTGGATCCCTGGATGGTGATCATCACGGCTGTCTGGTCCGAGTACGACTTTTCCGACGCGCCCGCGCCGATCTTGGACGATGTGGACGACGAGCTGCGCTGCTTGAGCGCCTCGGCCTCGAGGAACTCGCAGCACTTGAGCGCCAGACGCGTCGCACGCACACGGTCCAACGGCGAAGGCACACCGCCCTGCAGCGTGTGACCGAGACTCGCGGATCGCGCGTCAAAGAGGCTGTTGCCCTCCTCCTTGAGAATCTTGGTGATGACCTCGGTGGTGAACACGTCGGACGATTTTTCGTTTCGGATGACCAGCCTGCCCTCGGACTTGCCCTTGACGTCGAGAAGGAAACGCTTCTTGAGGAAAGCCACATCCTTGCCGAGCTGGTGCAGACCGATGCCCACCTCGGGCGTGTAGACGAGCACAGCACCGGCGGCAAGCGCACCCATGACAGCAATGTAGCCGCACTTGCCACCTTGTGTCTCGACCACAAACACACGATTGCGCGAAGCCGAAGCCGACTGCTTGACGGCGTCGCATGCATCGACCAGGGCGTTGAGCGAGGTGTCGGAGCCGAGCGAGAACTCGTTCATCGGCACATTGTTCGAGATAGTAGCGGGCAGGCCCACGATGGGAATGCGGAAGGCTGGGTAGCGATCGCGGTTGTCGTTGAGAATCTTGACCGAGCTGAAAGCCTCGAAGCCGCCGACGATGAGCAGGCCTTCGATCTTGTGCTCTTGCAGCTTGGCAGCCACTGCGCCGATGTCGATGTCTGGCAGGTGACGGTTGACGCCGAGCTCGGAGCCGCCTCTTGTGGCCCAGTTGTCGACACGCAGCCAGTTGAGCACCGAGACGTTGTCCTCGAGCAGGCCGGGGAAACCGTTGTAGATGACCACGGCATCGTGGCCCTTGGCAAGGCAGTAGCGCACTGCGGTGCGAGTCGCGGCGTTCATGCCGCCTGCAGGAGCGCCGACGTGGATGATGCCCATGCGGAGGCGCTTCTTCTCGGGCAGCATCTCGTCGTCGGTGATTTGGCTGATGTACTTGAAGGCGCGCAGACCCTCTGCGAACTCGGGATCGCGCAGGTCGAGGGCGCCATCAAAGTCCTTGGACTCAATGAGCTTGGCCACCTTCTGAGTCTGCTCGACGGCGAACATGAGCGGGATGCGGGTGATCTTGTTCTCGCTGATACCGATCACGTACGAGGGAGTTTCGGGCGTCGCCTCCAGCACGGCGTCCACGGCCTCGATACCTTGGAGCGTGGCGAGGATGCGGTCGTTGGCGTCGGGCTTGCCACCACGCTGGGTGTGTCCGAGCGTGGTGACGCGAGTGTCGAGGCCGAGGTCATTGGAGAGGACGTCCTTGATCATGTCGGGCGTGATGTCGTTGAGTTCGCGATCGATAGCGCCCTCAGCGACGATGACGATCGACTTTCGCTTACCGAGGTCGCGGTGCTTCTGGAGAACCTCGCACATCTCGGAGTGCCACTCCTGGCCCTGGGGAGGTCGCTCTGGGATGAAGACGTAGTCTGCGCCGGTGGCGATACCGGCCATGAGAGCGAGCCAGCCGCAGTGACGGCCCATGACTTCGACGACAAAGGCTCGGGAATGCGAGGCGGCGGTGGAGGAGATGGAATCGACGGCCTCGCAGATGCGCTGCAGAGCTGTCGAGGCGCCGATGGTGATGTCGGTGGTGGCCATGTCGTTGTCGATGGAGCCGACGAGGCCGACGATGTTGAGATGGGCAAACTTGGAAGCTTGCTCCTCGGTGATCCTGCCCTTGGCCTTGAGCGAGGCGACGAGGTCGGGCCACTCTGCACGCAGTTTGTCGGCACCTGTGAGACTACCGTCACCTCCGCACACGGCGAGAGCGTCGATGCCGTTGATGATGAGGTTGTACGCGGCCTGCTCTCGGCCTTCGGGCGTTCGGAAGGTCTTGGAACGGGCGGTGCCGATGAGCGTGCCGCCCTGGTCCATCCAGCCTCGCACGTCGTCCCAGCCGACGCGGATGATGTAGCGCCCGCGGAGGCCGAGCTCCTGCGCCTCGCCGACGCCTTCCCTGAGCAGCTCGCCCTCTCCGTACGTGGGGACAAAGCCGGTCTGCTCGTCGTGCTCGGCCGGAGGAGTCGCCTTGCCCTTAGGGTCGGAAGTGTCGACGAAGGTGGTGGAGGATTTCCTGCTGATGGAGGGTGTGGCGGAAGGGGTGTGTTCGGGCGTGTGGTTGCCGCGCACGAGGCCCTCCCAGCCTTCTCTGATGACGAATGCTTCGCAGCCGCGGACGATGGCCATCTTGACGACGGAGCGGACGGCGGCGTTCATGCCCGCCGAGTCACCACCGGAGGTCATGACGGCGAGCCTCCGAGGCTGTCCACCATTGTTGGCGGGAGTGAACTTGCCGAGCACAGGCTTGCCCGACTGTGCGGCGAAGGTGTTCTCGGCACGCACGGCCGGAGCGAAGGGAGGCATGGTGTTGGAGGTGGCTGGATGTCGAGCGAGACGATGCTCGACTCTCGTGTGGTAGTGGAGCGGGTCTGACGCGGACGTTGGACGCGCGCTGCGACTTGTGCGCTAGAAGCCTGAGGATGGATAGGTGGAGGGGATCGCCTTGAAGCTGAAAGATGCTGGGCTGGGCAGCGGTCGGCTCGCTGAGTGTAGTGTGCAGCAGCCTCGTCGCGTCGATAAGTCTGGTTCTCGACAGCAAGAAGAGAGTCTGAACACGGGGCGCGTGCGTGTTGGCAGGGGAGGATGGGTCTAAGGATGGCGGCGGGATGGGAGAAGTGGGTCGAAGATGATGCTCGGCTACCGTTGGCTCTTTTTTTTCGTGGTGGTGAGCCTCTATCGATCTGGGTGATGCTGCAGCTCTATCGAGGCCGCGCTCCGTGCGCAGGCAGGCAAGTCGATCTGATCTTTTCGGCCTCCAACACCCTTTGCAGGTCCCACGCCGAAATCGAGCCGAGTGGGAGGAAAAGTGGAAAGCGCTGGGCCTTTTGTTTTTTTTTGGGCTCCACTCTGTTTTTTTTCGTCGCAGCAGATAACGACGATTTTCGACCAAGACGAGATGCTGCTGCCTCGGTCGAATTTCGGATGATCCGCCTTCCGCCTTTCTCACGCTGCAAGACCGTCATCGTCATGCAGAATAGACTCTGTGAATGCTCGTCTGCCCCCCCCCCCCTTTTCTTCTTCCTGAGCAAAATCTCAGCAGAGAGACAAGTGTCTCGTGTAGCGAAGGGAATTTGATCAGGCTAGGAGGGGTCGGTCTTCAGAAAGTTGTTCACGGGGCGAAAAGCTGGCCGGTACTGAGGGGTTTCCGTGAAGAATCATCGGGCTATCGGGTCACGATAGTGAACGTGAAATCGGCGATCGCAAAGCCAGGACCTCTGCTCGACAGATCAAGTAGGCATCATCGTTGGTTGGCCGCTCGATCGGCCCAAATGAGATCTGATGCAAGCTACAGCATTGGGCTGCAAAGCTTGAGATTGTGGCGTTGATGCGCTCGGCTGCCGTTGACCTGGTGGCTCGGCAGCCAGATGGAGGTTCGTGTTGCTCACCCATCGCGGTACGTTTGCTGCGCGAGATTCGAGATCCGCTCGCGAGGGTCCAGCCCAAAAAGCGCGAATCAAAACCCCCGAGCCATGTGGACGCGGCAGCAGGCACTAGTGAACTGGCGTTCCTCATCATGCTTGGGAAGATGCATTGCAGCTCTTGGCCTGTCTTACAACAATGACCGATCGGCCACTCGATGCTTTCGCGCCCCATCGCTTTATCCGGCATAAGCAAACATTGACGTCGGCAGGATTGTTGGTGGGTTTGATGGGCCGCCGCGGTGGCGTCTGCAGTGATGAGCTCGCTCGGCAGGCCAAGGATGCGAATTCAACGGGACCGTATATCTCCGCGGTACACGCACGTCAAGCCATCCAACCCAGCATGGATCGTTCGACAGGGCTCGCCTTTTGGAAGAGATATTTAGAAAAGGGGGGAAAGAGATGGGCAAGAGAGCGTGGTCCAAGCGGCCTGTGTCGCGGTTGGATGCAGCAGAGGAACTCGCGTCGGTTGCAGACGAGCAGACGAGCATATTGGCTCTCGATTGACTTCGAGGCTTGGGCTTGGCAGGCTTTGGCTCATGAAAGACGTGGCAACGCTGAGGCGCAAGAGACCAGCGCGTAGCGACCAGCGCTCTCAGAGAGCGCATTGTATGGGCTGACTCGCCGCGGTCCCGCCCGCTACGCGTGCGACACGCGCGTCCATTTCCACCTCGCCGCTGCCGCTTGGCACGCCGGACGGGCGGTCTGATCGGCGCGCGCGGTCCTCCCGTGAGCGGTCGGCAGGCGGCCGCCCCTTCTGGTTGGAATTCGGATGCGACGGCAGGGGAGCCAGGCAAGGCAGCAGCAACAGCAGCCGTCCGCCGCCGCCGCCCCTCCTCCTCCGCATAAGCAGGCGAGGTGGGGGGGGGGGGGGCGGATGAGGTGAGGTGAGGTGAGTGGGTGAATGTGCCGAGCGTGGGTGGGGATGAGTCGCAGTCGAGATGAGCGCTTGACCCCTTGCTTGGCTGGCTGGCTGGCCATTTTTCTCTTTTACTTTTTTTTTGTTATTTTCCGACATTTTGGGCGGGTCGAGGGGCGACGCTCGTGGTTCAGCCGCGCCGGAGTTACCTGACAATTGGCTGCTGCTGCTGCTGCTGCTGCTGTTGTGCCGGCACGCGCCCAACGCCCCTGGTAGCTGCTGGCCTGGCCGGCCCGCGCGCTCAGCTGCTGAAATGCAAAAGAGTGAGCTGGGAGTGTCAGCCCAGCCGCGCGCGGGCGCAAGACTGCTGCCGTGACGGTCAACGACAGGCGCTACAGTGCACCCGCACCCGCCCTCAAGCAGCCAGCAGCCACACATTTGGACCCGCACCGCGCGCTGCGTCGCTGCAACTGCACACCGCACACCGCACACCGCACACTGCCCTCTGCAGTGGTAAAGGCAAGCAAAGCGCTCGAGTTGTTGCACTTTGCTCCAACTTTAGCTCGCCGCTGTCTCTGGCAACCGCGATTGCTGCCATCTGCACTGCACAGCTCATCGAGAGACGCTCTCGTCCCGCACCGCCAAACCCCACCGTCGCCCACCGCCACCCACGTTGCTCACCACCATCGTCTCGTTCCGCTTCACCTTCCGTCTCTGCTCTCGCCGCAGACTTCGCACTGGCACGCACCGGGTGAACATCATCTGTATCTCACCATCGCTCGCAACGACAGCATCCCGTCTACCTTGCGTCTACCTTGCGCTCGGACCGCACGCAAGAGCCCTTTTGCGCTTGCGCTAGATTGGCTTCTTTCACCGCTCCGACTCGGCCCCCGACGCTCGACGTGGATCTCGTCCTCGCATCCGCTTTCGTCCGCGCAGAACCGTGCTCCGTTCGAGACTCGCCTGTCGGCCCCGTCCGCTGCCGCCGCCCATCCGTTTGCAGCTTTGGTCTCGCGCCTCGCGCTGCCACACTTGCGACCGGTCACATCGTCACATTCAGTCACACGGCAAGTGCCGTCGCGTTCCACCTCGGCCCATCCGACCTCTGCTGCGCGAGCCACGCCGGTCAATCCGAAAGAAACTGCCTCGCAGGCCCACTCCGCGCATCGCAGAGTCACAGCCGCTCCGCAGTCGTGCTCGAGGTGCTCCCTCTCTCTCTCTTGACCAGGTCGCGCTTGCATCGCCCATCTCGTCTCGCATCTTGCCCGATCAGCTCCTCGTCCCGCCCTCCATCATCGCAAAAAGGGTCGGACGCGGTTTGCACGCCGTCTGCCATTGGCCACCCCTTGTAGAGACTTGCTGCGCTCGACCATGCTGCGTTTGCGTTGCGTGTCCAGATAAGCAATGGCACAGGTTGCTTCGAGCTCGAAGCTACCCCTTGCCCTCCCCGCCAACGACCAGCACCATCGTCACATCGATCTCCGCACCGACATGGCGGGTTCTTCCGGTGCGGTGTACCCCGCCGCAGCGCACGGCTCGAACGCACTCAAATCCGACGCCCCTCCTCCCGCCGCCGGGCCATCGGCTTCGTCCTCGCTACGCCCACCAGAAATGCCCACCACAGCTGCCTCGCTCATGCGCGAAGGTCCCCGCGACTTTACCGTCATAAAGGACGTCGGCGACGGCTCCTTCGGCACGGTATGCCTCGCCGACTGGAAGAGCCCACTTCCGAGTGGCACCATGCTCTCGCCCATGCAGCATCCCACCACCCGCCCCGAGTACATCGGCAAGCGTCTCGTCGCCATCAAGAAGATGAAGAAGCCCTTCCCCAACTGGCAGGAGTGCATGAAGCTCAAAGAGCTCAAATCGCTCCTCACCATCCCTCCGCATCCCAACATCATCCCGCTCTACGATGCATTCCTCATGCCCACGACAAAAGAGCTCCACTTTGTCTTTGAGTGCATGGAGGGCAACCTCTACCAGCTCACAAAGTCGCGCAAAGGCCGTCCGCTCGCTGCTGGTCTCGTCGCCTCCATCTACGAGCAGATCGCCCTCGGCCTCGACCACATTCACCAGCACGGCTACTTCCATCGCGACATGAAGCCCGAGAACCTCCTCATCACCACCACAGGTCTTGCAGACTATCCGCAGCTTCAGCCGGGCGCACCGCCAGAAAAGGACGTGCTCGTCATTGTCAAGCTCGCCGACTTTGGCCTCGCCCGCGAAACACTCAGCAAGCCGCCTTACACCGAGTACGTTTCCACCCGCTGGTACCGTGCCCCAGAGGTCCTCTTGCGCTCGCGCGACTACAGCAATCCCGTCGATATGTGGGCGCTCGGCACCATCCTCGCCGAGCTCGTCAACCTCAAGCCGCTCTTCCCGGGCCACAGCGAAGTCGACCAAGTCCTTCAGATCTGCGAAGTGCTCGGCGACCCAAGCCACAGCTACGGTCACGACTCGCGCAGCAGACGCAACGGGGGCGGTCCGTGGGACAGAGGCATACGCATGGCGAGATCCGTCGGCTTCCAGTTCCCAATCTGCAAGCCCGTCAAGTTTTCGCGACTCTTCTCCGATCGCGTCCCCCGCAGCCTCGTCGATTGCATCGAGGACCTCCTGCGCTACGACCCCAAGGCACGCCTAACCAGCAAGGACTGCATCGAGCACGAGTACATGAAGATGGACGCCCCACGCATGCGACCGCCCCAGGCCAAGCCTGTCGTCAGCGCAACCGCCCCTCTTCGCCCTCCGCAGAACTTTGCCGCCAATGCGGGAGCATCGCGGCCCGTTCCCCCCTCGCATTCGACTCCGCTGTCGCCCCAGGCATCCAAACCACCATTCGGTGCGGCAGAGCCCAACCTCAAACCGATGGCCATGCTCCGCCAGCCCAACGGCTCCGCTGTCGTCATGGTCAATGGCAGCCGCCCGACCGACGCCAGCGATCCGGCTGCCAGTGCAAATGCTTCTCCTGCTTCCCCAATGCAGGTAGATGCCGCCGAGATGCAGTGGGCTCCGCCGATGCCTTCCATGCAAAGGGACGTCTCGCTGTCCGGATACCCAGCCTTCCCCGATTCGGCATCTCTCTATGCGCAGAGCAGCTCGACACACCACGATGACCCGTCCTCCGGCGCTCCTTCCTCGGATGCCACAGTCGTGCTTGGCAATGCATCCACCGCACCCTCAGCCAGCCAAGCAACCGATGCGACGCTCAAGCATGGCGATTATCGCCAGGGCCAGACGTTGCAAGCGCATCAGTACGAGCAATACCAGCGTCAGTACAGGCAAGACGTCGCCAACCTGCAACGTGACGCTTACGATGATCCGCAGGCTAGGGGCTTCGCTCCGCATGCTGCCGGATATCCCCATGTCGGCATCGACAGGGGGCTCCCTGGAGCCATGTCTTCGGGCGATCTTTCCCAGAAGAATGATTCCAATGCTAGCAACGAGACCATCGGCTCGCGTGACAAGGAAAGACGCAGGAGCAAGGGCTGGGGCCTCAACATTTCGTCCGTTTTCGGAAGCAGCGGCGGCAGCACCACTGCTGTTGGCTCGAGCGGAGGTGTCGCTGGCAACGCAACTGGCGGTGCACAGCACTATGGCTCCCCCAACGCTGCCGCCGCTCGCATGGCGTCCAACGGCATGATGCCTCACGCGCAGCAGGATCTCAGATCGCCTATGGAACCGACGCCCGCCCAGAAGATCGCGGCTGAGCATTCCGGTGCGGCGCCGCAGTCGAATGGAGCGCCGGCCAAGCCGGTCGATCCGAAGAAAGCCAAGAAGGAGGCCGAGAAAGCGGCGCGAGAGGCGGAAAAGGCGAGGCGAGAGGCGCAACAGAAGGCCGCCCGCGATCGAGCGCGCGCCGTCATGCAAAAGCGCAATCAGCTCCTCGCCTCTTCCAACAGCAAGGATCCCGTGGAATGGCTCGCGGGCTCGATCCAGGCCGACGAGCCGTATCGAACGGGTCCGAGCGAGAAGGCGCGCGGCAAGCAGCCTGCAGCGCCGGGATCGCAGCTGTCGCCCTCCATGCCGAGCTTCGGATCGGGCGAATTCCCGCGCTCGCCTTTGCAGCCGCCCATCCATGGCCTGAGCCCCGACTATGGTCTTGCGGCAAATCCCGCGGTGACGGGCAACATGGCGTGGCGTGGCGTCGGGGCTACGCGGTACAGCCGCTCCAACAAGGCGCGACGACGGGAGCATGACGACGATCATTCCATGTCGAGCTTCGAAGATGCGGTCGATCCGCGCCGAGCCTCGATGCAGTCGTACCAAACCGGCGACAGCGATCCGGGACCCGGGACCGGGTCGCATCTGCCGCAAGGGCACCATATCCAGCGAGCCAGCTCGTCCTCTTCGCTCGCCTCGGCTCCGTCCTTCGATCAGCGCCGCTTCGCCCCGTCGCTGGAGTCGCATCGCAGCTCGCAAGAGACACGTTCGATCAGCTCCTTGGACCACCAGCTGATCACCAACATGGAAAACATGACGGCAGCCGAAGCTAGAACTCGCACGCCCGGCAACGTTTCTCCCGGTCCGGCGCATATGGTAGGGGCTCGTCAGTCTCTCAGCCGTCAGAGCCGAGCGAACAGCCGTGCGTCGTCGACATCGGCGCATCGACAAGGCTCTGCATCGCCTTTGCATCACGCCAGCGGAATCCCGCGCTTCCATCCTTACCACGGCGGAGCAGGTGCGGCTCCGGCGGGCTTCCATCCGAACTATCAGCTGCCGCCTTTGCATCAGAGCCTGCACAATGCGATCCCCCATCGCGGCGACACCGGCGGCGATGGATCGGCTCCGCAGGCCTTCCAGTCGAACGCGGGCCATGCCCAGCAGCAGCATCACATCAACCCCATCTTCCACGTGCCAGGTGGGAATGGCGGACACGGAACAACGCTGCCGCCCTTCTCGTCGATCGCAGCATCGATCGATGCTTCGAGCACCGACGACAAGACAGCCCAGATGCTCTATGCGCAGGCACGCGCCTCTGGTCCTCTGCCTCAAAACTGACCTCGTCTTGCTCAGGTCAGAGCCCTTCTCTCCAGCAAAGCATGGCTGTGTGCCTGCGGTGCTCCATGCTCCTTATCTGCACGCTCCTTTTGCTCCCGTTGTCATTTATATCTTCGTGCATAATCTCGTCGTGCATACCTCGGTGCCTGCCAATACCATCGTTTGTAATTCTTTGCTGCCGCCTGATCTCGTCGATCGGCTCTCGTATCTGCTGAAGCATGGCGGGGACGAGACGAGCGGGAAGCAGCGGTGGGATGGTGCCAAGCTGACAAGAGCTGCTCGAAGTCGAAGGGGAAAATGCAGAACAAAAAAAAAGAGGAATTCTCCGAATCCGGGAATTGAACCCGGGTCTGCGCCGATTTCTACGCGGAGAAGCGTCAATTGAATGACAAGGCGCCGTCATAGCCACTAAACTAATTCGGACGCTTTCGTGTCAAGCGACGATGACATTGCATACATATAGGGTTTGTTTCAAGCAGTGAGAAACATTTAAGGCGGGTGTCTCGTTGCACTGCCAGTCGTGGTTCAATTGGCGGCGATAGCGAGAGTCTCAGCAAGAATCCAGCGAGAGTCTCAGCAGAATCCGGCGCTCGTCTTGCATTGAATGAGCGCTAGACTTCTGCGTAGGTGATTCTGTTGGCGACTTGGATGCCGATGCGGGAGACGCGAACCGGCGGCAGTTTGCGCAGCTTGGATCCCCGCTCGGATTCGACGCTGTCGATGAGCGCGCGAAAGCGCGAAGCAAGCATGCCGGCGTCGGTGTCGCTCGATGGCGGTACAGACAGGCACGTGGTGCTCGCGTGAAAGCGCGCCTCTTGATAGTACGACTTGGCGCGGAAGGCGCGGTGTAGTTCGGCGCCTAGCGCAGTGGAGAGCTTGCGGAGCTGTGCACGCACAATTAGTGTCAGCGGTGTTGACAATCGTCAGTACCCCTGCCCGTCAATGTTTGGGAAGCTTCGTCACCAGACACTTGAGCCTGTATCCTTGTGAGGATGGATGGCTGGACGCACATTTTCGCGACCCGGGCCGACTTCGAGCACCATGAAGTGCTTGGACGCATCATCGTTGGAAAGGCAAGCAATGCGCGAAAAAGAGAAGCAGAAGCTGATACACACGCGCACGTCAGAAACCGCAGACCCACTTTTTCAAGACGATGCCTGTCACTGGTGTGCAGACAAGGCATGGAGCATAGGACTCACCTGGTCATCTCGATAGGAAGGCGCCCGATTTCGGTCAAGGCAGTCTTGACGTACTCGTCCCTCTCGTGAGCGCGGACCGTGAATGGCCGAGTGAGAGAGATGTGCAGCTTCTCGATTGTAGACAGGTAAGGCTCTGAGCTTGCCTCGGCTTCAGCTGTCTTCAGCAAGCGTGCTTTGTCCGGAACTGCTTGTTCGAGCCCCTGCTCCAGATAGGAGTGGCTTTCTTGGATTAAAGTCCTCAAAGAAGGTGTCATCGGCACTGTGTGCGATTCAACAAAGACATCAATACACGCGCAAATGTACTAGAAGTATCAGTCGGATCTTACCTTCTACAAAGCAGTAGCACAGCCATTCGCCGCGGGCGTATGCTGTCTTTGGCTCATCTGGTGCTCGGTCGCCAGGTGCCGGGCGGCTCCCTTGTTGCAAGCTGTCATCGTCGAGCGGCTGTAGCTTCCTGTTAGGTAGGAAAGCCGAGTAGGGCTTGATGCTTAGCTTACATCCTCCATGGCGTCTCACTGCATCGTGCTGTCATCTCACCTTTTGATCCGATGCGTGTGCGCTTCACGCGGAGGTGCTTCCTTGACTAGATCGTCATTGACGCAGGCGATCGGTTGTGCGACAAGTGATCTTGTTTGGTCTGAAGGAGAAGCGTCATCGTCTGAGTCCGAGTCAGAGTAGCAGACGAGACGCTCGCCGCGTCCGCTCATGCTCTCGCCAGACAGAGGAAATGGTGGTGGCCAGTTTGGTCCGTGCCACCACCAGGGTCCACACCGCTGGACCCCCGCCGGCCTGTCGGATTGCGCACCTGCTCGGCGCTGACCGAAATCCGAGGACAACCTCGGGTGTTTCTGGATCTGATATCGGGACTTGATTTTGTGCGGGGTGTCCGATCGATAAAATGCAGGCGAGCCTGGCTGCCAAAGGGCGCGTTTTGCAGTTCAAAACGAAAAATTCCCACGCTCCTCGCGCAAACGGCACAGAATTCTGCAAAAATCAGCCCTGCTGGCGAGCTGGATAGCAGCCTCGCCATTTGAATTTGTAATGCCCGACAGGGCGATAGCACGCGAACTTCGACCAGGCTCGAGTCTCTGGCCGTGGCTGCGGTCTCGCTGCTTTGGCTGGGTTGGAGAGCCCGAGAAAGAGTGGCAGAGGCTGGAACGAGGAGCAAGGCAGCAGTGGGAGCGGCTGAAGGCACTGCGTCGAGGGCGAGGAGGTGAACGCGAAGCTCGAAGGCCAGTCAGTAAAGCCAGCGAGAGCTCGTCTGCCTGTGTGCTGCCCTGAGAAGGTGCGATGCGGTCGGAGGCCAGTGTGTGCGTGACAGAGTGTCGGGAGCTAGGTCAGGCTCGTCACCATCCTCTGCTTCTCTTTGCTACCACCAAGAATTCGTCAAGATGGTGAGTACACCACTATGGGAAACGCATCGACACCCGCACATCATCGCCATCCAACGCTGCTGCTACGTCGAAAATATCGCCCGCTCGGCCGCACACACTATATCGTCAGCTGCGCCTCTAGAGAAACGGTCTCATAACACGATGCTTCGACTGCTCAACCGACAAGCATCACCAGCAGTTGGCCATTCCACCCACAACAGACATGCAGGACATCTTCAGCTATCCACACGCATGCTACACATCAGCAGATCCATAGTCCACGAGGCCAGTTGAAAGGTGGAAACGAAGACGGAGAGCAGTGGAAAGAATCCAGCTTCAAAGAGGCCGTCGTAGACTCTGCTATGATCACCAGAGCCACATCTTCGCCGTGCAGTCTGCGTTCTGCAATCAGAGCACGCTCGATGCGTTCCAGCTATTGCCACATATCTGCCAGCACGGCTCGATAAAGATTCTGCAGATGATGGCCACATCGGTGAAGCACATTAGCACCGCAGCCGGACCTCCTACATGCGTTCCCTCGAGCGACGAAGCGGTATTGCTGGCACAGATCGACTGCATCAGACGGACAGAAAGCTTCACTACCGCGCGCATCTCACACAACAAACATGCCGCCATAGACATCCGACCTCAATTGCAGCACCACCAATCGGGCCTCTGCCACCGTCCTTCTCAGCAGCAGCGTTGGACCTTGCCGTGATGTTCGCCGAGCTGCGTTTCCCTTACACGCAACGTATTGCACAACACCAATTTGCTGACCCTAAACCCAACAACGATGCCTTCTAAACCTCCAGGACTCCACTTCTCCCGTCACCCTCCGAACCCGCAAGTTCATCACGAACCGTCTGCTCCAGAGGAAGCAGATGGTTCTCGATGTCATCCACCCTGCCCGCCCCAACGTCTCCAAGGCTGAGCTCTCGGAGAAGCTCTCGGAGATGTACAAGACCCCCAAGGAGCAGTGCGTCGTCTTCGGCATGCGCACCGCCTTCGGTGGCGGACGCTCCACCGGCTTCGCCCTCGTCTACGACTCGCGCGACTCGATGAAGTTCGAGCCCAAGCACCGCCTCGTCCGCGTCGGCCTTGCCGAGAAGACCGAGAAGGCCTCGCGCAAGCTCCGCAAGGAGCGCAAGAACCGTGCCAAGAAGGTCCGTGGTACCAAGAAGACCAAGGCCGGCGATGCCAAGAAGAAGTAAACGTGTCGAACTCTCGACCTTGCCTTCGTTCTTGTTTCAGCACCTTTTGGCAGCTCGGCTTTGCGCCTCGGGATCCGAATCTGCAGCAGTCTCTTTGGTGGTCATGGATGTGCACGTAGCTCTCGCGCGTGGATCGCATTGTCGACGAGCTTTCGCCCCTTCTTTCGAAGTCGACAACATCACAGCGCTCACGTCGGCGTGAGCACGTCTGCTGTCCCGGCTACCCAAAACGCCCCTGCATCGGCATTCCTCTCGAGTCTCGATCCGCATATCGAGCTGTTTCCACCTCATCTACTCATACTGCAATTGTACCATCAATCTCTCTCCCCCTTCCATTCCCCTCGCGCTGCGCACGCAGACGATGTCCTCACCCGCCCCCAAAAAGACCACCCCCGAAATATCGAAAGAAGGCGGTGTCATTCCCAAAAACGACATGTATGCTGTTCTCAACGTTTGCCGGTCTGTGAAAGATGTGGCTGTTTGAGTGGTGGTGGATGGGAGCATGGCGTGCATCGGATTGGCCTGCGGCTTGTGTGACCGATGCACGAGGCAGACAGATGAAAGAGGCTTGCGGGGGATGTAGCAATGCGTCGATGATTGCGGTAATGATGATACTAGTACATGCTGGAGAAAGGGGAGTGGGACTGATGTCGAGCGGTCATGCGGTGCTGGCACTATGCCGAAGAAGGCTTCGGGCTGTCTTCCGCGTCGACATCTTCAAAGAGGCTGCCACCCTGGGTGGGTTCGGGCGCCGGGACAGCTTCGCGCACTTGCTTCTGTGCGTCGATGAGGGCAAGACGACGTTCGTTGAGAACAAACTTGATGCGCGCCATCGACTTGCGCACCTGGCATTCGACAATTTGCGAGCAGAAGATGCACGAGACTCGTCAGCAGTGCATTCGCGGTATGACATGGCGGGAACAGGCTGCTCGAGCTGTCGATGTTGCATTTGACTTACCCTGTGGTTCTTTCGGCCTAGGTTCTGAGACCACATCCTGGCCGCCTGGCGGGCGCCCACACGTTGCAATTCCTCCCAGGCCGTAGCGAGGCGGTTTCGCTCCATGAGGAGGACGTACCAGAGCGTGTGGAGATCCTTGGAGCTCTTGAGCCTCAGCTCGCTGGCGAGCCATGACCTGCTGTTGGCTTCACGGCCGAGGTCGTCCTGGTGTACAGCATGCGGAAGTCGGACATAGTACTTTGTGGGCGTGACGAGATCCTGCATGGTCTCCTCGACGGCGGCGGGGCCACCGAGCGATTTGTCGGTGATCTCGTATCGGTGTGTGCGGAAGAACTGGAGAAGCGGGTGGGCGGGGTACTGCTTGATCTGCTCGAGCTGCGATCGTGGTGTTGGTGGCAGGGCCGGTTGCGACTGCGAGGCGGGCTTGGTGGGGCGTGGCACGGGTGCCTGACTAGCACGCGAAGAGGAGGAGAAGGAGCGAGCAGCGGGCGCCCGCAGCGACTGCGAGAGTCGCGCAAAGATGGACCTTGTCGTCATGGCCGTGATGCGAATATGTGCGCCTCGTGCTCTGCTGAACTGTGCAGCGAAGATGTGACCGAGTGGTGGAGGAACGAATGACGATGGACAAGACCGATCCCGAGAAGATGGCGAAGACTGGAAATGGACTTCCAAATTTTAGCTGGTCGGGGCCGAACAGGATCCGTGATCTTTCGAAAATTCTTCTTATTGTGAGATCGACAGAAGTGCGATGGCTTTACAAAAATTGAGCCTTCCTTTGGAAGAAGCATCTTGGACTGAGATTCGATCGCGCCGATCCCGCCAAGAGTGGCACTGTGGCGACCCTTGCAGACCGCACCCCACCAACCGAGAGGCCGGTTGGGCTCGCCAAAGCGGCGCCCTGACATGTGCCCTTGAACCCAACAGGCGGCCGCAGGCTGGGCTGAATCAAGCCCACAAGCCCGAAAGCCAAACTGCGGCCCGCGCCTTCGAAGGCTGCTGCGGCGGTGCATTGATGTGCGGAGGCAAGGATCCGATGGAGTTGCTCGGCAATCGCGGCGACAACAAAGTTCGAGTGGCTTGGTGTGTTCGTTGGCTGCAGATTGTTCAATGGCAACCGTGCAAGCTTCTTGGGAAGGTTTGAGCGCCATCCGCTTACAGTCAGGCCCAGAGTCACAGTGCTGCCACGCTTTTGCATGTTGAGCCACGGTACAGACGTAGCGTGGCACATCGTGGCAGTTGGCCGATCAAGACGGTCCTCTGTCTCAAAGGTGGCGCTGCGACGCTCGGCGGAGGAAGCCACTTGCCGGTGTGACAACGGTGGCACGGCATCTCTGCAAACTGTGGGCCGTGCATGCTTGTTCCCAGAAAACGACGCTAGCCATGCAGATGGAAGCGCCCAATGCTCATCACCCACGAGGTGGCGGGGCCCGATCCAATTCATCGGATTCGTGTCGGCTGCTCGACTGAATTTGGGTGTGTAGAGCCCACCGGTACAGAGATGCCTGCCATTGTAGCGTAGAGCATGCAAAGTTTTGTGTGCGTGTGAAGATGGCAGCTTCCTTTGTCGCTGGCTGTATGCCATGGGAGCGGGACGCGAGCCAAGCAGAAGACGCCCTTTGTTGGGCGAGCGTAACGAGACGCCGGTGCATGAGTGCAGCCGAGGCGACCGGATCATGCAAGCGTCTCATTGCTGCTGCTGCTGCTGCTGCCGCAAATCAAGCAATGGCTGCATTCGACCCGCCATTGTTCTCAGTGCAAATGCCACGGCTCTCCACCGCGAAATGATACTATCGATGCCGGTCCCAGTTCCTGGGCTCAGTCGATGGACGGGCCCAACAGCGCCCTCATCTCGGGGCTGTACAGTACTCTCTCATCGACGCCGCTTGCGTCTTCCAAATTGGCTGGACATGCAGTGAATAGATAGCTTTTGATACGCGCTGCCGAGTCTTTCCTCGAGACCAGCTCTTTCATCGGTCGAGAGCAGTCGTCGCCCTCCGACTTTCAGCCCCTCACGGCTTGCATCGGACGTGCTCATTCGAGCCTTCGGGATGGTGCCGAGAGCTAGCTTTGCTCAGCAGCGCCAACCGACGAGGCCGAGAGAGACACTGAGCCAGATCTGGGCTGGAAATTTAAGGATCTGCCGTGGAAAGCCACTCCAAACTCCGACCAGACGCCCGCATTTCACCACCAAGCGCACGCGCAACCAAATGCAAAACGCACCCGCATCCGCACCCGCACCCTCACGCACACAAACGCACCCACGCACGCACCCAGCCTTCGCTTGGCTCGCGTGCATCTGAATGCACGGCCAACGAAGAGAAAAAAGCACCCGCACCCGCACAGAAGCCCGTCCGGAGCTAGCCGCTGCATTACTGCTGCGCCATCGCCATCTGCCTGCTCGACCGGTTCAATTGGCTCACGGACCCCTCTTGGGCTGAAGTGCTTCCGCTCCAGATTGCGGTGGTGGGCGCGTAACGGTGTGCCTGTGGCGCGTGGCAACTTCATCTGTCGAGGTGGGCATCCACCCCACTCGCCGCCCGCCCCGCTCGGTCGTGCTGCCGAACCCAGCTCAAGCCACGTCTTCCAACGCTGCAGCGGTTGGGATCCCTTGGCATTGCGCATAGCAGCACTGCACCTTGCTGCCTCGGTCCGGACGTGCAAAGACGATAAAGCAGCCGCAAAGTCACGAGCTGCAGCATCTGTCAGCCTCGCCCCCGCTCCTTCCGAGACTGGCAACCCCGTCTTGCCCTTTTGCTTCCGCCGTCGCTCACTACCACCAGGATTCACTCTTCGATACTGCCGGCTGCGTCGCCTCCATACCACCGCCCTCCGTCGTGCGCTTGGCATACCTCAGAGCTGGTACGGCCTCTTCACCCAGCAAATTCTCCTGCAGAGACCTCGAGTGCAAGCGACGCGCGCATCCAGTCTCGGCACGCTGACGCTCGGATCGCACGATTCTGCAAGACCGCGACATTCAGGAGCCAAGGGCATCTGCTTCGCTCGCTCGCTCGGCTGGTCAGCTTCGAAGACTTTTTGCGCTCTCAGCCTCTCTCGACCCTTCGGCTCTTTTTCGCCGCTGCCATCTTCGGAGCATCTCCGACGGGATTCACCAATCTTTCGCCCTCGCGGATCAGCCGACGCCCTTGACTCTGCCACACCACCTCAATCCATCGCGCCTTCAAGATGGGTGCGTGTATGTCTGCCGAGCAGTCCAGCGACACGCCCGAGTTCAAAAAGTCGAGGGCGCTGGATCGCCAGATCAAGGAGGATGAGAAGACCATGTCGCGGGAAGTCAAGCTGCTCCTCTTGGGCGCAGGCGAGAGCGGCAAGTCCACCATCCTCAAGTCGATGCGCATCATCCACCACATCCCCTTCACCGACGAGGAGCGCGAAAACTTCCGTCGCCTCGTCTTCCTCAACCTCGTCCAGGGCATGAAGACCATCCTCGACGTCATGGAGGAGTGGGCCATCGACCTGCAGGACCATGCCAACGTCGAACACCTCGCGCTCTTTGTCGCCTTCCCGGACATCGCAGAAGACGAGCCATTCCCGAACGACTACCTCGTCGCACTTCAGGCGCTCTGGAACGACCAGGGTGTCCAATCGGTCTACAAGCGCGGCAACGAGGCCGCTATTCCCGACAACATGGCCTACTACTACGCCGATCTCGAGCGTCTCTTCAGCGCAGACTATTCGCCCTCGGAGGCCGACATTCTGCGGTGTCGCAACAAGACCACCGGCATCATCGAGACCACCTTCCCGCTCCAGGACCGCGTCTACCGCATCTTTGACGTGGGTGGCCAGCGCTCCGAGCGCAAAAAGTGGATCCACTGCTTTGAAAACGTCACCGCCGTGCTGTTCTGCGTGGCGCTCTCGGGCTACGACAGCTGCCTGGTCGAGGACAAGGACTCGAACCAGATGCAGGAGGCGCTCATGCTCTTTGACTCGATCTGCAACTCCAAGTGGTTCGTGCGCACCTCGATGATCCTCTTCCTCAACAAGGTCGACGTCTTCCGCCAAAAGATCGCCTACTCGAGCATCAAGCATTACTTCCCCGACTACGACGGCGACGATCAGGACTTCAATGCGGCGCGCTCCTACTTCAAGAACCGCTTCTGCCGACTGAATCGTTCGCCCACCAAGGAGATTTACCCGTCCTTCACCAACGCCACCGACGTCTCGCTGCTCAAGATTGTCATGGCATCGGTCACCGACATCATCCTCACCAACAATCTGCGCGACATCGTCTTGTGAGCGCTGCACACTCTCTCTTACTGTTGGCTCCTGATCTGCAACTGCTCGCGCATTCACCCGCGTCCACCCTCCACACATACATACCCGTTGTCCCGCACGACATTGTCACCCATTCCCCTCCTTCCTTCGCTCCTTCTTGGACCAACTCGAAAGCACGGCGTATTTCCGTCAATAGCGCATCTCTTTTGTATTTTTAATCCCACGACAACCCATCATACCTGCACAGTCTCTACCGACAACAATCTTGGGCTATGATTGCATGCATTTTCAGTCGAGGCAGCGCGAGGGATCAGTTGGCGGGCGGCACGATGGCCTTGATCTGGCTCTTTGCCTCGGCGGCCGGGTAAGGGCGGCGCGACCAGCGCACGTGGGTGGCCTGTTCGTAGGCATGGGCGATCTGGAGCAGCAGCGGCTCGGTCCACTTGCGGCTGGTGAACGAGAGGCCCGTGGGGGCATCGGGGTAGGGGTAGTAGGGGAAGTCGGCGCCTGGTTCGGTGGTGTTGGAGTAGAAGCCCATGGGTACGCTGATCACGGGGTACTGCGCACGGTCGGCGATCGGGTACAACGGCCAGTCGCCACCCGAGGGCGAGACGATGGCCTGCACACCATACTTGTTGAGTGCGCCGCCGATGCCCATCTCGCGCGAGAGGCGGAAGCCGTACTCGCGGTAGGCATCGACGGTGGCGTTGGGTCGCGTCATGAGCGCCTGGGTGAGGTAGCCCTGGTCGGTCTGGTTGCCGGGCAACTCGAGCTCCGGATTGGCAATGCCAAAGTACACGATTCCACCCAGATCGTACACGGCCGAAGGCACCTCTTTGAGCCCGGCGATGTAGTGTTCGAGGCCGTAGCGCATTTCGGTCTGCCACAGGGCCGTCTGGGTGATGTCGGTGGCGTTGTAGCATGCCGTCTGGTTGGGGTCGGTCTGGTCGCCGATGCATTCGAGCGTCACTTCGACCATCTCGGCTCCCTGGTCGCGCAGCACCTGGATCGAGCGCGTGTAGGCCGCGGCCACCGAGTCGTCGTACGACTGGATGGACTGGTTGGCAAAGAACTGCTCGCCCGAGTAACCGAGGCGCATACCCGCCAGTGGCTTTTGCTTCTTTGCGTGGAAGTGGGAGGCGGCAGCGTAGTCGATGCCCTTGGCCACCTCGGGCGGCTGCGTCCATGTGGCGTTGTCGCCCGGATCGCTGCCGCGGTACGCCATGGCGGTGAGCAGATGGGCGACGTCCTTGACGGTCCTCGCAAACGGACCCGCCGAGTCCTGGGTGAACGAGATGGGGATGACGCCGTTTCGGCTGATGAGGCCGATGGTGGGCTTGATACCCACAATGTTGTTGTAGCTCGCCGGACAGATGATCGAGCCGGACGTTTGCGATCCGACGGAAGCGGTGGCCAGGCCTGCGGCTACTGCGACTGCGGAGCCCGACGACGACGAGCATGGGTTGCCAGCGGGCCAGTACGCCGAGGTGCCGAAGCCGCCGCGCGGGCTGAATCCCTGCGTCTGGTTGACCAAGCCACGCGCTTGAGCCCACACCGACATGTTGGCCTTGCCCAGGATGATCGCACCTGCCTTTCGCAGCGTGTGTATCGACGGCGAGTCGCCCGGAACGATCGAGTTGAGCAGCGTATAGCTGCCCGCGGTGGTGTTCATGCCCAGCTCGGCATCGGTGGCCACGTTGTCCTTGACGAGGATGGGCACGCCATGCAGTGGGCCGCGCGACTTGCCCTGCGCCCTCTCCTCGTCGAGTCTCTTGGCTTCACGCAGTGCGGCAGGACTCGTCTCGAGCACGGCGCGCAGACCGGGACCGTTGATGTTGACCTCGTCGATGCGGCCCAGGTACGCCTCGACGAGCTCGACGCTCGTGAACTCGCCGCGCGACAGGCCGCCCTGGAGATCATCGATGCCCGCATTGAGCAGGTCTGGGAAACCTGTGTTGCGGTTGACAACGCGCGAGTTGGCTGCAGGGTCTGCGTAGAATTCGTCGTTCTGGCTGCGGGTGAGGATGATCTCGTCGCTGTTGGATGTGCTCGCCCCCTGCAGGTACGCCAGCAGCGTCGCGAGGAGCAGCACCACGAAGCTTGAAGAAGTGAGCTTCGCCATGGTCGAATACTTGGCCGGTTCTTGCTTTTTCGTTGGCGGGCGGCCTCGAGCCTGTGGCATCGTCTTTGTTGGCTCCCTTAAGTATCACCTGGACAGGAGCGCTCAGTGTGCGCGCCAAGACACGTTGTAGGAGGGTGCGTGCTGATAAGGACTGGTATGGCCACCTCGCTACCGATGCTACGCGAAACAAGTCCTGCGAAGCTGCACAGACTGCCTTGGTGCTGTGAGCGGCTATGCACTCGATCTTCCAACCTGCGGCATTTCAGCACGCATGGCTGGGCATGCGAAGCCTCGGGAGAGACCTGCCCTCGCTCCGAACCCTTTTGGCGTCTCAATTGCTTCAGCTTATCACCTTGCCGACTCTGCGATGGGGAATCCTTGCTATCGGAGCATGCTCGTCCGCGCCCGCTTTTGGCGAGGTGGCCACATGGATTGCCGTTCTTCTCGGCCACTTTTGCGCTGCGCTGCCCCGTCCAACTCGCCGACCCCCCCCCCCCGGAAGAATTGCTTGCAGAAATTGCTGCCAAAATTACGACGAGAAAAGGCGACCACAAATAGTCAAGAGCCCGATCGAGCACCATCGGGACACCGTGTATCGAGATCATGGCATTGCTCACAGCCCCTTGTTGGGCGTGTCCCCAGTCACTCAGCGATCAAAGCAACGCCACCGCACCGACAGGAGAACGTTGGCGAAACACCACGCACACGAGGAGGCATATAGGTTGACGCGCCCGGGAAGGTACGCTGCTTGTGCATTTTTGGGTTGGATGATGTGTGCAAGTGTGGTGATGTGCATGTGCGTGTTGCACGAGGCACGCATATGCCGGAGAAAGGGGAGAAACTTGTGTACAAGGCGGCTGCGCAGTGCGAGACCGCAAAGCAGAGGGTAAAGGATCAAGACCCTAGCCTCGCACACTCGGCAACGAGTGCATCAGAGGCGTAGGGCAGTGTGCATGACATGGACCGAAACGAACGAAAGGCGAGACACGAAAACCGTTTAGGCCTCGGTGAGCTCACGGAGACGTCGGATGGTGCTGAGGAACGAAAGGAAGGGCGAAAGAAATGCGGGTCAGTATGCCGTTTCCATCGTGAAAACACAAGATATGCACATGGCACCGAGCAGTCCAAAGAGCGAGAGCGGACATTGGCCCAACCAAATCCGACGTCCAGCGTGTCCAGCATCCATGACCCAGAGCTGTCCATACTTGCTCGACATCGAATGCTTCAAACGCGACGTCGCTGAGATGTGGTCCTGCTGATCCTCCAAGGTGTGTGCAATCCCTCCCTTGCTCTCGGTGCCATTGTCGTATATGCTGAAACTTACGATCGGACGGTGGCAGCAGCCGAGGTGCTGAGGGTCCAGGCGCCGCCGGCCATGACCTTCTTGCAGGCGCGGCACTCCCAGATGCCGACGGCCTTGCGCTTGACCGAGTCCTTGCCGCAGAAGGTGCAAGTGTACTTGGAGTGCTGCGAGATCTCGATCTTCTTGATCTGGCGACGGAGCGAGGCACCGTAACGGGTACCGTACTTTCCGGTGATTCCAACCTTGACAGTGCGCTTCGACTGTGGTGATGGTCAAGATGAGTCGACGTGGTGTTGGTCGTGGGTTAGCGGGACAAGCTCTTCGCTAGACATGAAGATTGTATCACTTGCTGCCAGCCTCGATGCAACAGTGATGGCACGAATGGAGAGTCGGCCGATGGGTTGGATGAAGAGTCTGGAGATGTTGATGGATGGCGGCTGAGCATCGTGTTGTCTCTTTCGGCTAAGCCGACACTGTAGCGATGGATGCCAAGCTGGAACTGGGACTGGCGAGCCTCGAAACGATCAGGTCGGAGCGTGTCTACACGGAGCAGCACGGATGCTCGAGGGATGGCATGCAAAGTGGTCGGTGGACCATAATGCTATCGCAGTAACGGTGTCGGATATCTGCGTCGATCCTGGTTCATGACCATGACTCTGTCAAAAGTCCGATGCAATAGCGGTACGGAATCCGTCGTAGTTCGTACATCATGTCGGCGAAGGGCAACTATGCGTAGATCTGGTGCGTGCGTCTGCGAGATCTTCTGTGTGCAATTGCAGCATGCCGTGACGAGGCTGCATCGTTTGGTTTTGGACGACATGGCAGCAATGTGCGCGGCTGCTCCTGGTGGGCTGGCGTGGTGCGAATGTCGATGTGCTATCACTGTTGCATGTCGGCGAGGGTTACAGTGTCGAGAGCACTTACCATCTTGACTATGTGTATGTGTGCGGTTGGTGTTGAGGAAGGTGACGACGACGACGACGAGGCTCAACACACTCTGGCGCTCCGTCGCCCTGCACTGTGCCCTCGCTGCCTGCCAACGGCACACTCACTGGCCTGGCCGCGCTGAGCCACTGGCTGCCAAGTCTTCGGACTCGAGCTGCTCCGCGCCGGGCCTCTGGTCCACGAGCCTGCCTTGCCTGGGAGAGCAGCCTGCTCCTCTGGCCTCTAGCTCGCAGCCTCTGTCATCCCTGTGGCTGCTGACCGCTCTTCGAGCTTCGAGCGCCAGATACTGGTTCTGCTGCCAGGAATTTTCCAGCCAGCCTGAGATCCAAATTTGTAGCGGTCATTTGGCGGGGGATTCGTGCAATTCGAGATGCGTGCTGGCCGCTCTCTTGGAAATGGCAGATGCTTGGATCGTGGGAATTTTTGGATTTGAGCGCGGGTCCGAAAATTTGACTGGCCTTCGGTCACCTCCATCGGGATCGAGCTAATTGCGCCCCCGATGGAGCATACTCGACAGTGACGAGACGCGTTTTGTACGGCTCTGCGATCTGACACTCGGAAATTTCGAGCTTGGAATTACGGGCATGCTGGACCGCGGATCACGGCGTGTTGTGTTGCCGGGTGCGGAGGAGAGTGTGGAGCGTGCGGAGAGAAGAGCGTGTGAACGAGACGCGTCTCGGGCGGTCACACCGGCCACAGAGGCGACGGCGGCGGGATGGGTTGCCGAACTGAGCCGAACACGGCTTTGGCACTGGGCGACGCAGGGCGGCAGCCGACGCTCGAGTTGCGCCCGAGCCATCCATGCCAACAACTGCAACCAACACCTGCCCTCCTCATCTTCATCACCAACGCATACTCTCGGCTTCCGTCCATCCGTCGCATCTGGAGTATCTGCAAACCATCGCTCTGTCGGATGCATTCCAGCCATTCCACCTAGACGCGGCTCGGTCGCCATCCAACACACGCATACGTGCGCAACATGTCGCAAGCCTTCAGCTCCTGGCAGGAGCGGCCCGAGCGACTCCTGCCATCCCAGTCGAGCCGCAGAGATGGTCTCGCCTCCGAAGTACCAGCACCGCCACCGACCGAACATCCTACAGCGCAGTGGATCAGGGATCAGAGCCGTCTCAACGGCAGCACCGCCCCCACCGACGAGCTCGACCAGTTTGGAATCCCGCTTCATCACGCTCACCCCACCTCGTCGCGTCCCGCCGCCCACACGCCATCCCGATCAGACGCAATGCCAACCTCTCCCTCTTTCCCTGCTATCTCTCCACCAGGTGTCACTTCGTCTTCCTCTTCACGCCGCTATCCAGCGAATGTGCCTACCAAGCACGCCGCCTCTCCGTCTCCAACTTCGCAGCCTCTCGCAGCCGATCCTTCGTCTTTGGTCGCGCGAACCGCCCCGCGACTCGACGACGAAGACGAAGACGAGTCTGTTGGCCTGCTCCTCGGACAGTCCAAACGCAGACGGCCTCGTAAGGACTCCTACTCCTCCTTCGGCAGCAGTGTCCTTCCGGCTCCGCTCTTTGCCTCCAACACTCGCTACGGCGACCACGACGCTTCCGCCTTTCCTCGCCAGCCTCTACCCTCCAAGCCTTCCCGCTCACGATACCCGCCCAGCAACCACTCCGCTGCTGCGCCCGCTTCGCGCCACCTCGTTCCGCCAGCGCAGTCGGATCACCAGCGCCAACGTCAGAACTCAAACGCCGTAGCCTCTCGGCCCTCCGGCTTCGATCTCGACGATTGGCTCCGCACATCACAAGCCCCACCTCCCGTCCTCCGATCTTCGCCCAGCCTCGGCGCCCTGGCTTCTTTTGATCGACAGGACTACTCGGGTCGCACCGCCGCTGCAAGTGAAGCGGGCAACCGGCGTCGCCGTCACCACGCCGGCTCCACTTCCGGCTTGAGCGCTGGAGTCCTCAGCGCCGGGCCTGAATCCCCGCGCAGTCGTCGCAAAGCCAGCGCCTCATCGCGCCGCGAACAAAGCGCCTACTCCTCCCTTGCATCCGACCATCCCGCCTTCATGGCCTCTCAGGAGCTGACAAAGGAGGCAGGCAGCCGCACCATCGACACCATCGAGGAATGGCGTGCCAAATCCGCTTCCAAAATGCCCGAGGCATCCGTAGACACAGCAACGCCTTCAGCGCAAGATACCAGCGCCAATCCGGATCAAGCCGATCCACCAGTCCGGCGCAGACGTAAGAGCTCAGTCAAGGGCACCTCCCGGCCTGTCTCCATGGACGGACCGCCGCCACCCTTGCCTTCCATCCCCGCGACCTTCGGCGCCGAGTCAGTCACGTCCAAGAGCGGCCGACGCCGACGCAAGGGTACCGAGACTTCGCTCGCCGGCCTACTGTCACCTGACAGGGCGTCGCACTCGCACCGCTCAGCAGCGCCGCTCCCGACACCACCGCCCGCCTTGCGCGACCTATACGCGCTCTCCGGCCTCGGCTCGCAGGCCGAGACGCCGATCCGTCGCCTCATTCGCTGGCTCGCAAAGGAGCAGCTCAAGAGCATCATCCTGCCGCTAGCGCTGCTCGTCGCCTTCCTTGTACGTTGGATTGTGGCTCGCGGCGACTGGAGCGGCCGCGGCGTGGACCCCATGCACGGCGACTTTGAAGCGCAACGCCACTGGATCGAACTTACGCTTCATCTGCCCACCTCACGCTGGTACTTTTACGATCTTCAGTACTGGGGCCTCGACTATCCGCCGCTAACCGCGTGGGTGAGTCTCGCGTGCGGATACGCCAGCCGCCTATTTCCTGCCACCGCAGCCGGCTTTGCTTTCGAGACCTCGCGCGGCAACGAGGACGCAGCCACGGTCACCTTCATGCGCGCCACGGTCATCGTCGGCGATCTGCTCTTCTACCTACCCGCGGTCGTGCTCTTTGTCTCGCGCAAGCTCGAAGGGCGCGGCAAGCGCACGCAGGCGATCGCGCTCTTCACCATCTTGCTGCAGCCGGCTCTCATCCTCATCGATCACGGCCACTTCCAGTACAACAGCATCATGCTCGGCTTGAGCGCGGCCTGCTTTGCTCTGCTCTACACCACCCTGCCCAATCCGGACGCATCCTTGACCTCGCAAGGCGCGCGCAACCGGAGCCAAGCCGTGGCGGATCTGTCGCGTCGACTCAGCTACGAGTACGTGGCGGCAGCGGTTTTCTTCTGCCTCAGTCTTTCGTTCAAGCAGATGGCGCTGTACTATGCGCCTGCCGTGTTTGCCGTCATGCTGGGTCGGTGCATCGGTCTGGCGCGCGTGGATCCCGAGCGCGGGCTCACGCTGTTCATCGGCCTCGGCCTCGCAGTGGTGGTGACGTTCGGCATTGTGTTTGCGCCGTGGCTCACGAGCCTCGAGCAGATGGCGCAGCTCGTGCACCGCATTTTCCCGCTCGCGCGCGGCTTGTTCGAGGACAAGGTGGCCAACGTGTGGTGCTTCCTCTCGGTGCTGCCGTTGCCGGCGCGATTCAAGCTGAAAAACATGATGGCCGCATCCGCACTCGCGAGGCTCAGCCTGGCAGTGACGCTCGTCATGATCCTACCCGGATGCTGCCTGCTCTTCTGGGCCGCGAGCCAGACGGCCAAGATGGAGATGATGGTGGCGAGTGACGTGCCGCACGTTGCCAGCGAGCGCGCCTCAGCAAGAGGCGCAGGCAGTGCCGTGGACGCCGCGCTCAGCGCTGCAGGAAGCGTCAAGGCGCCTACGGCAGTGTCGCGCAAGTCGGCCGACGTTAGCAAACGCCGCTCTCCCTCGGTAGTCGGTTCAGCGGTGGGCGGGCCGGCGCGCTCCGAGATCGAATCGCTCCTGGCTGGGTCCGTGTCGAGGTCGATCAGTGGACGCGTGAGCCAGGCCGGGACACGAACCGACGTGCTGGAGCGTCTTTCTGTGCGGGCGGATGCTGAGCGCACAGAGCCCGGCATGTCGGAACGGCCGGTGGCATCGACGCTGCCGTCGCCTGCTGCGCAGATGCTGCCGTACGGCCTGGTGAGCGTGTCGTGCGTGTTCTTCCTATTCGGCTTCCAGACGCACGAAAAGTCGATCCTCCTGCCGCTGCTGCCCATGACGCTCATGCTGGGAGCCAAGGGCGACACGTGGGGCGGCCACATCACCAGCGCGCGCGACTGGGAATGGGCAGTGTGGTTCAACAACATCGCCACCTTCTCGCTCTTTCCGCTCCTGCTCAAGGACGGTCAGGCGCTGCAGTATGCGGTGCTCACCATCGGCTGGAACTGGCTGGTGGGCAATCTGCAAGTGCCGTGGCAGCCGCTCAGCGCAGCGTGGGCGGTGGTCGGATCGCGCACGAGCTTCTTCCGCAGACTCAGCACGCTCACGTACATGGCTGCGGTGGCGCTGCACGGCGCCGAGTTCGTCTTGCCTAGGCTTGTTCCCGGCTTGCATGCCAAAGTGCTGGCGAGGTATCCGGACATCTATCCCGTGCTCAACGTGCTGCTCACCACGCCTTGCTTCGCCATCGTCTTTGTATGGGCCCTCATTCGGCAGGTGCAGGTGGCCTTTGCCAACGGACTCGACCTCTCATTCGGCAAGCCCGCCGTGAGGAAAAAGAGCGCCTAATCAATAGCAGCGCTAATCCCTGTATTCTATCACTCTTCACAACATACTCTACGCATCGGCTGAGCCGACCATCATTTCTACTTACGCTGCATTGCAGGTATCTATGCCCGGAGCGAGGTCTCGAGCGGGTTTTGGGGAGCAGGCTTGGTGTGGGCTTGGCCGGCAAAGAAACCGCTATAATCCAAACGGAGCAGGAGCTGTTCGAGATGCTTCTTGGCCGATGACGACGATGACGAGGTCCAATCGAGTTTGTCGCGCGGCATGGCGAGTTGGGCCACCGAGATCGAGAGCGATCCGATTCCGGTTTCGTCGAGCGTGCCTGCGAGCGTCGATACATTGGCGCCGCCCGCCTGGTAGCCTCCGCTGGACGAAGACGAGAGCAGGCGAAAGAATCGTTCGAGTTCCGCTGCCAATTCGGCACCTGCAGCGTCGACGACCTTCTGTCGCTCGCGCACTACCGCTGTCGGATCTGCGCTTTGGGCCGAAGCAGCGGCGGTGCTTTCGCCCAGAAGAGGAGGCAGCACGTCGCCGCCCCAGCGCTCGATGGCGCCCACGAAGCGGTTGCAGATCTCGAGCACAGAGCGCACCAGACTCGATGCTACGGGCGACGAGAGCAGCAGGCCGTCCTGCACATACGCCAGAAAGGCAGTGTGCGAGGCGCGAAGCAGACCAAAGTCCAGCACGCCCGCGTCGTCTTCGATCCCCCCATCCATGTCCGCATGCACCGTCTCGGCGCCGTCGGCTACCGACTCGGGCCGCGTGGACGAGGATACGAAGCGTCGTCCTGCACGGCCTGTCGCCGGTGTAGGGTATGCGGACGATGCAGGGCCCGAGACCGGGAACGCCAATCGCCGATGCCTAGCTGCACCACCACTGACCGATCCAGCCACGACTGTAGGCGGGCGCGACAGTCCCATCGCCGACCCACTGCCGACGCGGGGTCTCCCGCCCTCGCCACAGGCCTCGCTCGGCGCGGCCGAAGCGACGGGCGAGGACGCGACGAGCTGCTCGGAATCCTTCCTGACTCGCGTGGCTGAGCGTGACGCAGCCATGGGCACACCCGCCTCTGCCGCCACGGCGGGCGCTACACTGGCGCTGAGCTGCTCGATCATGCTCGCATACTGCGTGTCGATAATATCCGTCTGGAAGTGGCCGAGGAGCGTGTCGAGGAACCACTTCATGCTGCGCACCACGCCGCACGTGCAGCGCAACAGATGCGCGCGCTGCCTCTCCTCGTGCGCATCCACACCGCCCTCGCCCGTACCCGTAAACTTGCGCCGGCCACGCTGGTTCTTGCTGAGCGCCACCCAGCACTCGAGCACGCGCGCGTGGATCTTTTTGATGGCGATCAGGTACGAGAACACGCGTGAATACGCCGCCAGGTCCGCAGGCGACAGGAACAGATCGAGCGGGAACACTGCCGTGTAGTGCAGCTGTGCCGGCACGCCGATCAGGTAGTCGTCGAACCTAGCCGCCCCCGCCGCGGCTCCCGTCGGATTGTCGCTCGAGGCGGTCGAGCTTGCGGTGCCACGCACCTTGGCCGTGCGGGCACCCGCCAGGCTCGGGCGATACCCACCCCTGGGCAGCACGAATCGCAGCCGCTCGAGCGCCGGATCGTCCTCGGCCCACGTGCCCACGGTCGCCCTGCGCAGCGCAAGCTCGAGGTCGCTCGAGCGGATCACGCTGGCAGCGGCGGATCGCGCGCGGTAGAGCTTGTTCTTGCGCATGGTCTCGATCTCCTCGAGCAGCGAGAGGATGTAGGGCCCGTTGCGGTGCAGAAAGTAGTCGCCGAGGCAGCGCAGCGACGAGAGCACGAGCGAGGTGGTGAGAATGTTGCGGAAGATCCACTCGGATACGTCGTTGCGCAGCGACTGGATGGCGCGGTCCAGATCCGAAGGCCGACTGGGCCGCACGTTGACGCGGGCCAAGTTGGCTTCGTGAAGCTCGATAACTGCGTCTGGTGGGCCCGAGGGACGACCTGGACCGGAGCGTGCGCCGCCGGAATGCATAGACGACGTGCTTGCAGAGCGGATCGTGTAGAGTGCCCGGCCAACGTACAGGATCGAGTCGGCGGTAGAGTCCGAGATGGCGGAGGGGAGGGCATCTTGGCGGAAAGCCCAGGTGTTTGTGGCGGTGGCGGCCCAGTCGGCGAGGCCATCGCCAGGCGCGAGCGCGGCATGGTCGGTGTGAGCATCGGCCTCGGTGGCGTGGATCCAGTGGACGAGCTGATCTCGCGAGGTCAAGGTGCGCTTGGAAGCGTTTGGATCTGCGATCCCTCCTGGGCGGTGAATCTCTCCCCGGCAGACCCATGCGACAAGATGCTGCATCCAGCTATCCTCGACCGCGCTGCGCAGCCTCGCCATGTGTGCTGCGACACGCTCGACGCCCGTGGAAGCCTTGAGGCTGAGCAGGTCGATGAGCAGACCGCCGGTCCAAGCAGCTGGGAAGGCGGCAGCTCCGTCCGACTCGACCTGCTGTGGCTGTGTCGGCTCGGTAGTCTCGAGAGCGAATGCGGCATCGCGACCCCTGGATGGACCTCTCACGAGGAGGGTGACGAGCTCGTCGAGGGCAGTAAGGGGTGCGTCCCACGGCTCGAAACGGGCTCGGAGGTTGGCGAGAGAGACAAAGCCGTTGCGAGCGACTAGATCGAGGTGGTTGTCGAGCACGAGACGCTCTGTCTCGAGAACGAGCGCGTGGTAGTCGGAGAGGATGGAGAGCAGCGTCGAGCATAGCGGAACGAGATGGAGCGTTGGCTGTTGCTCGAGCTCGGACAGCGCATCTTTGCCGCTGGTGGTGGAGCTGCGGCTCGACAGGGTGTTGGCGCGTAAGGCGGCGCGGACGGCACGTTGTCGGGCCGCTTCGATCTGCGCATCGGCAAACAACTTGATGCGCACGTAGCGCGTCGAGTATGTGGCGAGATGGTTGAGGATGTCGATCTCGGACGGATGCAAAAAGTCGAGATCGTCCCTGATCTTGAGCGGACCCGCTGGTGCGCCGTGCGCGGTGGCGGAGGGTGCGATGGACGAAGATGCAAACAGGCTCGAAGGATGGCCGGCCAGCATGGCCAAGAGCTCGGCGATCATTTCGAGAATTTGGCGTATGGCAGCAGCATCGAGGCTGTGCTGCTTTGGTTGATGGTGGTGATAGTAGGACTGATCCAAGCGCGCAAGGCTGGATGAGCACCGGAGTGTTGGTCTCTCTGCTGCTGCTCTTTACCGCGACGCGTTCAGGCGGGATTTTTCCAAAGCTTGTTACGTCTGCAGCCACCGAACACGCTTTGATTTTCTGCAAGTGGAGGCTGAACGGCAAAAACGCAGATCATCATGCAGACGTGCATGAGGAGGAGCGCCAAAGCAGAGCGAGAGAGGGTCCAGATGACGTTGAGTGGACACAGCGAACAAAGTTCAGCGCGGCTTACAAGGCGGAGTCAGCAAAGCACAAGGCAGTCTTGCTCTCGCACAACCATCACCACCACCATGGCCTCCCTATACAACAAAATCCGCTCCGTCTCGTTCGACGTGCTGTGGCGCACGGCGCTCGTGCGTCTGCCGCGCGCCGTACCGCTCTCGGCACTCAAGTGGACCTCACCCGAGGGCCCGCATCCATTCATCTTCCAGATGCCATCCAGATCCGCCGACTACACAATACCGCTCTACATCTTCATCCCCACGCGCTTCTACGACGACTGGCCATCCACGGGCGCACCCGTGCTCGTCGATTTCCACGGTGGCGGCTTCTACCTCGGCTCGTGCCTCGAACAGGCACCCTTTTGCTCGAGCATGGCGAGAGAGCTTGACTCGATCGTCATCAGCGTCGACTATCGCATGGGCCCTTTCCATCGCTTTCCGGCTGCCATCGAGGACGGCGAAGATGTGCTCAGCGCCGTTCTCGACCGCGACTTTGCCGGCTACGAGCCGCTACGCAACGCAATCGCCGCGAGAGTGCAGTCTGAGAAGGCGAAACTCGCAAAAAGCGGCGCAGAGGCGCTTGCTGAACAGCACAAGGTCGAGCTGCAGCAGGGCAAGATCGAACAAGTCTCTGCACCTCCGACCTCGGGCCCTTCGTCAGCTGGTGCCGCTTCCTCCTCTTCGTTCGACTTTGATGCAAGCAAGGTCTCGGTTTCGGGATTCAGCTCGGGTGGTAATCTCGCCCTCAACTTGGCGCTCCACATTAAGCCGCCTGAACTCGACACGGAGTGGCCTAGCAAGTTCGCGCAGAACCACCCTGCACCCATCCCACTGCTGCTCTTCTATCCTTCGTTCGACCTGCGCCAGCTGCCGTCTCAGCGATCTAGACCACAACACATGGCCCTCCCATCACCCTTTTGGACCAAAGTGGCCGACGCTTTAGCACCCACCTACGCCGAGCAGGAACAGACGAACCATCCGCGTGTCTCGCCGGGTCTGGCGTCGCTTGAGTCTCTCCATCCCGCGGCCCGCGTGTTCCTGGTGCTGTGCGAGCTCGACACGCTGGCAGAACAGTCGAAAGAGTGGGTTGCCAAGATGCAGAATCACGAGCGTACCGAGCACCTCGTGGTCGAAGACGTCGCCAACATGAAGCACGGCTGGACCCAGATGCCCGACGGCTGGCTCTCGCCTGAAGAGAAGCAAGCGAAAGAGGCTGTATTCACCAAGGCGATCGCGTTTGTTCAGTGGGCATGGAACGGATCCAATGGCGACGCCAAGCCCCGATCGGAAGTCATCGTTCCTCAGAAAGACACGGCGGAAGTATCAAAGACCACAGTCTCGACTGCATCGATGGCGGAACAAGACTAGATTCACAAATCGACCACGAAGATCTACAGCAGGCGGCTGTCTTGCATGGCGCGGATCCACTCCTCGGGCGTGCATGCCGGTCGGGGGCCGTGCTTGGTGTCGTTGATGTCGATGCCGACCTTGGCCCACGCGCGAGCAAGCTCGGCTTCGCGGTAGCTCGGCAGCTCTTGTTGGACAGCGGTCTTCTTGGGGCTGCGGTGCAAGAGACGACGGAGGAAGCCGACCTTGCCTCGAGGCTTTTCCGAAGCACACGCGTCGTACGGAGGAGGAAGCGTAGAGGATTCGATAGAGGACTGTAGTGTGCAGCCCAAACGATACGTCAGCAACATGATCCCACTCCAAAGGGGTGATGGTGTGGAGAAGGGAGACTTACTGTGCGGACGGAGGTACTGGCTGCGTTGTGGGAGGGCTCGATGCGCTCTTCTTGGACGTAGGATTGGATCTGGTACTCGACGCACTCGTGCATACCGGCGTCGGCAGAGGCCTGAATGGCGTTGAGTTCGTCGGTGAAGCACATTGTGAACAGGTAGAGGGGACGGAGTGTGGCAGGAGCAGGGCGAGTCGAGTGCAGGAAAGGCGGGAGTATGGAGAGAGGATGCGTTGGTGTGTGAGGATGAGGGAGTTGGAGCTGGAGCTGCGGAGGGGCAGGACATTTATAGACGGTGATGTTGATGCAGCTTTTGCTGCGCTCAGTCGGGGGGAGAGTGCTGAGTGCATTGTGGACCAGCCTCGACGCTCGGATCGCTGCTGGGCATGGATGAGTTGGCTGACAGGTGTCAGGACGCCAATCATGCGCTGCACGGGATGAGGATGAGGCATCTGACACGTTCGGTGGGGCCAGAAAATCGCAAATTGCAGCGCCACAACGCGTCAAAACCCTCATCCACCAAAAAACCCTGCAGGAGGTCCCACCGCCAGGCTAAGCCCGATCTCCATCCTGCTGAGTCGATTCCTGCTGGGACTGCTCCGATCGCGTGAAGAGCTGCGACATCATGTCTGCCATCATAGCATCGATGTCTGAGTCCACTGGCGAAGGAGGGTCGCCCAGGTCCGGCAGCTCGGTGATCGTCGCCATCGGTTCGCCTGCCGTCTTGACGTTCTCGGTAGCCTGCTCGATCAGCGCCTCGGCCACTTCGGGATTGGCCTCGACGAACTCTTCCACAACACGATCGATGCGAATCACAAGCGCGTCCACGTCGCCAACGTCGAGCACCAGTACAAAGAAGCCTTCGCGGTCGAAGATGGCCAGCTCGGCCAGCGCTCGTGACACCAAAATTGCAGGGTACTGTGAAGCGGCCGGCATGGTTGGATAGCTAGCAATGCCAAAGCGATGAGTGTGCAATGCAATGTAAGAGGTGAGACAGAAGACGACGAAGGGATTGGAAAGTCGTGTTGAATGAGAGGGGCGTATGGGGTGGAGGGACCGAAATGGCGATCAAAGCTAGCCTTTTGTACTCGATACCGGTCTGGTCTGAGTATGCGCACACAGGTGTAGAGCCTAAGCGGCAGATCGAGATGGTAAGGCTCATTCGCTGGTCAGGCAAGTGCGCGGAAGCCCCAGCAACAGCCTCATCAGCCTCGAGTAGAGTTTGCGGCCGACGATGCGGCACGTCCTGCGCACACTGAGAGCTCCGTCTCGGCACGGAGTCGTGCTGCACATGCGGAAGCTTGTTTGGACTCGAAAGCGTTTTTTCGCCGCTTCAGGAAGGAAAAATGCGTGTGTTGAGCCTATCGGAAGCGACAGACGATGGGTGAGAAGTGAGCGACGCTGTCAGAGGTCTCTGGGGCTTCTCCTTGGTACGAAAGAGGAGCGCTCCCAGCCATGCCTTCAAAGGGTGTCCCCGCAGGTGTTTCACTCCGAAGGCGTCTGGCGACGACGATGACCGAGGATCGTACTCGTTCAGGTCGGAGGCATACGACGACGAAGAGTCGATGCCAGAGAGCGACTGGTACCCCCGCGATGCCGCCGCCCTCCGCCACGAGGCAGAAGTCCGCGCCTTTGCGCCGCCTCCCGACCCGATCTTCTACCTCGGCAACACGCGCATCAGCAGCGCCGACTACGCCTGCCCGAGGCAGCTGCGCAAGACTGCGCTGTCTCACGCCGAGCCGCGCCCGCTGAACCTGGTGGTGCGCATCGTCGAGAATAAGCCGAGCAAGAAGAACGGTACGTCCCAGTACCGCCTCATGAAGGTCGACCTCGGTGACGGAGTCATGGATATGCTGGCGAACGTCGGCTCGGACCTCTACAACGTCGACAAGAAGCACAACGCTTTTCCTATCGACGCCATCGTCATTCTGGAGGACGTTCGGGGCGTCTTCCGTGGCAAAGCACTGGCCCTCGACTTTTGGCCCTTCTCGTGCATCAGCAGGTGTGACGACGAGCTCGGTGTCACCTGGGACCAGGTGCAAGCACGGAATCAGAACATGACCATGCTCTCCCTGCGAGGCCGCCTACCCGCCGACGTCCGTCGAAAGCCGCTGAGCAGCGGTCACGCGGTCCAGGCCGCCAAAGAGGCGGGCAATCGCCTGAGCTGCCTCGTCGTTGGTGTGACGAGGAGCCGCAGCAGGAGTGACGGCTGAGACGGCCGGCAGCGGGGCGGTTCGTGCGGGACGAGGGGCAGGCGGACGGGAAGCGCCGGTGGGGGCGCGGCTGACCGCAGTGGCAAAGCTGGCCCAAAGGTGCGGGCGTACTCCTCGCAGCGGCGACGACGACGACGCCGCTGTCGCCGTCGTGGGAGTCTCCCTCGCTGTCTGACATCGACTCGTTTGCATTGTGCAGTGTTGTCGCTAGCTCACTTGTCTCGCCCGTGCTATGTTCACCCCACGTCAAAGAATGATCTCGCCAGTGTTCTGATCACACAACGTCAAAGAATGGAACGACTTCAAAAAGTGTAAATTGATCGCAGCGCGAGCTTCGAAGGTCTGTATCAGGGAGTGAGAGGGCAGGCCGAGTCTGACAAAGAGCGAAGAGGAGAAGTGGACGGCTGATGAAGTCAGTCGTCACGGATCGCCAATTGGACTTAGTGGTGCTCGCCAGCGCGGTGGTGACCCTTGCCAGCGTGATGCCCCTTACCGGGGTGATGGCCCTTACCAGAAGTCTGCTTCTGAACAACGATGTGGTGGCTGCTCGAGCTGTGGCTGGACGAGCGGCTAATCGAGTTGCTGTGGGCGCCGACGTAGTTGCGTCGAGCCATGGGATGGCCCGAGTGACCGATACCGCAAACGGCAGCGTTGGGGGTGTAGCGGTCGGGAGCCGCGTGTGCGTCTCCACCGTGTCGAATACTGGCGAAAGCCTGCTCGAAAGACGGCACGTTCTTTTCGTCGGTCCTCTGGCAGCCGGTGCGGTCGATGTGGGCCTGGGAGCACTTGACCCTACGGGGCTGACCGGCCATGTTGACCGAATCACCCCACTCGTTCATGCGCCACAGGCAGCCATGCTGCAGGTCGGCTGGCAGCTTGTGGCATCCAGCCGCGTCATGGTCAAGACCGCCGTACTGCTTGCCCCAGACAGAAATGTCGGTCTTGAATTGGGCAGGGCAGCCCTGGGTCATCAGACCGATGCCCATGCCGGGAACGAGGATGTCGAGTCCCCCACCACCCACGTCGGCACCAGTGTTGATCACCTGGTAGAAGAGCGTCTTGACCTTGCCCGGCCTGGCACCGGCGAAGTCGAGCACGTAGCAGGCGCAGGCATTCTCGGATTCGGTTTGGGTGGTCATGGCAGCAAATGCATAGCCCAGCTCCGGGTTGGCATGGTCAGTCCAGGGCTGCTGGCACGAGCACTGGAACTGGTCTCCACCACCACAGCCCGAGGATGTAGCATCGTTGAGCCGAGGACCGGTCACAACCGTCTTGCCATCGGCGAGACAAACGGCAACCGGGTTATAAACCGGATTAGCCTTCCCAGGCCACGAAGAGCTTGGTTTGCAGCAATCATAGTACATCGTAGCAGCGTTGGCTGCGACGAGCGGGGTCCATACGGCCATGATGGCGGCGTCGACGAAGGCGATGAGCATGGTCGACTTTTGCATGGTGAACGCCATTTTTTATTTTTTTATTTTTTATTTTTTATTTTTTTTGGCGGGGAATATGTCGAGTAGACGTGTAGTGGAGAAAAGGTACGCGGGAGGAAATTGGAAAAAAAAGGCTGTCGGATGTTTCCTGTCGAAGGAAAGCAGGGCAACAACGAGGAAGAAGAGCAGGATAGATAGACTCGCACAGCAAGTCTGAGAGGTCAGTGGAGAGGACGAGAATACGAAAGGGAAGGCAGATGGAGATGAGGAGCGAGGGGGAAAGGAGAACGGGAAATGAGCTGGGTTTTATGCGCAAGCGAACGACGATGTCAACTCTTTCTGATCCTTGGCGGCGGCGCACACTGCCAGCTGCTCCTCATGAAAGGGGGAAGAGCTTGTCCTCCAGGGGGAGGGGCTCGATGTGCCGTCTGCTGTGGGGTGCTCTGCCGTGGGTTGAGAGCACCCCAGAATCGGCGGCGGAGGGCACACAGAAACGGGGGTTGCAAGCCATGCAAGACCCCCTGCGAGCGCGCTTGGTGTACACATGCACGACTTGCGCTTGATTTCATGAGGCTGTTGGTGGGATCTTACGCCGACAAAAGCCACGTTGAGCAAAAAATCGCGCATTTCATATGATGGCACAATGGTCGTGAAGCCGCTGTTAAACTGAGCCGGCTTCGAGTACGCAATGGCATGGAGATGGCAATAGACAGGTACTGCACAGTATCGAGCATCCATGTATCATATCAGCACAGACTCGGCAATCTCACTGGATAGTGACATTCTCTTTGGGCGACCTGAGAGACTCGTTGACGCACGTCTGGCATTTTGCCTCGTCTCGTACAAAATGGCGCGATGGGCTTGAAGTTCATGTGGCTTGACGATATAACTTACACAAAAGAAAGGTGGCTGCTGATCCACGCTGCATCAAGACATGAATCGGTGCGATCTCGTGCCTGTGGATCAGCGATGCATGCGGTTGCACGACAACGCCGCGCGAAGCACAAGGACGCCGCATCTCATATGAAAGAGGGAGGGGGACCGACCGAGCCTCGCTTTCTCCTGCTCATCGCTGCTTTCGCAACTTGACAGCTCGAATTTCGACGCTCCATTTTTGATAAAATTACCCAAAACAAAACAAAGGGAAAAGAAATTCGCTGAAAAAAACGGCAAGGAAAACACGCTTGGATCGGGAAGGGCTGGCAGTTGCACATCGGCGTTGGTCGAGGTTCCGATCGATCACCAACGGTGCGGCAGCTGCAGCAGGTGCGGGTGCGGGTGCGGGTGTTGTGCTCTGCTGCTGCTTCAACTTTTTCGCGACGCGAAGGGGCGCTGGGATCAGGCTTCAGAGACTCGTCCAACCCAACTCGACTCAATCTTCTCGCTCCTCCACCACGACTTCTTCTCCTGCACGCTTGGCGGTCGCTCTCCATCCTTTGATCTTGCCGCAACATCATTTCCGCACCTTGCACAAGTGACGGATCCAGCGACCAAGGAGAGAAGCGCATCACCACCACCGTCTCCCACCACACACTCAATCTCGCGACAGCTCGGATGCACTTCTGAGCTCGCTGTCCGGCCCTCATCTGCATTCGACGCTTTCGCCAGGTGGATGCTCCTGCAATACTAGCGGCTTGACCACGCTCATCGACCGTCGCTTCTAGCTCTTGCGCAGATCCCTCGGCGCTCACACCTCCACAAGCGCCGCCATGCCGGCCGTTCCCGCCGCCTCCACCTCGCCAGGCTCAGCTGGCATCGCCGTCTTCGAGCCAGCACGCTTCGAGCGCCTTCATCGCATCATCAACGAGGCCGCTTCCAACCCTGTGCGCCTTGCCCGCTCCAACGACTGGTTCGTCACCATCGACAGGAATCGCTCCGACCTCGCAGACCTCGGCAGAGTGCGCCCCTCCTCCGACCTTGAGCGCAAGGAGATCGAGTCTGGCAAGATCACCATCAATGGCAGCACCCAGAACTTGAACCCCGACTTTGCCCAGCAGTCCCTCTTGTTGGCGCGCGAACTCGGCGTCTCGGAACACTATGCCGCCTCCTTGCTCCAGCAGGGCATCGCAGGTCGCGCAAAGTGGGGCCGCCCCGCCGTCGAAGTCGCTTGCATCCTCCACCACCGCGAGCGCCTCGCCCTCCTTGCCTGCCTCAAGGAGCTCCTCCGCAATGCGCTCACCATGCCCTTCGAGGACGACGTCGAGGCGCAGCGCATGGGTCTCAAGATGGAGCAGCTCGTCGAGTCGCTCGTCTCCATCGAGACCTCGGTCAGCTCCCCCGGCTCGTCCACGCGCAAGGTGACGCTCGCAGAGAGGATCCTCGTCGAAATCGACAACGTCAAGGCTTCAGCCGCCCGCGTCAAGGCGTCGCTCGAGTCGCCCCAGGCGAACCAGGCCATCCAGACGCAGACGTCCAACTTCCTCGGCCTCGGCACCGCACAGTCGGCTGCCAACAACAACAACACAGCATCCGCATCCACCTCCGCACAAGGCAGGCTCAGCGACGAGATCCAGCTCGACCGTCGCGCATGGCTGCGTGAGGAGCGACGCGAGCTCGGCCATCTCCTCTACCTCCTTTCCATCTCGTCGCTGCTCACCCCTTCCAACATCTCCGCCATCCTCCGCTGGCTCGCTGCCGTCTCTGCCGAGACGTATGACGAGATGACCATCTACGTCCTCACAGCCCTGCTCGGTGCGCTCGACGCCAATCCCGAAGCCCGCGCTGCCATGGCGGAACGCGCAAGCAGGGGAACGCTTCGCAAGACCGTCGAGGACCTCCTCGACGACGAATCCTTCATCACCTCCACCCACGCCGAAGTCACACGCAAAAAGTGGGCGCTCGGCGAGCTCAACAGCGCCGTGGCCCTTCAATGGTCTCTGTTCCTCGTCGAGGCTTTCTCTCGCAACCCCACCTACCGCAGCCAGCTCTCCATCTCCGAGGAGCAGATTCAGGACATCGTACTCCAATCCATCACCGGCTCATCACTTTCGAAGGATTCGAAGCAGGTGTCGGGCGCAAGCTCGGGCTCAGACGGACCCTCGGGAGGCGCATTCATCTTCCTCGTTGTGCGCATCCTCGCTTTCCGACAAAAGACCATCGATGCTCTCTTCGGCGAAGAGGAGGGCGCCATCGCTGCCGAAGCAGATGCCGCTGCTGCTGTCGCTGCAGCGGATCTGATGGAGAATAACGCTTGGGATGACGAGGTGGACGCCGAGTTCCGCGAGTACGTTGTGCAGCAGATCCACAATTTCGCAGTCGGCACCACCTCGGTCATGCTGCCAATGCTTCGCCGCATTCAGCGCTCCGAGGAGGACGCTGCATTTGCGCTCTCTCGGGGGCTGGGTGCCCGCGCAGGCGGCTCGGCGCCACCAGAGCGCAGGTACGACATCGAGGCGCTCTTTGACCTCATCGCACTTCTCTGCCGCGGACGACCCGAGGCTGGCTTGCCCTTCTGGGTGGGCCCCGACAACCGCACCACGCGCTTCCTTGCCTGGGCCATCGATGTGCGCGAGCCAGGTCACCAGCGCGCGCTTCTCAACATGCTCTCCGCCATGTCTTCGGGACCGCAGAGCGCAAGCCAAGCGTATGCCTTGCTCGACCAAGAGAGCGCATCGAATGGCGCTGCAGGCGAAGGCCGCCTCGTATCGTGGAGCCGATTCTTCGAATGGATCACCTACTACATCGACACCTTCCACCAGGCCGTCTCTTCGTCGTCGTTCCATTCCTCCAGCTACCAGACACTCGCCATGCCCAAGAACGAGGAGACGCTTCTCGTCGGCTTCTTGCGCCTCTTCCGCAACGTCATCTTCTTCTCGCAGCCCGCTCGCGACGCGCTTCTGCAGAATTCGACCTACAACGCCCTCGACAAGCTCTTCTCACTCCTCACGTGCCCGGTCCCCGTCGAGCTCAAGGCGAGCATTCTTGATGCACTCTCGGCCTTCCTTCACCACGGCTCGAGTGGTCCTGCCGCACGGGCCCGATTTTCAGCCATCGCGACTCAGCTCTGGGACCGCTTCGACGAATGTGGTCTCTTGCCCACGGATGGCGTTGCTAACAAGTCGCGTCTGGGTGCCGAGCAAACGCCGTCGACCGCCTTTGGGCCTTCCTTCAAGCCGCTCGCTTCCAAGGGCGTTCTGTACGAGCTCGAGAACTTTGAAGTGCCGCTGCGCACCTTCCCTGGATCCACGAGCTTTGTCAACTTTCTCAAAGCGCTGGTCCAGCTGCCTTCGTCCGCCCTGGCCGCCGGCTCCTCGGCGCTGGCGGACAATTCGGCTGCTTCTGCAACCGGCGCAAATCCCTTCAACACCATCGTCGAGTACGGCCGGTCCGGTCAGCAGACCTCCCACTCGCAAGGCCCGTCCTCGTACCAGCAGCAGCCCCAGCAGTCGCAACAGCAGCATGGCCAACGCCGTCACCTTCGCTCGGTCGAGCGATATGTCGACTTTGTCATCGACCACGTCTTCCTCAAGGCACGCACGCGCGACTACGTCGAGCCGGCAGAGCAGTGGCGTGTCGTCGCATCATGCCTCGACTTTGTCGATCGATCGCTGCAATCATACGACCTCGCCGCGCTTCTTCGCACCAGCGAGGGCGCCGATGCCGTGGCCGATCCGGCTCTGCTTACCACGCTCGCCTCGCATCCCGGTTTCTTCTTGATGCGCCGCATCCTCACCGGTTCCAAGATGGTCGGCGAGATGCTCGGCATTCTTGTGCCTGGCTCCGGTCTTGCCGCCTTTGAGGCGATCAACCAGAATCGCGCCAGCACCTTCTTCTACGGCAGCTCGGTCCGACACGTGCTCAGCATCCTTGATCGCGTTTTGCGATACCAAGACCTCTTTGTCCAGGTTCTGCTTCCCACGCTGGTGGACTCGAGCCTCAACGGAGTGCAGTTGCCGTTTGACGTCTCGGCTCGTGTCGGCAACTCGGGCTCGTACAGCAGCTTCGACATCCAGCTGCTGCACGCGCACGAGTCGGTCGTGCAGATCGCCCTGCTCATCAACTGCGTGCGCGACGACGTTGCGCTGCTCTCGGTGCGCCTGCTCGGTCTCATCGCACGCACCGCCGCCTTTAGCGCCGTCGATCGCTTCGGCGAGATGGGTTACCGCCGTAAGATGAACCGCCTCGTCGGCCTCCTCGAGATGAGCGACGAGGCAGGACGTGTCAAGGCCGGCTACGTCGGCCGACTCGAGGCTGAGCCGTCGGGCGATGCAGCAGGAGCCAAGCTGCTCGAGACGCTTACCGCGCTCGCAGGAAACGCAGACTATGAGCAGGATGAGGATGCTGATCTCGTCACGTCCGATGTTCACGCCAACGCGGCACTGGCTTCGGGTGATGCCGTCGAGGCCATCCAGATCGCCATCGTCAACCTCTTGCTCGCAGGCGCCGAGGCTGGTCAGCCAGCCCCGAACGTCGCCCACTTGCTTCTCGGCTACGACCTGCGAGCGGTGCGTCCCGAGGAGCAGGTCATTGTCGACCCGGACGCAAACACGGCTGCGCCCAGTGCCATCCACGCCATTCTCGCCTTGCTGCGCCCTGAAGTTGACGGCGAAGGCTCTACCTTCCTCAGCCTGGCCGAGCGATCGCCGGGCTTCGCAGAGAAGTGCTGTGCGCTCCTGCTGCGACTCTGCACGCACCCGTTCACCAGCGCAGCAACGCTCCGCTACCTGCGGACCAAGGAAGACTTTGTTGTACAGCAGCTGCGCAGCCTTCCACTGGTGCCGGCCGAGCGTCCCACACTGACGGATGACAGCACGGCCGCGCTGGGTCTGGTGCAGTTTGCCGACGGCCAGAACATCGAGACGACCGTGGACCGAGTCACGGCCTCGCTGCGCATGCGCGCGTCGCTGCTTGAGCTCACTGCGCTCGAGCTGCACTCGCTGCTCAACGCCAACATGCAATCCCGCGCGGCTCGCGTTGTGGCAGCGCTCTTCGGATCCAATGCGACCGTCGGCGGCGTCGATGCGGACGACAGCGTCGACGAGGACGATGCACTGCTCGGCACCGAGCGCGACTTCCGCCTCGGCGCAGGCGGCGCCGAGGTGCGCACCTTTGGCGGCGTCCGCTTCCTCGAGATCCTGCAGAGTCTCGACTTTGAGTGGTACGATGACCGCGAAGCGCTGGGCCAGGGTATCACCGTCATCACCCCGGAGCAGCTCGAGCTCGCCAAGCGACCCGACGCGGCGCTGGGACCCCGACTGTACAATCTAGGCGCGGTGCTCGCCGTGCTGGTGCGCGAGAAGACGCTGCTCCAGCAAAAGGGAAGCTTGCGCGACGCAGGCCAGGCGAACCCTTTCCTGGAGCAGGCCGCCTTCGTTCTGCAGTGGGCGGCTGCGCAGAACGCCAAGAAGGCCGTCGCCTTCTCCCGCCGACGCGTGCTGCAGGCGTGGCGACAGACGCTCGACATGGTGCTGGCTCGCGCTGCTGGCCTGTTGCGCACCGAAGCGCGGTCGGGCCTCATGTTCGACTGCCTCTCCGAGCTGCTGCCGCGCATTTCGGCGCCTTCGAACGATGTGGCGGGGCTCGATGTGCCATCGGCGGACCTCGTGGCGGGCGCCGTGCTGTCGCTGCTGACCTCGCTTCGCCAGCACCGCGTGGAGCTGACGACGGGCGCGCTCGACTTGGAGACCGTGGATGCGCTTCCCGTTGACCGCCTGCTGACCACGCTGCGTGCGCTCGTGGACTCGGTGCTGCGGATCGAAACGACGACGCTGGCGCGAGGCAACCTCTACTCGGCACTCATCAACTTCCTCCAGCTGGTCAAGTCCGGCAACGGCAACGAAGCCAGTGCCGATGCGGGCGCCAACGATGGAGCCTCGATCATCGCCACCGACGTCGACGAAAGCATGTCCGTTGGCGGCGTGTCGAACACGACGACCAACATCTTTGGCGGACGTGCGCAGACGAGCACGCTCGAAGCGCGCACGCGCACGCTGCTGCTCTCGCACGCCGAGCGCCTCATGGATGTGCTCGCGCGCGATGCGCTCGACGCGAGCGATCTGTCCAAGACGATCGCGTTTACGCTGCTCGACAAGCTGTGTGCGCTGGATGCGCCGGCGTCGGCGAGTGGCTCGTCACGCCGCGGTGGCTCGAGATGCCTCGACCTGCTGGACCGCAAGGGCTACATCAAGAGCTTTGTCACGGCGCTGCGCGACTCGGACCTGGCGCTGCAGGAGACGCTGCGCCCTGATCCGGCGAGCCTCAATGCGATCTATGTGTACGAGGCGCGTCTGGCGTTCCTGAACCGCATGGCGCAGACTCGCGACGGCGCCGAAAGGCTGCTCAGCGCCAAGATCTTCGATGTGCTGGCGCAGTCCGACTATCTCGCGGCGCGGCCGGACCAGGACCAGGAGTTCGTTGATCTCGACAGCTTCCTGCCCGCGGCGACGGAGCGCTACAATGCACTGCTGACGCCCGTGCTGCAGCTGACCACTAGCATCCTCGCCAGCGCCTCGGCCACGGGGGCTGTGTCGAGCCATGGTGCGTTTGGCGGGCCCAAGGGACTCGCGGCCACTTCGGCGTCGGCGGCACCCAGACATGCGTTGGCTCTGCTTACGGCGCACCGCGATGCGCTGCTGACGGTGCTGCGTGCGCCGCTGCAGGAGTTCTGCTCGTACGCGCAGCTCGGACAAGCGCACCTGGTGGTGGCGATCTTTGTGCTGATGATGCCGGCGCTCGACGATGATGCGCAGCAGGCGCCGAGCCCGCTGGCGCCTTTCCACACGGCGATCGTGGCGCTGGCGGCGACGTATCTGCCGACGTCGGCGTGGCGCTCGCGCATCGTGCCGTACAACGAGGCGGAGCGCGAAGAGGCGCGTGTGCGCACGGCGTCGCTGCGTGCGCTGCCTGGTGTGGGCGAGGCGAACGGCGGAGCGGGCGTCGAGGAGGAGAGCGCATTCGAGGCCAAGGTGGGTGCAATGGTGGTGAGGATGCAGATGGCGCTGCTGTCTTATCTGGAGGGTGCGAGTGATGCGCGTGGCAATGCGGCGGCACGGGTGCGTGCGGTGCTGATCCCGTCCATGGCAGCGTACCGCGAGCGATCGCGCACTCCGTACGGCGGGGAAGATGGTGCGGACGGCGATTCGTCTCGCGCGGGATTGTTGCGCTCGCAGCGCGCGTCAGCTGCCGCATCGACGGTGCCAAGTCTGGGCAGCCTGGTGGCTGCGCTGGACGAGTATGCGGACTCGATCGCCAAGGAGCTGCAGGCGCTCGAGAACATCGAGACGCTGCTGGAGAATATGGATGCGGTGCGACAGGATGAGCTGGACGAGATTGCACGCGATGCACTCGGCGATGCGGGCGTGGGCGAGCTGTCGCCTGCACAACGTCGATCGGTAGCCCTGCGCCACCTTCGCACGCGCAAGGCCTCGCTCCGCGCCGCGTCTACCTCGAAACTCGACGCCGTCGAGCTCATCCTCGTGCTGCTCATCCGCCACATTGACTTTTTCCGCACGCTCACCACCGACCGCCCGACCGCCGCCGGTCTTGCGCGCGGCTCGCCGGTGCCTTCGCTCCTCGGCGCCGCAGCCAACAACCTGGACCGCTCCAACCTCATGCAGGCGCTCGCCGAGAGCTTGCTGCCCATCGTCGAGGACAAGATTGGCTACCTCTCGCTCCCGCCCGCGCTCGTCGCCAACGCCAGGGAGCGTCAGAGCTTCCTCCAGATGGCCGGACGCCGTCTCGCCAGCTTCCTTACCGATGCCGAGTAGAGCACCGTAATCTCTTCCACATTTCAGAATCAATACTGCTTTCCAGATCCAGTCCGAGGTGTGTCGTGAGGCGTGTGCAGCTTGCCCATCGACGTGGGGTTGCAGATGCGATGCTGCGATTTGCCTTTCTTGCATCCGTCGGCAGACAAACAGTATATACACGCAACAACGCGGCGATCCGATATGAAAGCGTCCGAATTAGTTTAGTGGCTATGACGGCGCCTTGTCATTCAATTGACGTTTCTCCGCGCAGAAATCGGCGCAGACCCGGGTTCAATTCCCGGATTCGGAGAGATCTATATTTTTTTTTTCCATTTTTCTTTTTCGCCTCGCACCGTACAAGCCGCACAATCGAATGCCCGCTTTGCTGTATAGCTTTCGACACTTTTTGCTAGCTACTGTGTAGCGTAAACGCATTCAACAGCGTCTTGGTCGCTGTTATTCGTTTGCGACAGATCCGACATTGTTGAGAGCCAGTTGGAGCTCTGCCTGTGGACGAGGGTTGCGAGCATCAACTTCGTGCGAAAGACTTCGAAAAAAGGAGAAATCGTCTGCAAACCAGCAAGGGAAGACAACAAAAAGGGTTGGAAAGTTCTCCGAATCCGGGAATTGAACCCGGGTCTGCGCCGTATTAACGCGGAGAACTGAAAGATCATCCGAAGATGACAAGGCGCCGTCATAGCCACTAAACTAATTCGGATCCGATCTTGTCTACTTGCCGCTACATTGCTTTCATGAACACGTACACACAGAAGGCGGGTCTCACGAGCGATTCATCTCTGTCGATTTGATACACACTCTCGCTGACGAGTGATGCGGATGGGGGAATGATTGGGTTTTGTATTTTTAGTGACGAAGCGGATACAGTGTGCGTGAGAGGCCACAAGTAAGGGGAACAGGAATGGGATCGGGAGACTGTGAGGCGCTAACGATGTCGATCCGTGGACGTCGTCGAGCGGTGGATCACGACGTACGATTCCAGGTCTGGGAGCCGGCTCCCAGCGATGGTGATGATGAGCTTGTGCATGCGAGAGGCTGAGTCGAATGTGACGAAGAGGTTGCCGCCGCGATACAAGGCGCTGCCTTCGTTGAGCTAGGTGTTGCGAGTGTAGCTGCGTCGGGCCGTGATGAGGTACCGAGCCGAGCAGATGTGGATTACCACGGGGTCGATGCCGTGACCGATGTCAAGGGCAAGAAGGCGCTTTTTTGTACTTGCGCCGCGTTTAGACGATGCGCGTCACCATATCGAGGGTCTTGGACTCGCCCGCCAAAAGCGTCGGGGCGAGAAGAGATGGGCGGCAATGCAAAGTGGCTGCGACAAAGTCCAGTGAGGCTGAGCGTGAATGCGATGGTCTCAAAGAGGACTTATAGTGCCCGAACTTGTGCAGTATGTATGCCATCGGCTGGCTCGGAGGTAGCGACGGTGGGCGTATAGCTCGTCGAGACAATCTTGGGCAGCGCAGCTAGGTGGCAGCGTTCGTCGAGGTGTCGCCGCTATGAGTGGCTGCAGGAAACGAGCTGCGAGCTCGAATGTTGTCAATCACAAGCGGCGTCTTGCGCATCGAGAATTGAACCATGGCGACCATGGTATCGGCGACCTTTTCATGGCAAATCGGATCATACATCTGATACTCAATTGCTTTCAGAAGACGAGGAAATTTCTCAATTCTGGCAAACAGAGCTTCGATGAGAGGAATCAAGCTTGACTGGACAGGCTGAATGAACGGGGTTTTGTTCGGTGGATAGTCATCACGGGGTGTCCATTCGGGGGACACGTGCATCGGAAGGCAAGCAACAATGACGTCGCAGTAGATCTTGACCGTGGACGGCTCACTCATGTCGCGTTCAACCACCTCCCTCAATTCTGGATTGTAAGAAACACATCCCGAGAGCAGCGTAAACAGCTCGATCACGGACGGGTCTGCAACTACCAAAAACGACTTGGCGTCCATGATCGACGACGATGCGAACGTAACGAAATCTGAGGCACTTGGTGCAAGTGGTGCAAGTGGATAAAGGTGACGAAGTCTGATGAAGTCGATGCAAGTCGATCAAGGTCGGCTGGTTAGCGAAGGCGATGAAACGGTAGCAACGATGCGAGCTTCGAAGTGCTGGTGGCCGAAAGCAGGGCTGCAAAGACGAGCAAGCGAGCCGTATTTATGCCTTTCCGATGGTGCGGAAACAAGGTGCGGAAGACGAGCAACTTGCGGGATCGACGTACAAGCTCGGAGGTTCCCGCGTCGACAGTGGGTCTGGATCGCGAGTCCAGGCCGCTTTGGTCATACAACTCCGTGCCGAAGTGGGCGCGACCATGCGGACTGTTGCGAATCGGCAAAGTTTACCGCAAGCCTAGGCCCAGTGACTAGGTCGATGTCCATGCGGAAGCGAAGCTACTCATGCGGGCTGCTGCCAGTCGAGAAAGTCAAAGTTGCCCAGCTCGTCGTCCTCAGGCTCGAGATGGATGGGGATGCCATTCTCATCGAGCAGCAGCGCGAACCGCATACGACCGTCATGTCTTGCGCCTTCCCCCTGCTCGTTCTCGTGCGCCTGCTCTTGCTGCACTCCATCTTGAGCCTGTGGCGCTTGATCACCGAGTAAGCCGTCAAAGAGGCGGTGGTAGCACTCGCGTCCGGGCGTGTTGAAGTGCTGGTACGGATTCTGGGCCGAAATCGCCTTGCCGCACAGATAGCAGTAATGCGTCTGACACGACTTGCACGTCATATGGTTGCATCCATACGACTTTTCAATCGCAATCCCGCATGTCGGACAAGGGGTGGTGTAGTTGCTAAGCCACTGCTGCGTCTGTTGTTCCTCTTCGTACCTGCGAACCATGGTCTCGAGCGTCTTGCGACCGAACTTTTGCTCCATGCGCGCGCGGTCGGGAGACGAGGGGGACAGCGAAAGATAACGCCGAATGAGTTCGGACTGAAACGACACGGGGCACGAAGTTGGTCCGTGCCATGAGCGCGAACACCACGCACAGAACGCAAAGCCGCACGACAGACACTCGCGAAACCGCTCCCAATGGCCCGAGTTCTCGTCGGACGACAAACGCACCACCGCCGCTTGACAGTTGGAGCGCGGACAGTAGGACACGGACGGATCCGCTTCCATCTTGGCCTTGACCGTGAGCTCGTCCAAACGCTGGAGGCGTGCTGCGCCGAGAACATCCGCAAGCTCGGAGCGTGTAAGCTGCCCAACAATGACGCCGGCGTCGGCCGAAGAGGGAGAGTGGCTCGGCTTGGCTCGGCTCGACTTTTGCTGCTTGGAAGTAGGCTTGACGATGAGGTTTCCTTCCTGGTCGACGAGGTTCTGCTTTTCACGCTGGCTCCACAGCGCGACGCATTCCGGGTCGGGGCAACGTTTTGCCTGTCGGTGAAAGCCGTCGTCGACGAGGCTGGTAAGGTAGCCGGCGAGGCACTCGGAGCAAAAGACGTGCGAGCAGCCTGAGAGCCGGGTGCACGCTCGGCCCTTGCGCGTCTCGAGGCAGATGGCGCAGTCGAAGGACGAGGCGTCAAAGGCGGTGCGTGTGCAGAGGCGCGAGTGCGCCACGAGCTGGGATGCGAGGCACGAAGGAGCTTCCGGCGACGGAAGAAACTCTTGGAAGTGCAGTTTTGCTGTATCTGGGTCTGTCTCTGTGTCGGGTTCGGCGGTGTGGGGAGGACGCCGAAGAAATGGTGGTGCGGATGAGGGAGATGCATCTTCTAGGAGCTGCGACCAGAGACTTTCTGCGAGAAAAGTGGCCCAGATGTAGAGCACCTCGATGCCGCTGGACTCGTGGTACTGCTCGTCGAGCTGGCGGAGGATCCACTCGTGCGCTGTGCTCTTTTCGCTTGGATGGTCCGGGAGCCATGGTGCAGAGATATGCTTGATTCTGGGCGCCTGTTGGGAGGGATAGGTAGGCGGAAGCTCAACTCGCATGGTTATGGGAGCAAGGTGGGTGATAGGCGAAAGGACGCGCGATGAACGAAGCGCGGGCTGTTGCGGCGATGGTCTCTGTATTGTGTCCGGCTTGAGACTGAGACGTTCGAGCATCTGAGATGCTTCTTCTTGCGTGTTTGTGACATTAGGGCGTGGCTGGAAGGTGCTTGCTGCAGCGTTGAGGTGGCGGTTGCCGCGGCCCTTGGGCGTGTTGGAGAGAGCCTTTGGCGTCTCGTCTGCTTGGACAGTGGAAGAAGATGGCGGTGTTTGTGGTGCTTCGCTGTACGGCACATACGTATGCACCGCTATACGGGTCGGCTCGGGGAGGGTGACCGGGAGATAAAAGTCGAGCACAGGGCGAGGCTCTCTCTGGACGAGCTTGACGCTGGGCTGGCCTGGATGGCCATCGCTCTGGTCGGTTCCGCTATCGTCAGCATTTGCGAAGATGGACTCTAGGGCGATGATCTCGTCGTCCTGCCTCTGGCGGCAATCCTCGAGCTCGGCCTGGTCAGCGTCCATGTTGTCCACGTTGGGCGAGGGAAAGCGCCACAAGTGCTATAAAGATGAAGGCATGGGAAGCGAGATTGCTGCTCTGCAACTGCGACTAGTCGGGGTGATGTGAGGAAGAAGGAGGAAAGCGTTGCCACCTGTGGGGTCCAAGTAGCCGGCGTTGCACAACTCAGCACCCCAAGTGGAGGTTTTCTTCCCGCAGCTGTGATTTGGTGATTCTGGCAAAAAAGGGTCCACTCGAAGGAGCAGCCAAAAAAAGCGGTGACCAACACCAAAAATTCGTCGTTGTCGTCGATTGCATCCTTCCTCATCACCTCATCTTGCGCTCTCTCGACGCTGTCGGTCACACTCGCCACAATGGTGCGCTTCAAGACTCGCTGGCTGCTGCTTGCGATCGACGACAAGCCGCTAGCCTGCACTTCTCCCTTTGGCTCGATGATCGACAACTCGGATGGTGAATCCGCATCCAGCTCGACTGCTGCACTCTATTCGGCCGCACGACAACCCGCCTCGGCGCTTGGGCCCTCTCTGACCCCTCAACTTATCACACGGCTGCTACGTGCCTCGCTGGTGTACAACTTTGGCGATGTGGCTTCGGGAGCGTTTGGCGGCGTGCTGACGTGCAAGTACTACAGCCCGCACACGGGGACTGCCATCGTACGCTGTTCGCGCGACGCAGCCAGGCTCGTGTGGGCATCTGCAACCCTGCTTACCAGCCCGATCGAAGCCGAGGTGGGAGTCAGTACGGACAAGTTGCCAAGTCTAAGGATGAGGGTGGTACATTGCGGAGGTACGATCAAAAAGGTGCAGAACAAAGCGATCGAACTCGACACCAAACTCATCCTGCGCCTTCGTGCAAGGCAGAAGAAGCTCGCTACCAACGCTGCCAACGGCAAGAAGAAGGAGGTGGCGAAAAAGAAGGAGGTGGCGAAAGCAAGCGTCGTGCAAGAGGTACAGCCGCAAGTGCCCAAACTCGCACCAGTGCTTGATGACGATGAAGACCTCGGTGAAGCTCTCGATCCCAATGCTGCCGAACCACCGACGCCAAGGTCGGACTCACTCGCTCAGCCTGCTGCCACATCGAAAGCGACTCAGGACTCTAAGCGCGATGCCGAAACACAAGCATTGATCGCTCGCTCGCGAAAGGAGATCAACTCCATCTCTCACTAGCCCTTCTCATCATTCGTCGCAATATACCCGCACACGTGTGTCATTGATCTCTCTTATTCATCGCTTGTCGTCTGTGAGTGCTTTCATTGCAGCCCGGCGCTTGCCTTGACCACCAAATCAGGTCGATGTTGCAGTGGCCGTCTGTGTTGCTCCCCAGAAAGGAAAAAAAAATGAGAATCTTCTCCGAATCCGGGAATTGAACCCGGGTCTGCGCCGATTTCTGCGCGGAGAAGCGTCAATTGAATGACAAGGCGCCGTCATAGCCACTAAACTAATTCGGACGCGTTTTGTGTCTGCTCGGAGCCGGGTTGCGTACATATAGGAGTATTACAGTTCTGTAGAGAGCGCGTTCACTAGATGCCTGGCTTAGAAGGGCGACGTCTGAATCTGGACGAGTCTGGAGACGAAGCTCAAAGACGGCTGTTATTGGATCACGAGTCGGCGCTGTAGGAGCCAATGAATGATCAGCAAGAGTAAGGGCGACTGGTCAGCACTGCGTATGAAGGCTGGATGGTCGGAAGCCTTGCTCCGTGGGATTACGGAGACAGGGTCATGGTGACGCAGGTCTGTCGAAAGCGCGCAGCAGCCGCAGGCAGGAATTCAAGATTGATGCGCAGATCCTGCATGACAACCTCTTTGAATTCGCACCAACGCAGCCAACCAATGCACGGTTCAGTCAATCACTGCATCTCTGCAGTCAGTGCATTAAATATTGTTTCCGGCTCAGTCAGAGTCGGAATCACAAAGCCCGCATCCGCATCAACCGGTACGACCTGCACCCTATCCTCTCCTCCCTGCCTCACCATTCCCTCTAATACCCGTCGCCCTCCTTCGCAGCAAACCTCTTTGCTTTGTCTCTCGCCTCCATCTCGCCTGGACAATACACCACCACCATAGCCCTCACAACCTCTGGCTGCCCCGCTCCTGCACTCGCACTCAGACAGCCGTGTCTCGGCCCCCCTCCCACCATGGTGGCCATCCGCCCCCTCTTCGGCTCTCGCGCCAGCGTAGAAAACGTAAAGGACAGCTTCGGCACCACCGTCGAACTCGTCAAGTCGAGCGAGAGCCAGCACGGCACACCTTCTACCTCGGACCCACCACACCTAGACGCTCGGCATTCAGACGAGAAGCCCGCGCCTCCCGTCGCCAACGCACTCGAACACGGTCAAAAGCAGTCCCTTGCTGGCTTCTTAAACGGCGCCGCCCTCGTCTCGGCAAAAGACGACCATTCCAAGCCCGAGGACCACCATCATGATCACGATCTCAGCTACGACTCCGAGCCGAGCGCCCCTGCCACCTCCAACGACGACGATGCAGTCGCCTGGAAACACTCCGCCCAACAGGCCGAATCCTCCGACCAGCACGAATCCGCACGCGCACGCTCCAGGTTCGGCCGCAGCCTCAAGCGTCTAGACGCCAAGGTCCGCACCACCTTCCACAACAATGCCCCTCCCACCGCCGCCGACGTGCGCAGCCCCTACTCGATCGGCAACGACGACCATCTCGCCACCCACAACAATCGTGGCGCCGCAGACCTCCTCAACGACGCCAGTCTAGAGACCTTGCAGCATCTCTCCGACGACGACGACGACTCAGATGAGGATGCAGACGTAGAAGACGACGACGACCACGCCGCTCCACACGCCGCTCAATCTGGATCCCACCCGGACCCTGTCAAGCTCGACAACAATCGACAGGCCCTCGACCGCATAGAGAACAACGCAGAGCAGCTTCGCACCGGATCCATGAAGGATGCTCAAGTCGGCGACATCGTCCGCATCGAAGCTCCCGTGCGCTTCTCCGACGAAGAAAAGCTAAAGGCGATCATCGACGAGTTTGGCGAATGCCCCTCCCTTTCCCACCCTAACGAGCCAGAGAAGCTCATCGCAGACATCACCGGCGTCCTCGTCAAGACCGTACTGATCAAGGGCAACATCTTCCTCACCAGCCGTCGCATCTGCTTCCTCGCCTACATCCCCACCACCAAAGCCGAACAGCCCGACCCTTTCGCCGCTGCAGCTGATCAGGTCGACCACGCTGCCGGCGCCGACCGCGCACGCCTCAATGCTCCAATCGACCCCAACGTTCGCAACCCCATCCTCAAGTCCGGCCCCGCCATCATTCACCGGCCGGGCAAGTTGCGTCCCAAGCGAAAAGTCTGGATCGAGCTCCGCAGGCACTCCTTCAACGCCTACAGGGCCAGCAACAAGCTCTACAAGCCCCTCATGTCCGCCCGCCTCTCCAACCTCTTGGCCGTGCTGCCCATCGACTGGTCCGAACCCCACGTCATCCGCTTCGTCGAGGGTCAAAAGTACAGCGCCATCGAGTTCAAGACCCAGGAGGCTGCGCTCGACTGGCGCAAGGAGCTCGAAGGCGCCGTCTTTCACTCGCGCAACACCGCCGACAGGGTTCGCATCAGCATCCCTCTCGAACGCATCGTCGGCCTCGACACCGCCGACTTCCTCCAGGTCGCCAAAATCGTCCACATCGACGTGCTCGCCGGATCCGTCGACGAGGCCAGCGCTGCCGCCGCCGTGCAGGAGCATCGCGACCGCACCGCACGCCACCAGCTCGACCACAGCTGGTCCTCGGGCAACATGTACATCAACTGCCCCAAGAATCCCGGATTCAAGTGCCACATCACCCAGATCGCCCTGGCCTTCACCGTCAAGCGCCTGCCCTTCATCGATCTGCTCCAGGAAGCCCTCAAGTCTCGCAAAAAGATGCAGGGCAACGTCGGATTCGAACAGGTCCTTCGTCTCGTCCCCACTCCCTTGCTCGATCTCGAATCCGATCCCGATGCGGACGACAACACGAGCGACGCCAACGAGTCCTCCGAATCCCAGAAACGCTCGCTCGCCGAAAAATTCTGCCACTCGTTTGGCCTGCCCTCGCGTCCCGACGAGCTCAAGCTGGTCAAGGCGCAGCTCGTCCGCACGCTTCTCACACACGGCACGCTCGCCATCGGCCTCGAGTATCTGCTCTTTTGGCGTAGAGCCGTCGGCCGCGACCTCAAAGTCAAGGTGCCCCTCAACGACATTCAGGGCGTCGACACGTACCATTCGATCCTCTGGCACCACTACGGACTCGTCATCCACATCACCGCTCACTCGGACATGTTTTTCGATTTCCATACAAAGGACAACCGCGACATGGTGCTTGCCACCCTTAAGCGCGTCATCGAGGCCAAGGAAAAGCATAAGAGGGACGCAGATTCGCAGAGCATCGCTCGCTCCATCACCGCGGCCACCGACGACAGCCACGCCACCAAGGTCGATCCCACCTCGCCTACCGCATCCATCGGTCCCGAGGCCGCCAAGACGGACGCCAAGGCAGCGCTTTTCCATGCTTCCGAGACCGAGGTGCCCGTGTTTGAGCCCGACATGCTCGCCTACCTGCCCAAGATGGTCAATGTCGACAGCAAGCTCATCCGCAACTCGCTCCGCATCTCGCCCATGCGCATCTACTGTCTCACCATCGGCTCGCGAGGTGACGTGCAGCCGTACATTGCGCTGTGCAAGGCGCTCAAGCAGCACGGTCACACGCCCGTCATCGTGTCGCATCCCGAGTATCGTGGCTGGGTCGAGGGGCATGGCATCGAGTACCGCGGTGTGGGTGGCGACCCTGCTGCGCTGATGAAGCTCAGCGTAGAGCACCGCATCTTCTCGCCCGCCTTCTTCCGCGAGAGCATCGGCAAGTTCCGCGTGTGGCTCGACGAGCTGCTGCGAGAGTGCTGGGAGGAGTGCCAGGGCGCCGACCTGCTCATCGAGAGTCCGCCGACCATGGCGGGCATCCACGTGGCCGAGGGTCTGGGCATCCCCTACTTCCGCGCGTTCACCATGCCGTGGACCAAGACGTCGGCGTATCCGCAGGCGTTTAGCGTGCCGGCCATCGAGATGGGCCCTTCGTATAACTCGTCGTCGTATGCGCTGTTCGACCAGATCCTGTGGGTGGCCACGAGCGGCCAGATCAACCGCTGGCGCAAGCACATGGTGGGCATCGGCCCCACGGACTGGTCCAAGCTCGACACGGATGCGGTGCCGTTCATCTACAACTTTTCGCCCGCGGTGGTGCCGATGCCCAACGACTGGGGCGACCGCGTCAAGATCTCGGGCTACTGGTTCCTGGACAATCCGGACAACGACTGGAAGCCGCCGCCGGAGCTGGCGGAGTTTTTGGCGCGCGCCAAGAAGGACGGCAAGAAGATCGCCTACATTGGGTTTGGCTCCATCACCATCGAGAATGCCGAGGAGGTGTCGGCGAACATTATGAAGGCGGTGCGGCAGGCGGACGTGCGTGCCATCGTGGCCAAGGGCTGGAGTGGACGCGGAGGATCCAAGAAGAAGAAGAAGCCCAACAAGCATGCGCCGCAGGCACCGCAGCAGTACGACGAGAGCGCACATGCGGACTCGGAGCACGAGCACGAGCACGAGAGCGAGGCCGAGATCGAGATTCCGGACGACGTGTTTGTGGTCGACTCGATCCCGCACGACTGGCTCTTCCCGCAGATCGACATTGCCATGCACCACGGCGGCGCCGGCACGACGGGTGCGTCGCTGCGCGCCGGATTGGTGACGCTCATCAAGCCGTTCTTTGGCGACCAGTTCTTCTGGGCCAACCGCGTGCAGAAGCTCGGTGCGGGCGCGCGCGTCAACGGGCTGGGCGTGAACGACTTTACGGATGCGCTCAAGGCTGCAGCGTTGGACCGCGTCATGGTGGAGAAGGCGCAGGGTGTGGGCGAAAAGATTCGCACCGAGGACGGTGTTGCTACGGCGATCGAGTTTCTGTACAAGAACATTCCGCTTGCCAACCGGCGCACGCAGCGCAAGCTCGAGCGCGAGGCGACGCATTCGACGTCGCCTGCGGGCACGCCTGGATCGAGCGTGTTTGCCAATCCGCTCGCACGCTTTTCGTCGCACGGTCGACAGTCGAGTGGCAGCAGTCGATCCGAGCTACTGTCATGTGGGCGCAAAGAGCCGCATCGTGCAGCGACGTTGCCCACGTCGGCGGAAGAGTCGGATGGAGCTGGTGCGGTTCCGCATCGGGCCTCGACGATCGTCGAATCGCCTGCGCAGGAGTCGGAGGCATCCACGCCGCCTGCCAAGTCGGGTACGTCGTCGGCGTCGATCTTGCCGTCGCTGTCGTCGCTGCAGTCGCTACCGGCTTCGATGGCGTCGACGCTCAAGGAGATGGTGACGCTGCAGTCGAGTACGAGCGATACCACGGCGGATGGCGACGAGGCCGGGCAGGGGGGTGTGCCGACGAGGAGCCAGACTACGCCAGTGCGCACGCCCAGTGCCGACGAGAACGAGGAACAGCGACTGGCGCGCTTGAAGGGGTATAAGAACGCCAAGGCCGAGGATCAGAGACGACGCAAGCTGTTGCTCGAGCGTCTTGAGCGCGAGAAGCGCGCCAAGGAGCAGGGCGGCCACGCTCAGAACGCAAGCACCCAGTCAAAGGAAGCGTCGGAAGCGACCCAGGCGACTTAACCCTAGATTCTAGATTGGAGTGCAGGCGCGGATATGCTTGGAAATGGAATTGTAATTGGAATGCAATCAGACGCAGTTTCGCGAGCGACTAGGAGTGAATGGACGACTGTGAGACGAGCGAGGATGGGAAGAGTGTGAGTGTAGAGCGAGAGGGCAGTTGGCCGCGTGGGAGAGGGGATTGCAAGTCTACGTGCGTGTTTGGTGTTCGAGATGTGATGTTCTTAGATGGCAACGAGACGACCTTGGGCGTCGATTTTGAGCGGAAGCTCAAGTACCTGCTGCGGTTAGAAAACCGTGCGCAGGCACAAGCTGCAAGTGCGGAAGCAATTCGAGTGTAACTCTGCCGTTCTCGCCAGAGCGTCGTTCGGATCATCCGCTAGCGGGCGCAAGCAGCGAAGCACGCTCCACCAGCGCCAGCTAAACCATTGACAGTGGAAGATCAGCTGCAACAATCCGTCTGGCCCGGCTCTCCAATGGCGCAAGCCCTTCGAATCGCACTTCGCTGGTGCGCCATCCGCTCAACTTTTCTTGCGCTCACACACACTCCAACTCTCTCTCCGTCTCTCTCGAACTTTGACCCTTTTACTAAGTTTCGAGCGATCAGAAAGCAAATGTATTGCAACCCGGTGCAAAGTGCTGACGCGCTAAAACTCGAAACCCTCGCCACGGAATTGCGCCAGCTCCGATCCGACATGGGCCTTCTGTGCGAGATCCATCCTATCCATCACCAGGAAGATCCTCCTGAGCGTCGACCACAGATTGTGACTCTCGCCTGCCTCGGCCAACGGCGTAGGTGCAGGCTGCTCTCCCTCGGGTACGTCCGGCAACGTATGGGTCTGCTGCAAACTAAGCGCAGCCAGCAGATGTTCCGCTGCCTCATGATGCGCGCCCAAGTTAAGGCACGAGACGGAAAGATTGTAAATCGCGCGCGTAAACGTAGGGCGAAGCTCCAGCGCCTTGTGATACGCCGCAATCGCCTCTTCTGGTTTACCCCCGTTAGCAAGCGTTGCACCTAGCCTGTTCCAGAGCAAGAAATCGTTCGGTCGCGCACTGAGGGCTGTGTTGAAACAGTCCTGCGCCTGCTCGTACGATGACTGCGTATAGAACAACACGCCCAGCCCCACTTGCACCTCGGGATCCACCTGTCCTGCCGCATTTCCCTCGCGTGCCGCTTGCAAAAACAGATCGGTAACCCGGTTCAAACTCGCCCACGGATTGCCCGTGGTGCCTTCAATCGGATCCTTGGACCCCAAGATCTCGGCAGCCAACGGAGCGGCCTTGAGGTGCGGATAAGCGCGCGAAATGTAGCGCTCGAGCGTCTGGTGCGCCGCCGTATCGTAGCCTTCGTTGGTGTACGAAATGGCGAGCGACATGTAGGCCTCGAGGTTGTTTTCGTCGATCTTGATGGCTTCCTCGAGCGCACGGATCGCCTGCGCCTCCTTCTCGTTCATCGCCTGGCACTCGCCCAGCCTGCGCCAGGCCTCGGAGCGTTCGCGACGCGAGCGGTCCACCTCACCGCGCTCCACCTCGCCACCCGTCCCACCGGGCGTATCGCGCTGCGTAGCTGCCTCGAACAGCAACGCTGCATCCGACAGGTTGCCGCCATTGGCAAGCAGACGCAGTCCCTCGGAGAGCGGATCCGAGTGTGCCTCGAAAGGGTTCTGCTGGCTGCGGCGATAGTTGCCCAGACGCGGATAGCCGTCGGGCCCCACCACACCAAACCCATCCAGCAACGCATCTTCGGTACCGTCAAGCGCGGCCATCTCGTCGAGGCCGTGACGGCCGCCACCGAGACCGCCCGAGGGATGCGCGTAGCCGAACGTCTCGTCGTCGTCGGTGCGTGCGTTGAGAAGCTCCTGCTCCCACTTTGCCAGCTCGGCGTCCGCCGCCGAGGGAGGCACGCCGTTGCGCGCGTTCATGGAGCGCCACAGATCCTCGAAGCGCGAGTTGGCCTCTTGGCCGTCGGCAGTGAGCTCCTGCTCGATGGCGTCGAGTTCGCGACGGATGGATTCGGCCTGTTCGGCTTCCGAGGGCAACAGGTCGGGCTCGTCTTGCTTCGCTTTGCCCTTGCCCTTGGCTTCGGTATCGGCCTGCTCGGCATCAAGCTTCTTGAACTGCTCTTCCCACTTGGCATCGTCGAGCTCGGTGAAGCGCGAGGCAGTCGATTGGGTCTGCTGGGGCGCGTTCATGGTGGCCATACCACCGCCCATTCCGCCCATCGTACCCATGCCCATGCTCATGCCCATACCACCCATGCCGCCCATGCCCATACCGCCATACGAGCCCATCATGGGCCGCGAGGCGTATGCTGCCGAGGAGCCGGAGCCGTCGCCCGGGGCATTCATCGAGTGGTGCATGGCGGGGCCCTGGTGGCGCGAGGATCCGAACTGGTTGGCCCACTGGGAGGAGGCGGGCGGAGCACCACCTCGAGCAAAGGCGGCTTCCATGTCTGCCGAGTTGGGAGTGGCGTTGCGGGGCATCTGGCTGGCCCACGCAGCGCCGGCGTTGGGACGCTGGAAGGCGGGCATGGCGGTGTTGAGCTCGCTGCGCATAGCGTGCATGTCAAACGCCGAGTTGGCGGTGCCGGGCAGAGAGGCGCCCTGCTGTTGACGGAAGAAGGCCTCTGCGTCCGAGTTGGGCCCGGCGTGATGTTGCTGCCTCATGCCGGCGGGGCCCATGTGGGGCTGACCTGCGGTGGTCCGGTCGCCATGTTGGAGCGAGCGGTCCTGGGAGGTGTGCTTGAGCATCTGTGCGAGGCCATTGTTGGAGGTGGAGCATTCTGCTCCATTGAGCATGGACTGGAACGCCATGGTGAGTGTGTTTGCAAGTGGTGGTGGGTGGGATGGAGGGAAACGCGGGGTAAGAAGGGTTGATGACAGGGGTGGCGACCTGCGAGTGGGAATTGCGTGTGATTGGAGGACGAGGCGAGCTGCTGAGGTGGCCGCACCCAAAATGCAAGCAGCCGGTTAGCGCGCTTCGACCATCCGGCTGAGTCGGCGCGCCGTCTCCATGTCATTCGCTCAATTTCCGGCGAATTTCCAGGATGTCAGACCGACATCTCCACATTTTGGCTCGACCTCGCCCCGGCTTTTTCAGCGTCGGATATAACCGACTTGGTCTTATCGGAATGCCGGCCGAGACAGTCAACCGGCGCACCGTCCTCCCATGTCGTGCCGACAAGAAGCATACGATGCCGGCCCAACTTGATGGCGGCACACACTTCCATGTTGGCCGAGTTGGATCGCATGACCTTGCCTGATCTGGTTCGCCTTGCCGTGCCGATTGGACGCCTCTATTTCGCCTTGCGACGCGGTCAAGCCGGCGACGATAGCAAAGCCACAACGACTGGGCCGGACCGGCGTGCGCAACCAGCGGTGAATTGGCTCCCCCACGCCCGGCTCGACGCTCCCCCACCTTGACGCGTCAGAGTGTGCCGCCAGGTATGGCCGGCCAACTCTTCTTCCCCGCACTGTGGAAGCGCCATCGTACGCTCCATTCCGCTCCGCTGTCACCCACTCCAACACCGCCGGCATGGTTCAGACTCAGACCACGCTAGCTTGCGCATCTATATTCTTGCGCTCAATAGCGTAGGCGACGTGTGGCAGCGATCATGGAGCCAAAGCGCATAGATGCGAAGCCCTAAAGCCGACGCCGACTTGGCCGTTCGCCAATCGCACACGTCGGCCCGCTTCGGCCCCGTTCGTGCAGAAGATCCGACGCTCCCACCTCGCTTCGTACAACGCTCGTCTCGGCTACACAGCATATCGCTCCCCCGCCTTCGTCTCTCCTCGGCCTGCTCGATACGGCAACGCAGTGCACCATGTGGCCCTGCCTCGTATCTGGTTCGTTCAGCATGCATCTCGCATCACCTGCCAGGCTACTTAAACCCAGCCTCGAGCAGCCTAGGATGTCGCCTATCCACTTTCTCCCTCGCATTCAAAGATCCTTCCTCTCATAACCATGGTCAGGCTGTCGAGCATCGTGTCTACACTGGCCGCTGCCGGCGCCATCGGCGTAGCCTCCCTCGGTGCTGTGCATGCATTGCCCGGCGCCGTGTCGAGCACCGCACCGCTGCGTATCGACGAGCTGCTCGAGGCGCGAGAAAGCGCTAATGCGAGCGACTTTCTCTCGACGCTGTCGACGGGCCAGCGCCACGTGTTCGACGTGTCGCTCAACATGCTCGACGCCAACTTTCAGCCGCCGTACATCTTTGGCTCTTCGCGCTACACCGCTTACTATGCCGTGGCGCTTCTGGCTCGCAACGCGCCCGGAGATGTGGCGCTGGCCAAGCACCTCATCCACAACGCCATTGCTGCGCAGTGGACCAATGCCTCCGACATCTGGTACGGCGCCTTCCTCGACCCCAACCAGCCTGCCCCCGGTGCGCTCAACGCGCCCAAGATCTACGGCTCGTACGATGCCAACTCCAACCTGTTTGTGGCGACCGCATTCATGCTCGCCCTCGACGAGTTTGGCCACTTGCTCGACGCCGACACCAAGGCTGCTGTGATCGAGTCGGGCTACCGAGCCGTGGTCGGCGATACCTACCGTGTGTTCGGTGTGGATAGCGACAACCTCACGCCTGCCTACTCGAACCCGTGGCTGATGCGCTGCATGACCATGTCGTACTACGGCCACCTCAAGGGTGACGCCAACATGACGTCGCATGCAGAGCACTACGCCGGCGAATTCTACAGCCTCTTTGACATGTACGACACGCTGCCCGAGTTCAACTCGGCCACCTACACGGGTGTCTCGCTCTGGGCTCTAAGTCTGGCCGGCTACCTGCCTTCCAACACCACCATGGCCAAGAGAGCGGGTGAAACGATCGCCAAGATCTGGGACAAGACCGCACAGCTTTGGCAGCCCGATCTGCAGAGCCTGGGTGGATCGTGGGACCGCACGTATGGATTTGGTCTTTCGGACTATGTCAGCCTCATCGGATTCTACGTTGGTGCGTTCAACGATGGAAGCGCCAAGAGCTGGCCGGTACCGTGGAAGCTTTCTGGATCTCCGCATGTCTCCGATGCGGCATTTGCACCGCTCATGGCGATCACGAGTCGATTCCACGACCCGCACGTTTCGAAGCAGGCGCGCGAGCTGCTCAAGCCCTGCACCGACGACTCCAAGGTGGGCAGGCTGGTTCGGTCCAATGCGTGGTCGCCACCGTTCGATGCGGATGTGCACCAGTACGGTCCGCGCAACTACACCGCCTGGATCGGACGCAACGTTTCCGCGGGCGGCACCGAGATCGACGAGGCCACCATCGGGGGGCCAGCCAAGAATCCGACTGCCTTTACCCCAGCCGTGCTGCTCTGGTCCACGCCCGACACGCACGGCCTGCACTATGCACAGCCAAAGACATCCTGGCTTTCGCTCTACCCAACCACCCAGACCATCTCGGCCACGGCGTCCGAGTCGAACATCACCATCCGCTTCCCGCCCTCGCGCGCCTTCGGCGCCAACTACACCGCCCCGTCCCAGATGACGCTGATGATCGGCACGTCGCCGCTCAACAACCTGCCTTCCGACCTGCTGCTGCACTCGAATGCGACGGGCGCCGTGCCCGGCATCCAGCTCGAGCTGAGCGGCAACGTGGCTGCAGGCTCGGTCAACCGCTCCCTCACCTACGACTCGTCCAAGAACGTCAACGGCTTCTACTACTACAACCTCACGTTTGCGCTGGGCTCGCTGCCCAAGACGCAAGTGCCCGAGCTTGTCATCGCGTACAAGATTGCTTAGCTTGCATCATGGAAGGAAAATGCAATGGATCGTTGTTGTGTGGCATCCGCGCGCTTGGTGAGAGAGCAGGCACGAAGATGGAAGCGTCGAAAGTAACAAAGACGCCTCTCGACGCGACGCGTGTGTTTGACTGCGCTTTCGAGCCTAAAATCGACTGAGCGCGTAGAGAGCAGCGAAGAAGCGGGAAGTTGGATTCCTCCTCCACCTTCCGCACCTTTCACAACGTCCATCACCACGCTCATCCTCCTAACGCACACACGCATACAATGGCATTCAACGAGCAGCCATCCAACCCTGCTGCTGCCGAGGCGGATGCTTCCACCGGCGCCGGTGACGCAGCCAACGCACGCCAGCTCATCGACGAGTCGCGCCGTCACTTTGCACTCAAGGAGTATGCGCAAGCCATCGACAAGGTGGCCCAGGCGCTCGAGCAGCTCTCGTCGCACCACGCCGAGGATGCAGACGAGCTTGCACCCGTGCTCCATCTGTACGGCCGCAGCCTGCTCGAAAACTTTATCATCAACTCGGCCGCACTCGGAGGCGGAGGTGGATCGGCACCACTTCCCTCTCCCTCTGCACCGACGAAGAGCGCTGCGGTCGAATCGGCGCCTGCTGCAGGAGGTTCGTCGAAGCCATCCACCTCGAATGCTGCCTCCTCCTCCTCCGCCTCGGCGACAGCGGATCCTCGCTTCAGTTTCAGTGGGGATGCCGAGGACGACGACGAGGATGACGAAGGTGCAGCAGCTGCGGGCGCCAACGAGGACGACGACGACGACGATCTTCAGGTGGCGTTTTCGGTGCTGGATCTGGCGCGCGTGATCTACGAGCGCATCCTGACGGCCGACAAGCCGGAGCTGACCACGCTCGAGGCGCAGCAGTGGGGCAAGACGCGCATCCAGGCTGAGCTCGCCGAGGTGCTCAACCACCTCGGCGACGTCGGGCTCGAGGCCGAGAACTTTGCACAGGCTTCGGCGGACTATGAGGCGAGCCTGCAGATGCTCGAGCCGCTGCTGCGCGCGCATTCGCGCCGTCTCGCCGACGCCCATCTGCGTCTCGGCCTGGCGCTTGAATTCCACCCGGACATCGACCAGCGCAAGCGTGCCAAGCAGCACGTCCAGTCCGCCTCGCAGGTCCTCGCCAGCCGCATTGCCGCCATCCAAGCTCGCATCGACAACCCCTCCTCTGCAGATGCCAAAGAGGAGGAGGGTAAGGAGCGCGATGACTTGGTCGAGTTGGACGCGGCGGCGCTCAAGACCGAGCTCGAGGACGTCAGCGGGATGAAGCGCGAGATCGACACCAAGCTCGACGAGTACGACACCGAGGACGGCCAGGCGCAGCTGAGTGGGCAGCCTGACCTAGCTGGCGTGCTTGGTCTGCCTGCCGAAGCTACAGCAGCGGCGGGAATGACGACCAAGGACGCGTTGCAGCAGGCGATCAAAGACGCCTTCCTCGGCGCATCCGCCGACGACAACGACGTCAACCCATTCACGGGCGCCAAGACCGCCGCCTCGGATGCACCCGTCAACAACCTCAGCAGCATGGTCAAGCGCAAGAAGAAGGACGACTCACAAGAGGCTGACAAGAAACAACGTACCGAGCCGTAGCCAGCGCACGTTTAGCCGGCAAAAAAATAGCATTGTTCATCTTACTGTCTAGAGACCGGGGCGAAGGTGGGGAGTCCAAAAGGACCAAGTACCGTTGGTCGAAGCGCGCGTGTGTGGTGGAACGCCCAGGATGCGAGCGACCAGATTGTGCACCTGCACGTTTTCAAACGCCTCCATGTTGGCCTTCCCCGCCTGGCCGTGGGGAGAGAAGGAGGGGCCGGTAGCGGTAAAGATGGCGTGCATGTCGGGGTGCGTATTATCGTACCCGTGGTTGCCTCTTGGCGCATAGGTTCCGTTTGCAAACGTCGCGAACTCGGCATGATCCGTGATCGACCATCCTGGCCAGGGGACCATCCAGAGTGGAGCCAGCCTATCTCGCACCGTGGGTGAGTTCAAATGCCATCGTTCCGGCAACTCTTGCCGCCAGAATACATCGTACCCCTTAGCATCCTTCTTTAGCTGCGTATAGGCGAGCTGTGCCATTCGGTCCTGTTCGAGCTGTGAGCCGCGGAATCGCAAGCCGGCGAGGGGCCATGCATCGCGAGTTTGGAGCGACGCAAGCACCTCGGCACCCAACACTTGGTCGAGAAACACCAGCCGTGCATTGCTCGTCGTCGTCATGCCGTGGTCACTCACCACCACTACATCCACCACCCCACCGAGATTACGCGCATGTACCAGCTCGGTATGCAATTCCCCCACGAATGCATCGACTGCCCGCACCGCCTGCAGGGCTTGTGTGCTGTTGGGTCCAAACCGATGCGCTGCCTGGTCGATATCCGGCACATAGGCACAGATCAAGCTCGGTCGATCCTGCACATTGTCCATGTCGATCCAGTCCAGCACCGCCCGTTTCCGCCCTTGTAGATCCCACTCTGGCCCGCTTTCGTACTTTTGAAAGTACCTCGGTCTTACCCCGGCAGCAGTGACGGGTGGACCGGGCCACATGAGGACAGCTGCCGACAAGCCCGCGCGCTGCACAGTGGCCCAGATCGGTTCGCCGAGCCACCATGAGCCAGACCACGACCGGTGCGGGTCGGTGTAGTAGAACTGCGCGTGGGTGGTGCCGAGCGTAAAGTCGTTGGCAACGATCCCGTGGGATGAGGCGTACAGACCCGTGAGCAGCGCCCAGTGGTTCGGAAAGGTCAGCGTCGGAAAGACCGGCTGCATGTACTCGGCTCGTCGTCCGTGTGGCTGCATCGAAAGCGATTGGATGTGCGGAGCATGCCCAGAGTCGAGGTAGACAGGCTTGGCGCCGTCCAGCGAGATGAGGATCACCGTGCGCCGGAACGTGTGTGTGCCGTTGGACAGCGTCGCGTTCGGCCACAGCGATGTCGCGCCGTCGTCAGCAGCCGAGTGCAGACCAAGCAGCGAGAGCACCAAGACGCCGAGTACCACCACAACAGTCAGGAAGAGACCGAGCGTGGTGTAGCGCGGCCGTGGTTTGCGTGCGTGACTCGCTGGGGCGCGCGGCAGAAGCGGTGTGCTTGCAGTGGCCTCCGGAGCATCGGTGCTGTCGGCATGGGCGGAGTCGCGGCGTGTGTTGCTTTCAGCGTTGGCCTCCATGGCCGAGTCCAGCAGCCGCGTCCAAGACTGAGCAGCGTTCGTCTAGAGCTGTCTCTATCGTGTCACGCCGGGGATCATGGTCGTTTGACGTTCAGGGACACGGTTGTGTTGGTGCGAGTTGTTGGCTCGTTCGAGGTGGATTTTTTGACAATGTTACGCCGAACGGCATCGTCAATGTTACGCCGGCCGCACATCGTAAAAACTCGCGTGGTGGGTAGTCAATCCACCACGTAATCCAGAGGTTCTGGATTAATTTCCTGCAATCCACACACCATACACAAGCTGTGGTTTGGCATCAATACACAGGTAGGTTTGGCATCAATACACAGGTAGGTTTGGCATCAATACACAGGTAAGCTGTGGTTGAGCGGTGTATTAGCATGATTGTAACACAGAAGCTGTGATTGACCTGTGGATAGGCATTAATACACAGGTTAGGTCTGTGGTTGAGCTGTGTATTAACACCATCTAATCCAGAACCTGTGTCTAACCGGTGCATTGACCATCAACACAGAAGCTGTGACAACGTCCAAACCACAGCTTAACCAGAGCACAAAATGCGCACCACACCTACCTAACCCGCATAGAGCAACTTGCATCTGGTCGACCTCAAGTTGCTTCTACCCTCATACCTGTAAGTAATCACGGTGGTAGTCAGCTAGGGTAGTCAGTCGGTAGTCACGTAGAGTAGTCATAATTACATAAGCACGCATAAGCAGACCCACGTAGAAGCACATGCAATGCAGCAGTCTGAGTGAGTCTCGAGTAAGTGAGTGAGTGAGTGAGTGAGTGAGTGAGTGAGTGCGGGAGTGAGTGAGTGAGTGCGGGAAGATTGAGATGAGGGTTACATAAGCATGTGTCAGAGAGTGTTGGAGGAAGAGGTGGGTGGAAAAGCAGTTTAACATTTTGTTGCTCGGATCAAGGTCACGTGACCGTCTGTGTCAATTAACCCACAACCTGTAAGTGTGGGCTGCGTTGGGTCGTGCATTGGATTTCAGTCACAGGTTCTGTGTTGGCCTGTGCATTAACCACACACCACGAGAGTTTTTCGGATGTGCCGTGCCGGCAATCCAATTCGCATTTTTTGGCGCTTTCACACGGACCAACGGCCGGCGGTTGAAGGAGAAGGGACCGTGTTGGAGCAGTCCGCCCAAGGCCATGTTGCACAAGCACACAGACCATGCACCCCGCCTGTCGAACACGGCACCCCCTCGTACAAGCCGCACCACTCCACACCTTTCCGGGCTACCACCATCTGCCCACCCCCTGCCATCCGCCCAGCCATCTCCATCTCTCACCACAGTTACTTGGGCACACAACACTACCTCCGCCATGTCGTCCAGCACCACCGCTGCGCCCGGTTCCGGGTTCTGCGTACACTGCACCTCGGGCTCGCGTATCCCCGGCGAGCCCAAGGGCAAGATCGAGTCGCTCCACGGCTTCAACACCTACGTCGCCACGCCTGCGAGCCCCTCGGCCGACTCGGCTACAAAGGCGATCATCTACTTTTACGACGCATTCGGCCTCAACCTCGTCAACAACAAGATCATCCCCGACCTGCTCGCCGATGCCACCGGCCTCACCGTCTATGTCCCCGATGTAAGCTCCTCACCATTTCCTTATTGAACACGCGTCTGGATTTGCTTTGCTGACCGATCTCTGGCGACACCCACAGATGTTCAAGGGAGGAGGTTTTAGCGAGGCAGCGCTGCTGCCTCGCTCGACACCCATGACCGCACAGAGTGCGCGCTCCTTGGGCATCGTGCAGAAGCTCAAGACCGTCGCCGCCTTTGCGACGACTACGCCATTCTTCGTGCGCCACTTCCCCGCCACCAAGATCGGTCCCATGAAAAAGTGGGTCGACGAACTCAAGGCCTCCAAGGGCTACACGCGTCTTGGCGGCACCGGCTTTTGCTACGGCGGCAAACTCGTCATCGCACTCAATGCTACCGGTCACATTGACGTCAGCGTTGCCAACCACCCCTCAATGATCACCAAGGGCGACATCGCAGCGATCAAAAACCCGATCCTGTTCAACGTCGCCGAGTACGATCCGATCTTTTCAGAGGCCTACGCCAAACAGGTCGAGCAGGACTGGGCAAAGAGGCAGGATGCGCCACTGCACAAGTTCGAATACTACCCCAACACTGTCCATGGCTTTGCGTCCAGGCCGGATCTGGCGGACAAGCAGGTCAAGGATGCGTTTGAAAAGGCTTTCGAGAGAAGCGTCGAGTTTTGGAAGTCCAAATTGTAGCCCGACATCAACCGGTCTTGTACGTAGCCGCTACCCGAATGCAATTGATGCAGAGTCGGATGTCGTGCGGGCAATTGTTCACCGTTGCCGATATGAATGATGCATACAGCGTCCACATGTGCATGGTGGGGATCAACAACCGCAACAAACTTTGCCCGCCAGGCATCAAGCTTGAACTCAGCATCAACTGGCCGGCATAGTCACTTGCCAATACCGGCCCGAACAATGTCCGGTTGAAGTTTAATCGTGGAAGCTCTGAACAGTCACGATAAGCTTTGGCCCCACACTCTGTGCTGGTTGGCGAGCAGCACGATTGTGCCAGGTTGCTGCTCGTGGCTTGCCGGTGACCTTGCCGGGCTTGCTCATACGCCCGAGAGTGTCGCAGGCGATCCAAACGCGATGCAAAAACGCCGTGCGAGAATCATTCTTCAAAGCCTTGCCGGTTGAGTTCTGCAGGCCAGGTGGTCCCAATCCCTTCCTCGTCGTCCAGAAGGCGTGCTCAATCGCTTCTACTGGTAAGCTCAACCTTCGCTTCTTTATCTCAGGTGCACGGTTAGCTTTCGCATGCCATGCTCTTATTCCCTTAGAACCCCGTACAACTTTGAGCATGTTGTTGACATTCGCACACTTTCTTGCTTTCGGCTCATTTTGATGAAGACACCTCCTCGACGAGTGAAAGCCTTTGTATGCAGCATGTAGGCACATCATCCCGCCACCCGTCTACGCGAAACAGAGTTGCTCATGCTTGGCAGGTGCAGAGTAACCAGATTTGTTCACCTCGGACAGATCGGGCCGTTAGAGTACAACTCGCACTAAACTTACAAGGCGCACATGGCCTTTCCGATCGTGAAGAGCTTCGCCGATGACCGACTGACTCAGAATACTTGCACCTTCCCTCGTGTCTGCATGTGACGTTGCATGTGACGTTGAACAAACAAGACCGATTTAGCCGATACAGTATCACGATGCGGTGAGAGACTCGGGAAGCAAAGGGAGCGATGCATGCAGACGCCATCGTCTGCAAGCAGATCCAGCGGCCATTTGCCGTCTTTGTGAGGTGAATCCAGATGCTGCACATATACATGCATGGTAGAATGCTCGGCCGCGCACCGCTGACCGCTACGGGGACCTCGTCGAGACGTGCCTTGGCTTTGCGTGCTTGATGAGCTTGCCGAATCCTAATGAAGACCGACACGCTCCAGTTCGGCAGCTATGATACGCAAAAGAAGTGCCACCCAGACCAGACTAACCATAGAAAGAGGACAGAGAGGTATAGCGAGCACTGCAAGCGATCGAAATCTGCACTGCCAAGTACGCACGGACATGGTGCTCGGCATACCCACGCGGTCCGGAATGAAGACTGTGCTAACGGCATCCGAGAGCTTGCCGTACTGTATTAGACAACTGCCTTCCCGCTAACCATGATGTCATGCATGTGCATGATACTGTGGGCAGTATCATAGCCTTTGCCCCACAACCAATCAAACGCGATCAAGACGCGGCGTGGCGATGTTTGCCTGCATCGACTCTTCGCCGCGGTACCGATCTCTGCCCGAGCCGTGCCGCTTCTATCAATGCGGGACGCCGCAACTTGCGACATGAGGAAAAAGATCGGTGCCATCTCCGAACCAGCGAGATAGGTACTGATCAGGACAGTCGTCTGACCTTACGCTTTTGCTTGAGTAGCTTGAGTAGGAGGATATAAGAAGCGCCTTGCTCGAGTTCAAATGTGCCATCTTTTCACCATCCCCACTGCCCCGCTTATCGCTCCAGTCCGTGTCTCCACACCATGAAGATCTTCTTCCCTCTCTGCGCTCTTGTTGTCTTCGCTGTGACGTGGGTCGAGGCTGTCTTCCCACCCATGCCCGATAGTGTGGCTAGCGGTGGCGAGGAGATCCGCGCTTTGTGGGAGGCTGCAAGCCAAGGCACGTTCATGAATGTCCTTCCCCCTAACATGGCCGGCATCCAGAACGAGTGGACCAACTTTCTCAGCACCGAAGGCGAAGACATTATCAACAGATACTACAAGTAGGTGTTCTTTGTATCACAACACTACTGCCTTCGGCCATTCGCTGACCTTTGAACCTTGTCCGACGCTGAAACGGCTACAGGGAGACGTTCCGGGACAAGATGTAAGTACGAAGGTCTTCATGATCGTCAAACTGTTTCGCCTCAAACCACTCTTTGACTGAAATTTTGTGTGCTTATGGTCCCAGCTTCGCCGCAAAATTCCACGGACACGGCAAGTTCGTCAAGATGGCCAACTTTGCACTGACCAAGCCGTACCAGTATCATCCGAACACCGATGCATACAAGCCCCAGGTGGCCGCGCTTCTCATCGAGACGTTTGCGAGCAGACCCACTCCCGCCAGGAAGGTGCAGTGGGCCAAGGATCTCCGCCTCGGACGACCTGGAACCGGCAGCACCTAGCGATCTTTGAGGCCTGCGTCTGGCAGTTCTAGTCTACCCCTCAAGAGCTCGATCGAGCCACGTTGGTCCACCTTTCATTAGCTCATTCGAGTCAGACTCGTGGGAGCTGTGCCTTTTTAGGTTCAATTTGAATCTCGTACAGTCACCACAAGCAGTCTGTTGCTGAACCACCGCGTGCGCCTGAGCGAGACCTGGGTCTATTAATGTATGACCTAGCTAGGCTGGCCTTGACGATTTGCCACAACCATTGTTCCTGCTAAGAGTTGGCGGTGAGGGTGATTGCGACCGCAAACGAGGCTGTTCATCTCAGTCGGTAGCGATGGAAGTCCCACAAATGCAAGCGAACACTCGCATGATCGGGTGGAACGATGCATGCAATTAGACAAGGATATTGTTGAAAGCCCCGCGGGGATGGAGATGAGAGGGCGGTAATTGCCTGCGGGACTACAGCATCTTCTCGCATTGGCATGTGTGTGTGAGCGGTCGGCTTGTTTGGCAGCTGATTGTTGTGACACACGGCAGTTGCCGTATTGAACAGCTGGATGTTGGCCGCCACGGCAACAGCTGTGCAGCGCAATGAGGAGGATCGAACTGCAACCGATCTCTGGTCGTGCTGTGCTCCGGAGAAACAGCCGTCTTCGAGGTTGTGAAAGACTCCGCTCATCCGTCGGAACACAATGGACGCTGCGGCACAATGAACACGCTGAACCACGGTCATATCCGACCCGGGGGCTGTGCCGTGGTCAGGTCCGTTGTCGGACCGAGCACTTCCAGCTGGAGGAAAGGATATAAAAAAGCGCACCTTTAGAGCCGGACTGAGTCGATTATCCATCCTTCCCATTGACCTTCCTTTCTGCATCGCAACGCTGAGCACCATGAAAGTTTTTGCCGCCCTGTATACCTTTGCTGTTCTCGCCGTGGTAGGCGTGAGCGCTGCGTTCCCGCCCATGCCTGAAAACGTAGCAAACGGTGGCGAGGCCCTTCGCACCCTGTGGGCAGCCGCAAGTCAAGGAACATTCATGAATGTGCTCACCCACAACATGCGCAGCATCCAGGGCCCCTGGACGGAATTCCTCACCACTGAAGGCGAACAAATCGTCAACAACTACTACCGGTACGTCCATCTCTCCACCACCTCTTCCGATGGCACATCGCTCACCTCTGTCGCCTGCCGCCACTATTTCATGTTTTCAGAGAGGCTTTCCGAGAGAAGCAGTAAGTGGATAATCGCTACAGCCCTCGCCGTGATCGAGCTTGCACTGAAGCGCTTGTCTTGATGCCGGTCATTGTAGCAACGCGGCAGTTTTGCACGGACACAGCAAGTTCGTCAGGATGGCCAAGTTCGACATCACCGAGCCGTACAGATTTCAGCCCAATAGCGATGCTTACAAGTCCAAGGTGGCCGCTACCCTCATCAGCACGTTTGCGGACAGGCTCGCCGCCGCCAGAGAGGCGCAGTTGGCCAAGGACATTCATCGTCCTCCATCTTTCAGCAACTAGCCACTCTTCGAGCTCCACCTACAGTAGCTCCACCTAGCCTCTCGAGGGCTTGACTGCGCTGGTATTCCGCATGAGCTCGATCGAGCCAAAACTTTGTTAGCTTCGACTCGAGCCGGCTTGTTCTCAGTTTGTTACCGTCCACGTTCAAGCTCCCCTTTCACATAACGCCGTTGTGCCTCACAAGCAATAGGCTTGCTCCTCTTCATCTGTCCGAGGGTTGCGCCAGCGTTCAGTCGACAGGGAGGTCATCGGTCTGCGACGTGCCACCTCATGAGATGGCTCGAACGAGGGCAAACAGCCCTCGATTTCGGGGCTTAGCTCTATTCAAAGCCACAAGGCAGTTCATGTCGGACGGAATCCGGACCTGCCGGGCGTGATGCACGAGACCATCCACTTCCGACGGTCAAATTTTGAGGTCACAGCTCCCCTGACTGCTGCTAACCGGTGTGGCTGGGACGGTTGCCATGGCGCTCACTCAAAAATGAGAGGAGCCCATACCGGCGCATGAATCTGATCTCTTCTTGTCGCGGCGTCTCCCATCCGAGTTCCATTTTAGGGTCAGCATCAAGCTCATCGCGCTACTTCCGTAACGTTTTCACCGAAAGATGTGGAGCTTGCCACTTTGTCCAGGACCCTAGGCCTAGACTTTGAATACCATCGCCCGTCCCTCCTGACTTGGCATCGAGTCTCTGGTCGGCTCTCGAATCATGCTGCTCCAGCGTTTCCTCGCTTTCGCAGCTGCACTGCCTCTCTTACAGGCAGGTTCAGATGTGGGGATGCGCGATATCTAGGGCTGTCTCCGAGGGCGAAGAGGCCGTGTGCGTACTTTGAAGGAAGGCACGTCAATGCCATGCCGGGCGAGTTCGGGGTTGCACAAGATAGCTGTGCTCGCTTTCCATCATCTCAAGTAGGCACACAACCTAATCCTTTGCATGTCAGCGTATCTCACTTCCCGGCTCGCCCCATTGTTCCTCCATTGACGTAAGTCTGGGCTTGGCGCCAGTCCTCACATCGGGATCTGCATTTCAAGCAGTTCCCTGCTCGATCGCAAAGGGGTGCGTCTACCTGGCACGGACGGGAATGGCAATCCTCTTCTCAAATCGTATTCTCTGCTTCGAAGTCCTGTTGCTGATGTCATCAGTCGCTACGCGTGATTGGCAGTCCAAGCCTGGGGAAAATGGCTACTCGACCTTACACATTCAGCCCTTGAGATGATTCGTCCGAGAAGACTGTTGTTGCTCAGCACATCGAGCGATATACGGAACAGCTGCCGCAGAAAATGTCTAATTGGAAAAGAAAGAGCGGGCTCGGGGTTGCAGCCTCGGTACGGCCGGCTCCGGCCGAGCCTAAAGGCCCCCGTCAGATGCGACGTCATAGCATCACCAACATCCCTTTTGATCGGATATGGTCTCGCGATCACGAAATGGCAGACGAATTGCAGGAGAGAGATGTACAGTATGAAAAGAGTTGCGTGAATAAGGTTCGCCTTCATGTGGGGCTGTCAAGGGTGGTCCCTAAGCGTCGGGCAAGGGTGGGCGTGCCCGTCAACCGCAAAGTCCCCGAGCCGCCAAACGATTCAGACATCGCGCGGCTCCGGAGTCAAGAGCCCGTCGCCGCTTCTCCGAAGGATATGAAGATCTGGACGGAGACTTCACATAGCGAGCCGGCTGACCAGCCGCGGCTCCTTATACGGTGTTTCAGGCACGCTTGCTCTTTGAAGCGAGAGAGGTCATGCGCCCTTCCACACCCAAGCTCGTCGAATACTATCCGTGACAGGACGTTGGATGTGGCGTAGGACAAGTCTGTGAAGCTTGAAAGAGATAAAAGGTCGGCCACTCAAGCTCGGAACTACCCATCCACCGCATTCACACACCGTCTTTTCTTTCAGATCGTACACCACCGTTTCTCATCTTGGCATCAACATGAAGGTCCTCCGAGCTCTTTGTGCTATCGCCTTCCTGGCGGTAGCGTTCGCCCTTCCTCCCATGCCTGACAGTGTGGTCAACGCTGAAGAGGCTATTCGCGACCTGTGGCGGCTAGCGCACGAAGGAGTGTTCATGAACACGCTGCCGTTCCAATACCGCGAACTTCAGGACAAGTGGGCCAACTTTCTCTACCACGAAGGCCCGGGTATCATTAACAGCTATTACGAGTAAGCTCAGCATCGTCCATCCAAATGCTACATGCAGCAATTGAACTCACCAATTCCACATTTACCCTGTGTACTCGCTCAGCAGTGCAAAGCTTCCATACTGGAGGTTGGTCTTCACCTCATCCCTGTCTCTTCCGTTCTTGGTCGAATGCTCACCTCTTGCCTCGTTTTGTGTCCTTGCAGCGCCGGTGGCCGCTGGCACGGACAGGAAAGGCGCGTATACGACGTATCAACTCTGCTTTCACTTGCGCTATACTGATGCTTGAGAATGTCTGGAATGGCTTTACAGGTTTTTGAGGATGGCCAGATTCTCGGACACAAGGACGTACTCTTACACGCCGAGATACGATCCCATGAAGCCAGAGGTGGCCGCACTCCTCGTTGAGAGATTCGCCGAGAGGATGCCCTCGTCCAAAGCCGATTGGGGAAAGGATCTCAGCCTTGCTCAGCCCGGCACGAGCCACTTTAACCCTCACTCTGCTGATCGCTGATGATCAAGAATGCATGTTGTGAGCGGCGAGCAGTGCCTTCGATCAAGAGGGTAACACGCACGTCAACACACGGTAGAGTCGGCAGTCTTGTGCTCCTCGCACACATCTCGCATGCTTGGCGATATGCTTTCGGACGACATCCGAAATTAACGAGCAATGTATCATACTCACATTCATGTCATCGCAGAGTAGATGCAGTGCAAAGCTTGGTCCCACATATTAAGCGCGAGTCTGACATGGTGCGATCGCGAGTTCAATTGATCAAGAGGACGTTTATTTGCTATGAACGAGCGTGTCGATCGTCGAAAGGAGAGCAGCTGCTGGTCTGCAATGCATGGTTGTTTGCTGTCTTTGCGTCTCGAAGCAGCACGTGTCTAGCTTGAAACGGGTAACTCCGTCCTGTACGGGCATCGTTGCTGCTTTCCAGAGTACAACGCTGCTTACAGTTTCCGCTCTTCATATCTACTCGAGCCATGTTTCCTGTGTGCGGTGTCACGCGGCCCTAACGACTTCACGCTGCCGTCGGCCCGAAGATTCTCCGGCTGGGTGGGCTTTCCGAAGCTACAGGAGGAGTACAATGCATCATCCTGTCAGCAGGAAAGGTATAAAGTGCCGAGCATTCGTAGCGCTAGAGGCTCCTCAACGTCCATTCAACTACCCTTCTTCCATCAACGCATTCGCCTCTTTCAGCAACATGAAGATCTTCGGCTTCGCCTTCTTTGCCGTCCTCGCTGCCTTTGTGACGGTTGTGAACGCGGCTCCCCCCATGCCTGCGGTCGTCGCCAACAGCGATGCGGCCGTCCAAGCTCTGTGGACTAAGGCTAGCGAAGGCGTGTTTAATAACATGCTCCCGGGCCAGTTCGCGCACCTGCAAGACGATTGGACCCGCTTTCTCACGACCGAGGGTGAAGGAGTAATCATGGACTTCCGCGAGTAAGTCGGCACCTTTGACTAAATCAGCTTGAAGTCGTTCGAATAGCTGATCTTCCCTTTGGAACCCTTTTTTCTTTTGTTCAGCCGACTCTTCTCGGGCTCGCCGTGAGTACAGCCTCGCCGCCCAAGTTGATCTCGAATCTTTTGCTGACCTGTTTTCCTTCCTCGGCGGTGACCATTAGCGCTGCCTTTCGTTATCATGGAGGCCAAAAGTGCGTCTGATTTCCTACCTTTTTGCTGTAGCACGAACGTGCGTGGCTGACATGCGCTGGTTTGGGTCGCGATACAGGTTCCTGAAGATGGTCAACTTCGAAGATACTAGGCCTTACATGTTCAACACGGAAAACGATGTTCATAAGCCCGCTATGGCCACTGGCCTCGTCGAAAAATTCGCCGAGTACCTCGCGATCAAGAGACGCGGCTTGGTCGATACCGAGCTTCGCCTCGGCCGTGGTGGCAGCAGCCGCTCGTAATCGGGCTGCCAAGACAGGCAAGCTTTGCTCTGTATGCGCGAGCTTTGACGTCGATTATCGTTCCAGCATCTGCAAGAAGCCCACCCTCATTCTGTCTCCCCTAGAAGCTACCGTGTGATGTCATACTTTGGCTCAATCTTATCGTTGTTTCCCACACACAAACACAGCAGCCCCTCGTGCGTGCCAAGACCCTGGTTGTGAGCTCGGCGGATGTTGTTGGCCGCTGACTGCACGTTGGGCGAATTCGTGGGTGGGCAAAGTAGGTGAAGCGGCTTTCATTGCTCGCGGCTTCTCACGCCCCGCTCATCATCTGCGGCTCCTTTCAAGGCGGATGTTGCTGCATACTGTACCGGGCGGCAGTATCGTAGAGGTATCCGCGGGTGCCGTTCCTGCCCAAATGAGGCTTTCTCGCGGATTTCGCCGTGCTCGCACAGCAAGATTCCACGTCACAAAGCCTCGCTGTCATTCGCCTCTGGCTTGCGGTCTTTCAGACACATATAAGCAGCCACTCATCTCTCCGATTTGCCCTAGCCACGCCACGACACGACAAAAGACGCTGCCCTCAAACACCGTAAAAATCCTCATGAAGTTCACTTTCTTTGTCCTGCTGGTCGCTGCCGTCGGGCTGGTGCTTGGGGCTCCGATGCCACCCTCGGCCCCTCTGGGCCTCGAACCGGGCGTCAAGTACTTATGGGACTCTGCTCTCGTTGGCAACTTCCATGCCTCGCTGCTTGCATTCGATCGAGACCTGAACAATGCCTGGCGCGCTTTCCTCGAAACCAAAGGCAGACAGATAATTGACCAACACTTGTAAGTCGACTGTCGTGCGAAGCCACCTGAAAGGAGATGCTGACGTAAAGCCTTTCGCCACATCAATTAGCGCCAACTACGGCGAGTAAGTCGTGATTTCCACACCCACTTGAGTCTCTACCGACGCTGACGACAGGCGCTTTGCTTTGCTGGATTTAGACGTAGGGCCATTCGAAGTGGAAAGTCGACGTAAGTGCTCATCGCCCTTTCAGCCCCTTCGCCAGCCTTTCAATCGTATTGACGTGCCAATCTTTGCCTTGTATTAACGTGCTTCTCGCAGAATCATGGGAGTGGTTCAATTCGAGAACCCTTCGGTCATCAATGTGCGCTACCACCCGGAACTGCAGCCGCTGTCGCTCAAGATCGTGCGCGCGTTTGTCGAGGAACGCATTGATCGAGAGTATCGCCTCCACAGAGTCTCGCTGCGACTCTTGGAGGAAGCCAAGGAGCATCTGCGCGCAGCAGAGCAAGAGAGGCGCGAGTCCGAGGAGTGGAAGGGCTGGCTCAACGACTCGGACGGCCAAGCTGGTCCGAGCTCGGCAGGTAGCCGCGCTAGTTCACGCGACTAGCGCTCGAAACCGTTCGCCGATCCTCGGCCACTCAGTAGCCACGCACTTCCCATGTCGACGCTATAGCTCTTCTACAGAGTTTGTGACGCTCTTCCCAAATTTATCCCTGTTCGCCTCGCCAATTTTCGTCCTTCAATGTCAAGCATTATGCTCTACCTGACATTCGTCCTTCGTTGAAGCATTGAATGAATTATGCAGTCACGTTGGGGCGAGAAAAGAGTGCAGAGTGAAGGCCGACCGAAGATCGCTCCGACGCAATCTCGGACATGTCGGCGTCCGAGGAGAAATGAGTTTCTCTCACGGTGCAAGTGTATACAGCCGCATCTGGCGCATCGCTTTGCATCGAGGACCGTCAACATGCCCTCCCACGCAATGGTCATTGGCGCTGATCGGTTGTTCATACGGTACATTGGCTCTGTGCGATGAAAGCGGCGACCACTGCGCGGTTTGATGTCATGGCGTGGGCCAACTGGCGGCGAGCGTCGAGCGACTCGGCAACCACTTCATTGTGGGAGCGCGGCTACTGTCATGGTGATGTCTGCTGGCGTCAACAAGCGCGGCTAATGTCGATGCCTGCTGGCGTCGAGTAAGGTTAACACCGTATGGCACATGAGCTCATGCAAAATTGGGCAAGCAAGAGCAACTACGCCCACAAAGGTACATACAGTATGCAGGCCAGGTCAAGAGGAGGTGCAGCGCGAGAGCATGAATCCGCTGATCTCCGAGACCGAGAGGAGATGAGGCGCCGTGTAGCGATCATCGAGCTAGACGAGGGCGCACCGAGCTAGCTGCGGGCATTCAGCATCGTGAGAGACTGAGGGCTGCCGCGCCGAAACGACGCCGACTGCCCTGGAGAAGACCGAGCTTCGACTCGTGCTACTGTCTCTTAGGAAGCTCGCCGAGCACCCCTGTGTAGTGAAGCGTCTGGTAGCAGGCATCTCGGGTATAAGAAGGGGCGGATCCTCTCGTCTTACCTCCCGTTTGTCCATATCACCAACTTTCCCTTCTTTCCTAAATATCTTGACGATGGTTCGAGCCACGCTGATCCTCTCCGCAGTCTTGACCGTGGGCATGCTGGCCTGGGGAGCGCTTTGTGCGCCGACTCCCCTTGTGCTTCCGCACGCGAGCATGGAGATGATGCCAGATGCCCAGAAGCTTTGGCGCAGCGTCACGCAGGGCAACATCCTGCCGGGCACTCTGCACAGTGTGAATCCCGAGGTGGGTGTCACGGCGCGCTGGCACGAGTTTCTCCGCAGGGACGGTCGTGCTACTTTGGCGTTCATTGTCGAGTAAGTGTTAGCCGTCCAACCCTGCTATGCTCTTGTCAAGACTGAAGATTGACGAATTCGACCCTTTTTGTCTCCGTGATCGAAGGGAGCTGAAAGACATCCAGTAAGTGCAGAGAACGAGATTCGATGACCTGCATGGAAGCGGAACGAATGCTGACTTCTGAGATGATGCTCATACAGCGGGGTTGCTCAGCGCCAGCGTCAGGACTTCCTCGGGCAGACGTAAGCAACACACCTGGAGGGAAGAACGCGAGTGCTTTGACTGACCATCTCGGACGTGATGTGGTATACAGATTCCGAAGCTTCATAGAGGGCCGCTACGGTAAACCGACGATGGCCGTGTCCGAGAGGAGGGAGCAGTTTGTTGCGCGCCGACTGGTTAATGCGTTTGTCGAGCAGCACTATCCTGCGAACCAGCTGCGATGGGGAAGAACAGGACCGAGTTTCATTTCGCTCAGAAGACTGGCGGATGTTGCGGTAAGCCAGGAGGCTGAAAGGTATCTCGGACACGTCAGAGGACCCAGCGGCGCTGGGCAGCATCCCGACTCTGGAGAGGGTAGCGATCAATCGTGGTAAAGGCATCTAAGCCGTGCCTTTGGCTGGCCACTGAAATGCACGAGATACGCCAGACTCCTTGTGACACACTGTTGTACCAAGTGCTTCTGCAACAACAAGTCAATCTAATATTGTCGATCCGATGCGAGCATTTGATGGTGCGACGAGAGTGCGTGCGGGTATCCAGAGGTGGGCGAGAATGCGAGACGGCCGCAGCAATCACCAATTGCGAGTGACTGTAAGATCAACGAGGAGATTGATGAGAATGTAGATGATAATGGCGTGGAGGAGGGCGAGGAAGAAGCGTGGTTTGGCCCTGGGTCCGAGAGGTGCGTTCATCGATGCTGGCGGCGGAAGAAGAGCGTCTGTCTGGGAGTGGAAATGCGGCGCGGGGACGATGACGATGCGTGCAGTGCCGTGTGGTGTATAGGGCGAGCAGCCGTATGTAGGATGGACGGGCGGAGCGGGCGAGTGAGAGGGACCCGCAGCAATGCCACCGCCAGCGCCCTCGCGGAGTGCCGTCTCGTAGGAGGGGACGGGCTCATCGGGTTCGGGCTGCTGCGTGGCGTCCGCCTTGTGATTCGAAGGATTCGCAGATGGTTTGGGCGGCATTGTGACGGTGAAGCAGGGATGGTCGTTGAAGTTAAGAAACCAAGGCTGATGATGCCGAGGATGAATGTGATGTTCGGGGAGCGAGGCGAGGCTGAGTTGAATCACGGCGGCGAGCGGCAGTCACAAGCCGTAAAAGATGCAGGGTTCACACGGCGCGCAGTTGCCGCTTTTGGCTCAGCAACGCGGCACAGCCGCACAGCCATCTCAGGCTCGGCGGAAGGGCCGACTTTCCTGAAAATCGATTTAACAAAAGCCCAAAAAGCTCACGGCGGCCTTTACTTGCTCCATCGCCTGGATGAGCACCGCATCTGATGACAAGTGTGACTTTTGATTGCAGGAGACGGTGATGACCGTGGGATGGCTACGGCAATCTGCCGTGCAAAGATGCGGAAAGGAGGGGATTGGACAGTAACATGGAAGTAGGCATGTATGGGAAAAGCGAAGCTCGATTGGCCACCGATGCAGGCCAGCGAGCATTATAATCCCGAATTGGATCGATCGAGGCACCGCTTCATAGCAGCATGGCCGTTGCCTATCCAAGCACGCAAACGCTCGGATGGACTGGAGCCAATGTGCTTTGGTATAGCGGTGCCAAAGTTTCTTTTTAGTAGGTTGAGGAGAAGAAGCAAGAAGTGGCAGCCTCGGCGGCTCGACTTGACTTGCTTCGGCGCCTCCGAAGAAAAAAATTGGGACTGGCTCCAGACCGAAGACTGCACGTGACACCAACTCGACCTCCACCACCAAGCTCACTTTTCGAGACCACGGTTGAAAGCACGCTCGAGCCCCTCTTGCTCGACAGGAAGGTTGCGCTTTGCGCTGGGCTGAGCCGCATCCTCCCTTTGTTCAGCTGCAGCCAAGTTCATTTGCGTGGGCAAGGTTCTTCCCAATCATCTGTCGGCACGTCGCCGACACTCCCTTTCTCGACCCAGCCAACATGCCGCCTCGGAGCGGTGTGTCAAATACCTAATCAACCTCTTTTCCCACGAAGCGTTCCGAGTCCTCGTGGTCGATAGGTGACTTGCCGCTTGGCCCTTTCCTCCTTGCCAGATTCATCACAACCACGCCTTACGCCATGCCGACGTATGCCGACCTGTACAATGAACGGCTCCGCGCGCTTGGCCAATCTGGCCCTTCCAATCCTGTTCGCCTCACCATCTCCAAGGGCGACTATGTCTGGGATGCACAACAGGACCGTTTCCGCTACGAGGAGAGGTGGGAAGAGGAACAGCTCATGGAGGCCGAAGAGCTGCACGACGATAATGATCATCTGACCGCCTCTCTTCACTCCGGAACAGCCGACAGCCGCGGTTCCTCGCCTGGTCCCATCGCGGCGCTCCAGCCGACGGCCGTCTTGACCCCTTCTGCAGCCGTGGCGCACTCACCGTCCTTGTGGGTGCTCGATACCAACACGCTCATGTCGTGCCTGGAATTGCTCAAGGCGCTCTTTGCTGCTCTGCTCACCCGCAACGTCGCCAGTGCCGCAGCCGCGGGCTCTCAACAGACCCACCTGGCACCATCTCCGATCAAGCTGGTCATTCCTTTTGTCGTCCTCTCCGAGCTGGACGGCCTCAAGCTCACTCGGCGCAAGGACGACTCGGGACGCCAAGTGGCATCCCAGGCACGCGATGCCAACCACTGGCTTTTAGCGGCCGTACAAAAGCAGAAACGGGTCCCCATCGATGCCTCGGGCTCCAACCTCCCGGAACAGCTCTGGCCTCTCTTCCTTCAAACCTCGTCCCACTACAATCGCTCCAAGCAATCGCGCTCACAGGGCTCGCGCTGGACTTTTGACGACCCGCTCTCCTGCGACGATCAGATCGTCAAGTACTGCGCTGAGCTCAAGCAGCAGACGCATTCCAGCGTCTTTTTCTGCTCGGACGACATCAACGCGCGCACCAAGGCAGAGTCTGAATCGATCGACTCGCTCGGCATGCGCGAGCTCGCCAATGCGCTCAGAACTGGCTTTGCTGGTGTGCAGAGCTCCGAACGCAAGTGGGAGCTGGTGGCAGAGGCGCTCATCGAGCAGTGGGAGTATCAGATCGGCTCGGCGCCCGCTCAGCCTCTGCCTCAGCACAGCCAGCCGTCGTTCGCGCACGAAGAACAGTTCAATCTATCTAGCGCACCCTCGGTTCAGCCAGGTGATATTGCGCATTTTGCAGATGTAGAGGCATTCGAGGTGGACATGGATACCGAAGAGCCATCGCTTCATTCCACAGAAGCGCATATATACCCGGGTGGAGCGGCCATGTCCACTCCGCCTACCTCTCGTGCACCCCCGCGCTTCTCGAGCTTGGCGCATTCCCCGGGTCGCAGCACCAGCGACAGCATCCACAGTCCGCACAACAAGACACGTCCAGAGAGATCCAAGGCGGCGCCTACCCGTCAGCAGGATTCGCCCAAACGCGAGCCGGTTCAAGCTGACAATTCGGAAGCGCTCAACCCGCAAATCAGTTGGGAGGATCTCGTGCAGCAGCTCGGCTCAGGCACGCGCGAAGCTGTCAAGCCCCGCAACACTAGACGATGACACTTCTAGAGACTCGTCCTGTCTACCCAGTACAGTAGTCGCACACAACATTGCATTGCTCTTGATTCGAAGGGTCGATCTGATGGTTCGTGAGAGGGGCAAGGTTGAGAGTGCGGCGGGGCCTGAATTCTAAACTCGGAAGTCGGAATTTACGAGATGGGGCGGCGTCTCGAGCTCGGACACGGACCCCATCCTCTGAAGCAGCTCCCGTCCCACCTTCTTGGATGAAATGCCCTGACCAGATTCTCTCTAGCCCTCAAGCTGGCACCTACGCACCGCATACATCATCATATTCGACCACGAACAGCGACCGATTCGACCGACCAATTGCACATCGTTGTGGCTGCGTTCTCCCGCCTGACGCCTCGGCCGTGCAAGCCATCCCCTGCATAGACTCAGTCGACCTGGAGGCCGTTGCAAGATGGCTCGGCAACCACCAAAGCGGCGTCGTGTGGCGCCGACGCAAGAACTCGACGTCGAAGGCGACGAGGACTGGCAGAGTGACGAGATCTCCTCGCTTCCCGCCAGCGACGATGACGACCTTTCTTCTGCATCCGGGTCTGGTTCCGACTCGGATTCGGGCTCAGCGTCCGGATCGGACGACGAGCGCAACGAGGACGACGACGACGAAGACGACGTGATCGACATGCTCAAAGACCCCACTCCTCGCACCGCCAAGGGCAAAGCCAAAGCCACCTCCATCGACACCGTCAAGGCCGACGTGGAAGTGGTCATCCCGATCGTCAACGGTGACGCGTCCGACGAGCCGCTAAAGCGCAAACGCGGGCGGCCACGCAAGGAGCCAAAGGAACCCGAGATCAAGGTACCCAAGAAGCGTGGACGTCCACGTAAGTACGCGCCCGGCGAGAAGCGCCCTCGTCGGTCGCGCCGGAAGCTCAACCCGGACGGCAGCTTCAAGAAGCGTGGCCGACCGAAGAAGGTGGTGGACCCAGATGCGGTGATGATGAAAGTGCCCAAGCGACGCGGTCGCCCACCCAAGCAGCTGGCGGAGGGCGAGGAGGCCAAGCCGCGGCGCAAGGGCGCTGCCAGTGGCACGAGCACGCGGAAGGTCAAGCGCGAATTCGACCTGCTCGCCGGCCTCGACCTCGATCTGGAGGACGACAGCGCCGGCATCATCCCTGGCGAGGGCCACAATGAGGACGACGCATGGGAAGATGAGACGGAATCGCCGCGAACGCAAGACGATCTCCTGGCCAAGTTGAGAAGACGCATCTTATACCGCCAGAAAGACGCGGAGCTGCAGGACTTTATCGACAGTCTTGGGCCCGACGGCGAGCCGATTCCTGCTTCGACGCGCACGAAAGAAGCCGCTCCTACCACAGCAGAGGAGGCGCAAGACAGCGTGCTGCTCAATGAGGGCGAGCGGCCAGGGTTGCCTCTGCAAAAGACGGTTGTGGCGCCCAGTGTGCCGTCTTCCGAGAAGCGCAAGGAGCGGCAGCCGTTTGAGCCTGGTGCACCAAACGATACGCCGACGGATGGCGCCATGTCGGCGCTCGCGGATGCTGCTGCCTCCGCGGCCGCCGAAACGGAAGAGCAACAGTCGCGCCAGCCGAAGCCGAAAGGCCGTCCACCGGGATCGAAGAATCGGCGGCCGGACTTTGAGAACAATCCACTCATCAATGCCGCACGATCCTCCACCACGCGAACCTCCACGGCGGCGCTCGATCACGGAAGCTCGCTTTCACTGTACCCCTCGGCCAGCACATCGGGTGCGGTGGCGGGAGGAACGACGTCGAGTCTGGTGAAGCCTACGTCGTCGGATGCGTATTTCCTATTCAATACGTCGAAGCGCGCACGCGGACTGGCAGGCATGGGTATCGGCACATCTGGCACGCTCATCTCGTCCAAGCTGCGAGCGCTGGATGCGCGGCGTCTGGAGAGCGTAGTCGAGGCGCAGACGCGCGAGGGCAGCTTGGCCGACGTTGCCTCGCGCATGTACCGCCATCTCCTGCCCGTGTACTTTGCACAGCTACTCGCCGGGTACGCGATCATCTTTCACGGCGTCGGCAGCAAGACAAAGCTGCTGACGGAGCTGGTGAAGCGACGCATCGAGGCCGAGGGCGATGCGATGGGCGTCGTAGCCCAGGGCGCCATCAAGGGGTTCAAGGTGGAAGACCTGCTTGCCGAGATCGAATCCGCCCTTTCGCTCGGTCCGCTCACGCTGGCAAGCCAGGCCGCCGAGGGAGATGAAGGCGTCGTGGTGGTATCGACACTCACCGCAGCAAGGGCCGAGAGAATCGTACGGCGGTTCCATGGGGCCGCGACGGGTGGCCCAAGCAGGCTGTTCCTGATCCTCGAGACGTTTGATGCGCCAGGCATGCAGTCGATCCGCTTCAAGAGCGTGCTCGAGATCCTGGCGCGATCGTCGTACATCCACATCATGGCCACCACGGAGCACATCAACTCTGGCTTTGTCGCCTCGAGTGCACAGCAGGCGGCCGCGGGGGATCGCACCGACGAAGATCGCAGTTCCAGGCTGCGGTGGATCTGGCAGAACATGTCGACGTTCGTGCCGAGTCTGGACGAGATGCTCATGATGCGTTCCAACCCGGCATTCGCGACGTGGATGCCTGTGCTGCCTCCTGCGCTCGACTTGATCGGATCCTCGGCGGCGTTTGCGGCTGCTACATCAGCGACAGGTACGGGCGCACAGGAGGGAACGGGCACTGCGTACTTCAACGGCCTCCAAGTCAGCGAGGCGTTCCGAACCGTCTCGGAGACTTCGGCCATCTCGATCCTCAAGTCGGTCACTACCAAGGCTCGCGCGCTGTTCAACTTGCTCGCCAAGCAGTGCCTCTCGAGTGCCGCCGAGGGAGGCGAGGTGCAGGGCGTGGGTGGGGTGGCGTATGCCGAGCTGCTCAACAAGGCCAAGCGCTCGTTCCTGGCCTCCAACGAGGCCGATTTCAAATCGCTGCTCATCGAGTTCAAGGATCACCATCTGTGCCACATCAACAAGCAGGGCACCATCTCGATCGGCCTTGCGGACGCGGGCGTGCTCCAGCAGGTGCTGGACAAACTCAAGTCGATCTAGCCTTTTCCCCTCCGGATACCCTTTGGCGCGCCTTGCAATGGTAGACAGCCTTGCAACTTGTTGAGATGGAGTGTGGTCGTGTGTGGTGCGTGCTGGGGGTATACAGTCTGGTGTGTCGGTCTGGTTCGATGCGGTTACTGGTCCTTCTTTGCGTCCGGTTTGGGCTGCGCTTTGGGCTCGGAATCGTCCTCGAGAAAGGCGGCTACGATGTAGGCTGCGAGTACGATGTTGACGACCACGGCAGCCAGACCTCCCGCATACGTTGCGTTTCCTATTTCCAAAGCATTAAACAATGTGTCAGCCATCGTACTTGTCTATGGGGGTGCTTGTGAGGCAGCTCACCATCGAGGTACCTGTCCTTGGCAAAGTAGTAGGCCGAGATGGGCGCGGCGAACAGCGCGACAGAGAAGAACGCGAGCTTGTAGTACACGCCGCGTGCCGGATCGCGACCGCGCGGCGCCACGCGTGACGGCGTAGGCTCCAGACTCGACATAGTTGGCTATGCCCCCGCAGAGAGTGATGGTGGAAGTGGTCCAAGCACACAACCCCGAAGAAACGAACAGCTTATGGCCAAGAAATTCGGAATTCGGACAACGGCCAGCCACTTTTTGGATTCTCGCTCCTCCCACGTCCATTCTTCTTGCTCGCCACCATCCTTCTTGTCGTCGCAAGTGTTGTCATGCCGGATAAGGTGCTGCTGGTGGGACCCGTGCATGGGCGGCTGTTGGAGCTCGTGTCCAAAACGTCGGCTATTCAGGCCAAGCACGGTCCGTTTGCCGCGCTCTTCATCGTCGGCGACCTCTTCGCCTCCACCCCCACCGACGACATCCTCAAGCAGCAGTCCGACCTGCTCGCAGGCACTCTTTCGCTGCCGATCCCAACGTACTTCTACCAGGCCCTAGGTAGCCTTCCTGCCGATGTCGTGAAGCGGATCAGCGAAGTCCGCGCGAGCAGCTCCAACGGGCTCGTTGCACTGACGGAGCAGCTGCACTGGGCAGCCGGCAAGAGCGGCGTGTTCACCACCGCGCAAGGGCTGCGCGTTGCGTTCGTAGCGGGCAACTGGGACGCAGGTGCCTTTGCCTCCGATGGCGGGCTGGGCGACTTTGATGCGGGAGACTGGCACGAGTCCCCAACACAGAGAGAGGAGGACGAGAAGACGACCTACATCACCCCGAGCACGGTACGCAGGTTGCTGGCACATCCGTCATTCCGTCTTCCGAAGCCGAGTGTAGAGGAAGAGGGGTCTACGTCGGTAGCGAAGGAAGGCACGCTTGCATCGGCACGTGCGAGTGCGTCGGCGGAGCAAGCACGGGCCGCACGCCAGGGTGCCGCGCTCGAGATGCTGCAGCAGCGGCCAGCGCTCGATCTGCTGCTCACCAACACCTGGCCTGCGGGCGTCACGCTCTTTGCCACGGGCGCAGATGCTGATGCGGGGCTGCCGGATCCGACTGCACGCACATGGGGCTCGCCCGTCATCGCGCGGCTGGCAGCACACGCGTGTGCGCGATACCACTTTGCGCTCGCGCCATCACCCGACAGCCCCGACCTGCCCGTCGGAATCCAGGAGGCCACGCTCAACATGGGTGCATTTTGGGAGCGTGCGCCGTACACGACGGATCTGGCGAGCTACTTGCCTGCGCCCGTGCGCGCGCCACTGCGCAGCGTAACGCGCTTTGTGAGTCTGGCGACGTTTGGCAACAGCGGCAAGCGGCGCTGGTTTGTGGCGCTCAACCTGACGCCTGCCGACGAGCAGGGCGCTGTGGTGGTGCCGCCCAACGCAACGCCGAGCCCGTATGCGATGCCCAAGGCAGCAAAGCAGGCCAAACGCACACAGCCCGCCGAGGAGGAGCAGAATTTCAGGTTTGGCGAAGCGGGGCGAAAGCGTGCGAGGGCAGATGGAGATGCACCGCCCCCCGGCTATGTGTGTCGCATCTGCGGTGTTGAGGGGCACTTCATCCGCGCGTGTCCGTCCAAGACCAACGCCCAACCAGCAGCATCCACGGAGGAGGGGGCGGGAAAGATCGAGCTGCCCATGGGGCTGCCATCGAAGCCGTCGTTCGCGCAGGGCGGGCGACAAATGATCCCCGTCGGACCGGCCAACTGCTGGTTCTGCCTCTCCAACCCCTCTGTCGAAAAGCAGCTCATCGTGACGATCGGCTCGGCCTCATACCTCGTTCGACCCAAAGGGCCTTTCATCCACCCATCGGCCAACGAGATCCCGCACACGGGCGCGCACTTTATCATCGTCCCTCTCGCTCACGTTGCTGATCTTCTTCCCGGCTCCCACCCCGTGCACGGTGGGCAGGGTGATGATGGCGAAAAAGCGTCGATTCGGAGCGAGGTCGAGTCGACCAAGGCTGCGGTTCGCGCCGTGTGGGCTAGGGAGGGACATGTGATGCTCGAATGGACACTGGTGCGCGTACGCACCAGCCCGCGCATGACGCACTTCCAAACCCAACTTCTCGCGCTCAAATGCTCCATCGACGTCGCACAGAAGCTCGACGACGCTCTCGAGGCCCAAGCCAACACCGCCAAGACTGCGGTACTGCGATCCGACGCCGCAAGGGAGTACTTTGACCAGACGCATACGGAGGATAGAGGTGACGATGGGTATTTGCATATCAAGCTGCATGCGCAAGAGGAGAGAGAGTGGCTCGTTCCGCTCTACACGTCTACGCGCTTTCCGGTGCAGTTCGTGCGGGCTACGCTTGCGGCTGCGCTGGAGCTGCCACAGCTCGCTGACTGGAAGGCGTGCACAGGTGATGCTGATGCCGAGCAGGAGCGACACGATTCCGCCGCTCTTCGTGCCATGCTCTCCTGAAATGCAGATTGCTTGACCTGGGGCAGTGTGGAAAGTGTGTGTGAGACTAGTGACGGTGGCGTTTGTGCTTGCGCTCGCGCGTGCGGTCGCGGTGCTCGCGCTTGCGGTGTCTGCTGTGCTTGCCGTGTTTGCGATCCTTGCGCCGCGGTTTCTGCTCGTCTTCGGAAGCGGGCACCGACTCGGGGACGTCTGGATCGTCGAACAGGATCTGGCGCAGCCGCGTATCGTCCTCGGGCTCGGGCTGGGGCGTCGGACGAGGTGCAACGGCGGGGAACAGCAAGAGAAAGGTTCGTGCCATCTCGACCGCAAAGGGCTCCGCCACGGTCCACGTCGATGCCACCTCGGGCCAGGTGGTTGCCCACGCGCGCGGGCCAGTGCGTGGTTCGCCTTCACCTTCCTCCCCACCGCGATCTTCATCCAGCTCGTCCTCTTCATCCTTGTCGTAGGGGTCGCGTGGTTGGGACGGCGTGCGTGTGCGCGAGCGACCACGCTCGGGCTCGTCGTCGCTGTCACCGCCGGATGAAGCCATATCCGACCGCGCCGAATCGTCCTCACCCGCCGTCTCGCTCCCGCTCTGTCCCGGCTCTTCCTCGTCCTCGTGTCCCTCTGCACGCGCAAGTCGTCGGCGCACCTTGGCGATATCGGGGTGCTCTTTCTCCGGCCATGCATCGTCGGTATCCGCTTGCAGTGGGTCGGTCCCCCACAGCCGCATCCGTGTTTGCGCCAGCCGCGCCGCATCGTGCCGCTCGTGCTTCCTATGCATGAAATAGATCCTCTGCCTGCGGTGCGTTTCCGTCCTCACGCACGCATCGCCCACCTGTACAGCTTGTTCAAAGCATCGCCGTGCTTTTTCCCTCGTGGTCCTATCTAGCGCCCTCAACCCCACGCCTTCTTCCGTCATCTGCCCCCTGCTTTCCAGCGTCTTGAGTCCGAGAAACACGTAGAGCAGCCCCAGCGTGGTGTGCAGCTCAGGCTGGCTCTTGTAGGGGTGCATGTTGACGCGCTGCTCCAACAGCTCCACTGCCTCGAGCAGTTTGCCTGCTGCTACGTACTCGCCCACGAGCGCATACGTCGTATTGGTCGCCTTGAACACCGAGCTCTCCTCCAAATCCAGCTGCTGCAGGTATCGAATCCTCGCACTCGATCCACTTGGCTCTCCGTCCGGTGATGGCTGCAGGGAGAGAATGACGAGAGCCAGACGCCAGGTTTCGTCGGTCGTCCATTCGTGCGCGGCCAGTATGACACGCAGAAACCGCGCGGCCAGCACGAGCTGACGCCGCTGCAGACAGATGTGCACCAGATCGTAGCAGCGACGCAGATGGCATCGGCGGTGGGACGAGAGGTGCGTGCGCGCAAAGTTGGCCCCGACCGGTAGACCACGTGCGGTGAGAAGGCCGAGCGAGGGCGCCGAGTGCGAGGTGTTGGGATACAGCGAGCGGTGCGAGGCGAGATGCGGGCGCGAGTTGTTCTTCACCTGACGGATCTGGTGGTTCTGCCGGAAGCGCGTGCCCAGAAAGGCTGGCGTCTGGAACGCGAATCCCTTTTCCATCTCGGCTGGTGTAGAGATGTGACGGCTGCCGGGTGGACGAGAGGATGGGCACGGTGGTGGTGGAGAAGACAGCCTGGCGTGGAATTTTGAGTGGACCCTGAAATCTCGCCTCTGCTTCCTCCACTCGTCCATCTGAGAAGCCGATTCCCGCTCCCCCTTCTCTCACGGACCCTGCAGATCCTCATAGAAACCACCAGCATTCGTGGCCTCGATGCCCATCCAATCGCGCACTCAAAGAGAACCAATACTGTTACATTACAGACTTCCAGAACCAAAACCGAACCGAATGCCAGCAACTAGGCCTCACTGGCAACCGAGATCCTGCGACTCGCGCGCGTCGCCCTCTTGGCCGCGCCCGTAGCTGCCGCGCTGCTCGTCTTGCCTCGGCCCTTGCCTCTGGTGAGCTTGGCGACCTTGGCTTGAGCAGCGCCCTCCAGCGCCTCGTCCTGCTCGCCCTTGGCCGCGGCCTGGGCGAGGATCTCCTCGAACTCGCGCAGATCACCCGCGCCCTCGCCGGCGGCGCCGCCTGCCGCAGCACCGCCAGCGCCGCGTCCGGCACCTGCACCACCGGCGGTCTTGTTGGCACGCGCCTTGGCCAGGATCTCCTGGAAGCGCTTGTACACCTCGGGCTGGAACAGCTTGTCCTGGTAGAACGGCAGTCCGTCGATGAGCTTCTTGATGGAGCGCTCGCTCTTGTACGGCAGCAGCGACAGGCAGAAGGCAATGTCGCGCCACTGCCTCTCTTCCGACGCCATGCGGAATCGCTGGCACAGCTTCTCCACCACATTCTCCGCCTGCTTCTCCTTGTCGATAAAGGTAAAGATGAACTTCATGGTGCGCGCGAACGTCTCCTCGTCCACGGCGTGCTTGCCGATGGACAGATGCGAGATGATGTCCGGCAGATTGTTGTACACCGCATTCTCCTTGGTGGCGAGCTCGCTGAAGAAGAGCTTGGCCAGGTCCGACACGCGCGGCTCGGGGTCCTCGAGACACTTGGCCATCTCGCCCAGCTGACCCTTGACTTTGATCATGCCGTTGAGGATGAGGTGGGTGAGCACCATGAGCGTGTGCTTCTTGACCGACAGGTCCGGATCGCCCAGACCCGCGTAGAGCCGGTCCGAGTTCTCGTCGACCAGCGAGCCAAAGCACACCGCAATGTCGCCCAGCGCAATCACGACGTTGCTGCGGATCACCGCATCCTTGGACTTGGTGAGAAGCAGCAGCAGCGCAAGGTTCGCTTCGCAGAACGTCGACGAGACGCACATGAACTTGCACAGCGTCAGCACGGCTGCACGTCGCACGAGCTCGTTCGGGTACGACTTGGGGCTGCTGCAGACGTGCGTGACGATTGGGCCAAACATGGCCAGCACACTGCGGTTGCCGTACAGCAGCTCCTTCTCGCGCACGCTCGCTATCACCTCGCCGATCTCGTCCTCGGCATTGCCCGCCACCTGGTCGAGCTCCTCGACCGCGGCAGCAGCGGCAGCGGCAGCAGCCTTGCTCGCCTTGCCCTCGGATACCGCCTTGGCCACCGCCTTCTCCTTGTCCGCCTCGGTCTTGCGGCGCTTGTATTCGCGCTCCACCAGTTCGAGGTAGACGATGTGCTTGAGTGCCACGTGGCCAACGACAAAGAGCAGCTGGGCCAGCTGGAATGCATCGCCCGTCACAGGCGCGTCGGCACCGGAGAGCGACTCCCTGGCATCGGCCATGGAAACGTCGCTACCAGCGTCGTCGCGGTCCTCGTCCATGGCACTCGACGGGCTGGCCGCACGAACTGCAGGCTTGCCGCCAAATACACGCGAGGTCATGCTGCAGATGATCTCGGTGCACATGGCGTCCGGCTGTTCGCCCAGCAGGTAGACGGTGTTGATGGCGTTTTCGGCGAGGCTGAACCACTCCGCCTTGCTCTCGCCCTTGAGCACGTCGCCGGACATCTGGATCGCCGCCCTGAGCCTTCCGAAGAGCGGGTGGCTCATGGGATAGCGCACGCTCTCGTCGCTCAGCGCACCCTTGACCTTCTTAACGCTGCCGCCGAGTCTTTGCAGCGCGACGCACGTGTACTTGGCCAGCACGACGTCGCGTGCGCCGAGCGGGCCGAGGCCGACGCGCAGCAGCACGTCGATCTGCTCCGAGATGATCTCGCGCCTGGCGGTGGCGAGCATGCCGAGCACAATGATTGCTCCTCGTCGCTGGGCGGCCGAGATGGCGCGGGGCGCGGAATAGACGGCCCAGAGCTTGTTGACCACCTCTGGATGCACGAGATTCTCGATCTGCATCGTCTTGAGCATCTCTTCGAGCGAGGTGAGTTCGGCGAGCGTGGCGCCAAAGGTGCGTTCGATCATGTTCTTGGCGATGCGCGCGACATTGTCCTTGGCGTTCATATCGGCCCGCGCATCAAAGTAGAGCGCACGGTAGACCTCGATGAGACGCGAGCGGACGCCCTTGAGCTGGCTGCCGTCCTCCATGACGAGCGCGTTGTCCTTGGTCCAGATGAGGTGGACCATCTTGCGCACACCGGCGGCAGCACCGGAGAGCTTGTACTCGTAGGCGACGCGGAAGAACTCCATGCTCTCGAGCACCTCGGCCTTGTTGGTGGAGGCGAGCAGCAGGGTGAGGTTGGGCATGGCCGTCTCGATCTGCGTGATGAAGGCGATGGCGTCGGTGTAGTAGCGCTTGGTGAGACGCAGACGCATCACCTTTTCGGCGTCGACAGGCTCCATCTCGGCCTGGGCGGCAGCGAGGGCCTGCATGTCGACACCGGATCGACGGCCCTTCTTGGCCTTGGGCTTTGTGCTCTTGGACTTGGACTTGCTGGCCGACTTGCGACGCGGAGGCGCATCCTCGTCGTCTTCTTCTTCATCCTCGTCATCGTTGGTGACGGTCTCGTCGCCGTCCTCGTCCATGTCTTCATCGTCATCTTCTTCTTCGTCCTCATCTTCGTCTTCCGAGTCTGCGTCCTGGTCGACTGTGTCTTCGCCAGGCAGGTTGAGCGAGCCTTCGGTCTCCTCGAGCTCCTTGGAGACGAGGTCGAAACGCGCCTGCCACTCCTGCAAGCTGAGCTCGCCACCGTGGAGCATGCCAAAGGGATGGGTGAGGATGAGCTTGGTGAGAAGGGCGATTGCGTTTTTGCGCACACCGCTGCTCTTGTCTTCGAGGTGGCGGATGACCATGTTGGTGATCTCTGTGCGCTGCTTGGGGAACTTGGTGGGAAGGTCGAGGAGGCGCGCGCAGACGGTGATGAGCTTGGAGCGGACGTAGGAGTTGAGGTCGAGGAAGCGCTCGATGAGCAGATCGAAGAAGGTCTCGATCTGCTTCTTGCGCGCCTCTGCGGTGCCGCGGTTCTCGTCGGCGCCCTCGTCGGTGCCTGCGCCGTTGGCGGCGCCGTCGGCGTTGAGCGAGTCGTCTGTGAGAGCGAGCTCCTTGATGAGCAGGCCGAGGGTCTCGATGAGGGCGTTGCGCATGGGATACGACTCGGAGTCGAGGTGCTTCTGCAGGAGGCTGATCTGCTTGAGCACGCTGCGTGGGCTGAGCTCGGCCATGCGTACGAGGAAGCGGCCAAAGGAGCGCGGACTCTTTGTGTCCATGGCGCCGAAGCTCTTTGCGGCGACCTCGCGGAGGACCTCCTCGCCGAGGCGCTCGTAGTCGAATTCGAGACGCATGACGGCGAGCAGCTCAGCCATGGGCTCTGCGAGGTGTTCGTAGTACTGGAGGCTCTGCATGATGCTGGTCTGGGCGCTGAAAGCCTGACCATGCGCCTTTACGGCTTGACAGATGACCTTGAAGATGCCGAGCTTGATGGGCTGTACTTTGAGGTACGACTCGTTTTCCTGGAGCAAGAGTGCGGGACGGAGCAGACAGCCGGAGACGAAAGCGTCGCGGGCGGCCGAGACGGTCCACATACGTTCGCTGCGCACGCGAGCGGCTTTGGACATGAGTGCGAGCACGGCGGGGATGGAGTTGGACCATGCCCATGCGTCTGCCTTGCCGGAGCCGGACTTGGCGGCGGCGGCTGCGGCGGCCGACTTGGATCCTGTGCCTCGGCGACCGCCTCTAGCGGCGGTGATGGCAGCGGCGGAAGATGCGTTGTCGCTTCTGGCGCCGCTGTGCTTTTCGGCCACCGATACGAGCCACTGGAGAAGGAAGGCGAACCGTTCCAATGTCTCTGCGTGGGAGGCATAGGCGTTGGGATCCTCGCCATCGAGTTCGCGCTGCGCCTCGTCGAGGGCATTGGACATGCCGGAAGCAATGACGTCGAGGAGCTTGTTGCAGGCATTGGGACAGAGATTCGGGAAGTGCTTGAGGTAGGAGCGGATGAGGTCGTAGATCTCTGGATTGGACACGTTGTCTGGGCTGGAAGTGATTGCGTCGATGGCGGTGTCGAGTGTGGAGATCTGTTCGGAGGGATTCATGTCGTCGACGGCGACCTCTTGTGGGATGATGTAGGGTTCATCCTGGAGGAGGAGGATCTCGTCGGCGAGAGTATAGCTCGAGCCTGACGCGTCGCCGGCGCCGTCTAACGTCGTCATGGCTGAAGATATGGGTGGGGTTGCGGACCTAGTAGGGCGCAGGGCGCGCTTGTGGTCGGGTCGGCACCGAGTATTAAAGCAGCTGGTGGCGTCGACCGCAACGCGCTACAACGGGATCGAGTTGGGCAACCAGGAAGATGGCAATGGTGACGATACGGCGCGCAGAGGCAAAGATGGTAGCGATGGAGGAAGATGCGGTCCAGTGATGGTTGCGGTTGTTTGCGTGTTGCTCTCCAGCAGCTCCGGCAGAGAAGAGGCGAAAAAAGGCAAATGCGCTCCACCTCTTCAACGCCGCGTCCGTTGCCGCGCGCAGAGAGCCCTCGCCGGCTGAGCCTTTTTTTCGAGCGAGAGAGACAGAGGTGTTGGTCTCGACACGCCCAACTGGTCCGCCGCGTCAGAGCGTGTTTTTGGACGTGGCTTGAAATTGTTAGGCTGTGCTTCTGCCGCGCCCACCACACGTGACTTTCACCAGCGCTCAGCCTAAATCGGGTATCGAAAATGATCGGGTTCAAAATTGCCAACGCATCATCAAAGGAAGAAAGCCAAAGCCAGGCTCGTGCCCGAAATTAGACGGGTGGGGCTGCACGCCAAATTGAGTTGGAAGGAGCGTGCCGTGCAGCCAGCCAGCCAGCTTGGCCACTTCTGACCTGGCCAGGCGACGACGGGAGCGGGCGGGCCTCTTTGCCGCTTGCCGCTCAATTTGCTGCTGGTCTGAGACGCCAGAAGGAAGGCGCGAGAAGAAGAACACTCCGACGCAGGCTTGCTGCAGCGCGCGTCGTCTCCACCTGGCGGTTTGGCACGGCGTAACTTAGCTCCCACCTTGGCTCGCATCCTGTCACTGGCATCGCATCGTCTCTTCTCTCCACCACCTTCTTCCTCGCGCAACTTGATCTATCTCGCTAACTCGGTAGACAGCGCTGCTTGCTGCTCGTCCTGGCGCACCTCTTCGCATCGTTCCCAGCGGCTCTCGACAATCGTTGATTGGACTCCGTCACACTTTTGTGACGCTGTGCCGCTGCTCCGCGCTCAATCGGCAGGTCCGACTTCATTTGGCCGGCTGACCCACACTTAGGTTCATCCTTTCCCACACTTGGCCTCTCGGAGCCAACCGATCTGAGTCACAATGGTAAGTGCCCAAGCCCTTCAGCAGGCGCACAGCAGCCGCGGCCGGCGCAGCAGCACCGCAATCTCGATGCGCGCTCGAGTCGGCTCAGCCTCAAGACCACCTCGCATCATTCGCTGGCTGCTGGCTAGTCAGTCTACAAGATGACCAAGGCCCGTCGTCGAAACCTCCGAGCTGCCTCGGCGCCACCGCTCGCCATTCGACGCGACTCGACCGCCTCTCGCAATGCTGCCAAGCCGGCGCACCATCGCGAGTCAATCGATCTTGGTCGCTCCCATCGCGAGCCCGAGTTTTGCTCTAATGGCGCGGCCCACTTGGAGCGAGATGCTGCTGCTGCTGCTGCCCAGGACCAGATTGATCTCGACTCGTTTATTGACCTGGCCCGCCATTCTGCCCCTCCCCAACCGCACACCCAATCTGCATCCTCTGCACGCCCTACGCTCCTCTCGGACAATCATAACGACGACGATGCGGCGGTGACGTACGTCTCGCAGGAGCAACAATCCAGCGCACCCGCACCCGCGCGCAACGTGGTCAACTTCCTGCGCAACAAGTCGGGCATCAAGACGCGCGTAGGTGCGCTCAACGGCAAGCGCGTCGACTACTTCAAGGGCTCGGCCGCCGTCAAGGCGCTGCTCTCGCCCGCCTACGCCAAGCTCAAGGACGTGCCCAAGGTGACATCCAAGGAGGAGGCAGAGGAGTGTCTGCACAACATCATCCCCTTTGCATTCTTCCTCCGTGTCGACCGCGGCGCCAGCACGGGCGGCAAGGACTCGCCCAAGGTCGTCGAGATCAACCAGCAGCAGCTCTTCAAGAGCGAGCTCCACTACGTCTGGCTCTTTGAAGGCTCGCAGCTCGGCCTCAAGCTCGCCGGTGTCGGAATGGTCGCAGTCATGCTTGCTGGTGTCATGTTCCCGCTCTGGCCCACCTCGATGCGCCTCGGCGTTTGGTACCTTTCGGTGGCAGCACTCGGGCTTATCGGCCTCTTCTTCGCCATCGCCATCGTCAGGCTCATCTTTTGGCTCATCACCATCGTCGTCGCCAAGCCGGGCATCTGGATCTTCCCCAACCTGTTTGAGGATGTCGGATTCGTCGACTCGTTCATCCCCTTCTGGGCGTGGGATGTGCCGCCGGCGCCCAAGAAGAAGAAGGCTGCGGGCGACAAGAAGAAGCTCGCCGGGTCGGGTGGATCGAGCGGTGCGAGGCAGCAGGCGCTCTCGGGACTCGGAGGTGCTGCACCCACCGCGCCACCACAGCAGCCAAAGCCTCCCCAGCAGGCGGCCCAGTCGGCACCAGCCACCTCCAACGGCAATGCCCAGGCTAACGGCGGCGTCCAGAACCAGTCCAGCGGCAGCGGCGGCCCTGGCGCATCCGACAGCCTCGACGATATCAACTAGGCCCCCCTCAGGCGCAGATACGCCTCAGGCCGATAGCGCAATGAGCCGTGTGGAGCGCGATACGCACGGTTCGGGCTCATATGCCACGCTGGTTCAAACCCGGCGGGTTGACTGTCAAAAGACGTTTTGGTCTTTCACTGTTTCCCCAAAATCCAACGCACATGCATGGTCTCTTCCTACGAAACGCCCTAGAGCGGACCGAGTCGGGGTGTCGGGCATGTCGGCCTTTTGCGAGCTGGCTTCCGGTGTGAGTTGTTGTGAGTCGATGGACATTGGCAGGAAGTGTCTTCCATTTCAGTGCCGCTTTTTTCTCCGAGCATTTTCACTCTTTTATTTTGACCCGTTTGATGTAATCTTGTTGTGGTCAGATGAGGTACACGAGAAAGCCGATGCCATGACATGCTTCCGCTGCGGGTATCGGTGTTGATCGGAGGCTTTGGGCACGGCATTGACCGGGGTTGAGACGATGCATCAACGTTCGATTGCGGGATGGCGTCAGGTGTGTGTAGGGCTTTCGGAAATCTCTTTAGCGCGGCGGTTAAGCGATGCGGGGGTGGCGCGGAAGCTAAGCTGCCGAGCTGTGTGGAAAAAGAATCCCGAGTTGACCGGCTCGGCTAGCCCCCCCCAACTGCTTGTGCGCACTACAGTAGCTTGTGGGGTTGAAGCTACACAAGGTCCGGCGGGTCTAGGCGAAGTCCGAACCCCGCTGCTACCCACAACGACGATGCAGGAAAGGACCGTGTGGGACGGTACAGCGTCGGCGCTACCCCACATTGGAAGCCTAAGGGGGACATGCTGAAAGCCGCACAGCCCAGCCTGAAGAGGAAGCAGATATATAGCACTCTTCTTCGGACCGCTTACCTGACCCCAGCGACGAACACTACATCATGCGTCTTCTCACTACGCTGATTACGGCCGCCCTTGGGGTGAGCACCGCGCTTGGTGCGGAAAACTACATCGTGTCCGGTGATCGATGGCACGACACATCGGGCAACTACATCAATGCACACGGTGCCGGCCTGATCCACGACTCGGACGGCAAGTGGTACTGGGTAGGCGAATTTAAGAACTCGGGCAACGGATTCCAGGGCTTCTCGCTCTACTCTTCCACCGACCTTGTGAATTGGGATTCTCACGGGCTCGTGGTTCCACCTTCTTCGTCGTTGCCTTTCCAAGTGGGTGAGCGACCTAAACTCATCAAGAACCCAACGACGGGCGAGTATGTACTCTGGTTCCATGCAGACAGCTCCAACTATTCCCTCGCCAAGGTAGGTGTTTGCTATGCAAGCGCCGTCACTGGTCCCTACACCTGTCCGGAGGAGGGGGTTTTTAGTCCCCTCGGTATGGAAAGTCGAGACATGAACGTCTACGTCGATCCGGTGAACAACCAGGGGTATTTGCTTTTCGCCACGAATGGAAATGCCGATACCGCGGTGGCCAAGATGACGGCGGACTATAAGAACGTCACCGCACTTACGCAGACCATCCACTCGAGACTCGAAGGCTTCGGCGTATTCAAAGACGACGCGGGACTCTACAATATGGTTGTATCGAACCAAAGCGGTTGGCAACCCAATGCCAACTCACTCTACACTACCACCGATCTGGGCAAGGTCAACCTGACCTATTCGAACTACATTGCGCCACAGGGAGTGGTTACGTACAACTCGCAGAATACGTTCGAAATCCAACCCAACGATAATCTCGATGTGTATCTGGGAGATAGATGGTGGGAGACGGACTTGGAGCAGAGTTCGTATGTCTGGTACCCCATTGTTTCGCGCAGCCTCGTGCATCTTCCCCTGTGGAAACCCGATTCTTCAGCCCAGGGTTATGCAGTCCCTGCAAATAAGACGTACCCCCTCAGCCCCGATACGACCACAAAGTCCGGATCCCAGGCAGCGTTTGGCGATTGCGCAGCTTGCCCCTCGGGAAAAATCGCCACCTACGTCGGAAACGGCAATACTTTTACCGTCAAGGATGTCGCTACGCCTAGTGGGAATGCCGGTGACGTGTGGGTAAGCGTCTACTACACCAACCAAAACTCGTATCCGGGTTGGAGATTCGGCTCGGTCACTGTGGATGGTAAGACGACCAATATCACCTACCCCACCGGAGGTAATCCAGCAAACACTCTTCAGGACACCCCCGTCAAGTTGTCCCTCAAGGCCGGAAACAATGCCGTCACTTTCGGCGCACCTGCAAACGATCCCACCCAGTACGCAGCCGATATCAGCCACATCATCGTATGGCAAAGCGACGCCTGATTCCACACCCTCACTGCTCGGATTTAGTGTCTCGTTCCCACTCCTGCAAGTTGGTTCTTCAGCAATGAATGATGATTCTGCCCAGCAAAGAATGTTGCCTCTGCCCTGACGCAGATCCAAGCGTGAGCTCACCCGATCCCCACCTGTAGCCACACGTTTTAGCTTTTTCAATGGGCATCACTCGGAATTGCATGCGTGCCTACCTCCATATGGCCGAAAAGTACGACGAGGAGCGGGAGTTGTCGTGCGCGGGCGGCGCGGCGTGTTTGCGCGCGAGCGCTTTGAGTGCCGCATCTGCGTGACTCGGCTGCACATTGGTCGTATCAGCCAGATACGTAGACTTACTGTCCTCATCCCCCGCAGTCCGACCGCGCAGCACCGACGGGACGAGCAGCGTGCTCAAAAGCCCACCGCCCGCTGTCCTTCCAGCGCCCGAATCGAGCTCCCCCGCTCGCGACATGCCGAGCTCACCTCGACGCGGCGACGCGAGGGGAGATCGATCGCTGTCCTCCACGCCGATGCTCGCCGGGCGTGTTACTCCTGCGCCGGTCGCTTGGCTGAGCAGCAGACCCACACCTCCCGCTGCACGCCCGAGACCGCCAGGCGGACCGTGCGCCGCACTCGGCATGAGCAGCGGCGCCGCAGGCTTCTTGGGCCGAGACAGCTCCGGCTGATACCTACTCGCCAGCACGTGGAAGTCGGTCTCGCGCTCGTAGTACTCCTCGTCGTAGTGCAGGCGCGCCGCTTTGAGCTGCTCGAGGATGCCCTCGTACAGCTCGATCTCGCCGTCAAGTAGGCTGCGTCCGAGCGCGTGGAAGTCCTGCACGCGTTCGTCGTGCACCCGATCCATCTCGCTCATGGTCACGTTGACCACCGTCTCGCACCGCGCCACCAGCTGCTCCGCGGTCTCCTTCGGCAATCGTGCACCGTTGCTTGGCCCGGCATCGTCCAGTTCGGCATCGTCACCCCAGGGGTGCGCCTCGCCAGTCGCCTCGCGGTGCTTGGCGAGCGTGGTGCGGTGCGTGTCGAGCAGCGCCTGCGCCATGGTGTGCGGGCGCGAAATCTCCTTGTACCGCTCGTGCTGGCGCAGCAGCGCATCTCGTGCATGATGCTCATAAATGTCTGCCACGCTCTGCAGACACTCGGCCGTGTTCTGCAGCGCACTTGTGAGGTTGAGGCAGTCCTGGCAGTCTTCTCGCCAGCACCAAGCGCCGTGCTCGTTGGTAGCCCCCGTCTCGCTTCGACGACCCACGTTGCCCATCGGTGGGCCGTGAATACGATGTGCGTCTTCATCCAACAGCGCTGCGCTCGTCGATCCTTCGTCCGCCGGACCAGCGCCTGCGCCTGTCAACGTGCGCAGCAGAGTGTATGAGAGATCACGGTACGTCGACGAGATGGCGACGTTGCCTTCGCGATGGCCCTTGTAGGCAGCAAGCACGCCTTGCTTGCCTGCGTTGTGCCCGCCGACTCCATTGATCGTCTTCTCCAGCACCTTGAGGAAAGCGTCCATACGCTCGGCTTCCACTTCCGCCTCGCCGGCGTCAAAGTTGAAGTCGGGATGCCACGTATTGGCAAACACGCCGCCCATGGAAGCGCCATCGGACGATCCTTCGCGGAGAAGGACTGCGGCCTTGGTTCGCCACTCGTTCTCGTTCTCGCAGCTGAGGAAGAATCGGATGGGCTCGGAATACCTCAGCACGGGATGCCGGACAAGGCGCGAGATCCACATCTCGAGGTCGGCGCGGCGTGTTTCGATAAAGTCGGAAGCGAAGCGGCCCGAGTACTGCTTCTCGGGCAGCGGCGGGATGAGCAGCGCAGAGTAGTGCCTGGCCAGGACAAGGTGCAGCCACTCGAACTGGGTGAAGCGGCGTACAACGGTGACTTGAGCTCCCGGCGGATACGGACCACCGAGCGGGTCGTAGGGTACGGTGCCAGTACCCTGTGCCGCAGAGTCGATCTGCTCGCCTGACACGCTGTCTGGAGCGTCGATCGGATACGTGCTGGTGACGTGGTACACCGTGTACTCTTGCATTCCATTGAGCCTGGTGCGCTTCTCGGGATGGTGAACTTGGACCAGAAAACACGGAAGCTGGCTCTTCCACTTTGGGCCAGCGGCGCCGGCGATGACAAAGTGTTGGCTCTGATCGCTTTCCACCGCGCCACCCTGAGCTTGGGGGGCAGGCGTGAACTCGTACGAGTTGGTCTCCAAGCCAGCAGGCAGGTCTGCCGCGCCCTCCGGCTCCTCCGCAACTTGGGCAAGAGCTGCGACCCCAGCGGTCGACTTGCTACCGGAGACTTTTCGGACCATGATCCGAGAGCGCTCTTCCTCACCAGCGTCGGAGCTGGACAGCACGTAGTCCTCGGCGCCGCTAGTGACAAAGCTGGCGAAGCGATTGAACGTCTTTTTGCCAAAGATGCTGCCGGTCCAGCCGGAGCCGGCAGAAGCGCTGGACTCGGTGGTCTCGACTGCAGGAGTAGCTGCCGGGCTAGAAACTGCCGGGCGCCCATCGTGCTCTGAAGATATGCGTTGTTCTTCGGCCCATACCTGCGATTCGGCCATAGCGGACCAGTCGATTGGATGGTCCGGGTCGGACGGGGCGGGCAGTCCATCCATGGCCGTGGGATTCACGGCTGGACTAGATGTCGAGCTCTCGACCTCTGTGACAAGCTTGGAATGGACATCCTTCGACGTCTGCCAAACAGCTGCGGGGTCTGCATCAGCCAAGGCGGCGTCAGCAGAGTTGGGCGTGTGAGGCCTTGAGGACTCACGACTGCAAGAGGGCCCGCTCGAATCCGCCGACACGGGTGCTGATGTACGCGCACTTTGCGGCGATGTTGACTTGTCTGCGATCTCGACTTCGGATGTGACAGGTTCGGTGCTCTCCAGCGTGACTCCACGATCGACGGGTCCACTTGGGCTTGTCGCTTGCTCGATCTTCTGTGGCACTGAAGCAGCGGTCTCTTCAAGCACATTGTCAGCGCTCCTGACAGCGAAGAATGCGCTTGGTGGCAAGGTGGCATCTAGTGCGTCGGCGTTCTTGGTGACAAGGTCAGGCGTGGCAGGCGGTGCGGCACCGGCACTTGGCGGAGGAGAACGAGTGAAATCTTGAATGTAGCAGTACCAGCCCTGCGGGATCAGTCCGCGAGTAGGATTGCCGTCAGCATCCCACACGAGGCCGAGACTCCATCCGCCGGCCAGTTGATCGCTGAGGATCTCGAAGGACTGCCCGGCCTTGATGACGAGCTCGTTGAATGCGACCTCGCCCTCAAAGTCGTAGAGCGCGCGAGCGGGCCTGCCGAATCCCGACTGTGGACCGCGGGTGCTGACGGGACGTGGTGGCTGCAGCTTTGAGGACGGTCGCGCACTGAGCGCACTGGCTTCAGGTTCAGGTTGTCCTTCAGGCTGGACGGTTGGCGTGCCGGAGCTGGGCTGGTCTTGAACGCGGATGGAAGGAGGTCGAGCCGAGTCAGCTTGTAGCAGTGCCTCGCCAAGTTCTGGGTTCTTTCCTTGCTTGCGGCGGGGATTGGCATCGATCGTTGCTTCGTCGCCATCTTCGAGGGGCGTCTGTGCTGCTGTGCTGCTGAGCAGTGCACGTCGGACCGAGGCCGCTTTTGAGGGGCTCGAGTTGTTGCCCCAGTCGAGATCGAAGCAGCTGCCGTCGTTGGCGCGCAAGTGTTGACTGATCTGGGAGAAGCTAATGTCGTGGTCATCTGCGAGCAGCATGGATGGTTCTCTTGATCTCTCAGCTTCCGAGTCCTGCTGCGATGACGAGTTGCTGGCGACGGAGACGCCGCTTGGGGAAGGCGAAATGCTTGAGCCAACGTGGTCGTCGCCGCGGTGGGACGACTGCGGACTTGCGGCGAAGATGGAGCTCAGATGGCCTTGCTTGGCTGATCCGCTGACCTGGCGAGCTGGACGAACGCGAATGGTGCTGGGAATGACTTCCGACGGGTCAGAGGGGCTGCTGACTTGAGGCTCGGAGGGAGAAGCGGGGGCTTTGCTAGCGTAGCTTGGCCGAATGGTGGCCGAGCTCTCGGTGCGGTCATGCTGGGCAGATGTATCAGAGTTGAGCGACGTTGAGCGAGAGATTGTGGCATGGGCTTGTGAGGAGCTGCTGTACTTGGGCTGTGCGAGACGGATGGTGTCGGAGAGCGGGGGCATGACGACTGCATCCATCTTGAGTGCGTCGCCGAGGAGGTCCTGGGTGGCGGTGCGATAGATGTCGAAGTCATCTTGACTCCATTCGGTCGCTTCTTGCTCGTGGTTGGCGGCTGTCTCGAGGATGATGGAAGAGCGCGCATCTGCGACGTGGAAAGCGCCTGCCATGCCGTTGAATCTGTCGCCGGTGATCTGTGCCTGGAGCATGCGAACGTGGCTGCTGATCTTTGGCTTTGTACCGGTGTGATTTGGCTTTACGCCCGTGTTCTGCCTCGACAGCGGCACGAAGGTGGAAGGTGCAGGCGCAGCCGCTTCGAAGAGGTTGCGCAAGTTGCCGACGCGAGAAGGGCCGGCACCGGTGATGGAAATCGGTTCATTCCGGACGAGGCGTGCGGTGTCAAAGGTGTCGTTGTCGTCGGTGCTCTGATCAAAGATCCGGCTGACCGAGGGAGCGGTGTATGTTCTGCCACGAACGGTGAGCCTAGCAGCGGCGTCGTGTTTGTCGTCATCATCGTCGCTGGCCGAGTCGAAGGCGTCGACAAAGTGATCTACGGTGGAGGTGTCGTAGCCATGACCGAGATGGGCCTTGCTGATAGTGCCCGAGCCACCCCCGCCTGTGGTGTGTTCCTGGATGTAGTGGCGGAGGGCGATCGAATTGCAGGTGCCCGTGAAGGCTGAGGAGAGATGCGAGGGTTTGGGCGGAGGCGGCGGTCGCGAGAGGGTCCCTGATCGGCTCGAGGCGATGGAGCGGACTGAGCCGGTGGGCGATGGATCGGCGGGCATGGTTTGAGTAGAACTACCGACACCGACGCCGTCAAGGATGATGGTCGTCGACGATGCC